CTTTTGTCTTTTAAAAGCTAGAAGCTCAGTAGGTTCTGTCATATCGGTCATTGTTAAAACTGTCTTTGTTTTGATGCTACTTTTCGACATAGAAAAAGTATGTCGGACAAAAATATTCACCAAAAAATAAATGTTTCTTTGCCAGCTTCAATAATGACAGGGGATTAAGTTTAGATGATAAAACAAAGGATTATGTTGACAGAAATACCGGAGGTCAAGTAAATTCGTTACATGGGGTCACACAACTCGGGTAATATTTACGATGAAAATTTGCATATTTGAGCGGTCGAACGAAAAAAAATAAGTTCTCGAAAACTAAAATATATTTTCACCAAAAAAACTACACCACAATCATTAGGACATGTTGGGCTACAAAATATGAAAGAAGGAGAGAAAACGAATTTTGGGGACTTGCCGCTGTTTGTCTGATGCATGTTGACATTAGCTCTTAAAATAATCATTAGAGGCAGTCATTGGCCAATCCCTTTGCTGTTAGTCATATGGTTAGATGGTTCGACAAAATCAGGATCGGACTGGATTGGACTGGATCGGATCGGACCGGACCGGATTGGATCAAGGATCGGATAACGGATCGGATCACGGATCGGATCACGGATCGGATCACGGATCGGATCACGGATCGGATCACGGATCGGATCATGTTAGAAATTTTGCACGACAAGCCAAAATAAAGTCTGCGTGACATAATGGAGCGCAGGCGCCACTGGGAATTTTTTTTTTGCCCAAAAAACCCCATGTAGCAACTTCCAGGGCTGTGTTGAGTACTGTTGTGTAGTGCCACCGTGGACAAAGGGACGAAAAAACTTTCAAATGGACTTGCACTCAATTATGTCACGCAGAATATAATTTTCTTTAACAGAGAAACCTCCAAATACTTTGTTCACTTCCTAAAAACTTCCTCAAAAACACTGGAAATAGGAAGATGCCCTCAAAGCCAGCAAATTTTGCCGATAAAACCTTGTGTGCTTGAGCCCGCGTTATTGACCGCATACCTGTGACGTACATTTCGTTAATGCAGACAAATCATCAAGGGTGGAGCGTTATATTGCGTCAGACTAACCCCTTCAAGTAGCGTCGACCCAAACACAACGCGGAAGTTATAATGTACGGGCGTGCGTAAATTTAACAAATAGTAAATTGCCTAATTTTAGTCCAAACTTATCGTACCTTTTCTAGGGGGAAGTTACTAATATTTATTCACTATTTGATGTTTCACATAAAAAATGAAGTTGTTTACTTTGATTTTGTTTTTTTAACTTGCAGGTAAGCATTCCTCCCGATAACATTTGCGTTTAGCGGCTATTCAAGATCAGTAGAGGCGCGTAATTGCCGCTCAGATCGAAGAGAAACCAGAACCCAAATAGGTCAAATAGGAAAAACCGAAAACCGCATCGGATATCAAATCCGACAACCCTTTAGTATTTTTTGCGAAAACCGAAAACCAAATATTAAAAAACGGAAAATCCGCAAACCACAATGAACACCAAAACCGAAAACCGAAGTTTTTTGGCACCAAAACCGAAAAACCGATTTTAAAAAATAGCCAAAACCACAAAACCAAAAATTCCCATCCCCCCCTCTATATACTTTAGCATGAGCTACACATTTCCTCTAACTTAAAAAATCTATTTATTTTACGCAAATAATCTTAAGGTAAGGTACTCCCTTGGTTACTAAAAATTAAGTAGTGGCCACATGTATGACAATACTTTATTCAAGAGAAGGAAAATGAAAAATTGTAAAAGTATCTCTCGAAAGGGGATATTCTAGAGGTTAACCCTATACAAAAGATTCCCCGAATAAAAAGACCAAAACATTATATACAGATAATTAAAAACTGTTTACCATCATCTCAATCAATATTCATGTAAATCTTTAGTCTGTTACGAAATAAAGTCAATGATCCTGCGTGTACAATAGATATCTTTAGGCAAATTATTCCACATATTAACGATCCGTACAAAAAAAGAAAATTTGTAGCAATTTACGATAGCTATTTTTACGTAGAGCTTATAATTGTGATTGGCTCTAGTTCGATTACATTTAGTAAGTTCAAAAAAGTCCGACAAAGGAAGACTATCTATTCCCAGAACTATCTTGTAGCACTGGATCAGAGATAAAAACTCTCTTCGTTTCTCCAAAGTTTGCCAATTCAGTAGGTGGCAGCGGTCTTCATAGCTCATTTCTCCGCGTTTTTGCTTTAACGCCAACCGAGATGCCCTTCTTTGGACTTTTTCCAAGAATTCGATATCCTTTTTTTGGTAGGGGCTCCAGACGGGGACAGCGTATTCGAGTATAGGTCTTACTAACGACTTAAAGAGGCAGGAAAACGCATAGCGATTATTGTTTCCAAGTGATCGCCTAATTATACCTAACACTTTGTTCGCCTTGTTTACTATGTAGGAAATGTGTTTACCCAAGATAGATCGTAGTTTGTTGTGACCCCTAGGTCCTTGGCACTGTCGACAGATTTAAGTTGCGTACCAAGGGAATAACTTGGCTTGGATCTGTCTCTACTGTGCATTACACGCATAACTTCACATTTTTCATGATTAAAGCGCAACTGCCACTTGTTAGCCCAATCTCTTAATTTGTTCAAGTCCAGCTGTAAGGCTGGTATATCCTTATCAGGCTCCATGATGCGATAGATTTTAGTATCATCAGCGTAGATTTTTACGGTTGATACAATGTTTGCCGAAATATCATTTATATAAATAATGAATAGGATTGGACCGAATACTGTTCCTTGAGGCACACCTGAAATCACGGGTGACCAGTCTGAAAAATTGCCCCTTAACACGACACGCTGCCTTCTATTCGCCAAAAAATTTCTAATTTACAGTAGTAGAGAGCCGTCTATCCCATACCGTTGTAGTTTCAGCAGCAAACGCTCGTGTGGCACGCTGTCGAAAGCCTTAGAGAGATCTAAGAAGATGATATCCGTTTGTTGCGAGAAATTCCTAGCCTTTGCCCAGTCATTGTAACATGTAAGTAATTGTGCCAACGTCAATTTACCCCTTAGATACACAAATTGGTCTGGATTAAAAAGATTGAGGTCTGACCAAAGGTCGACCACACGGGGCTTTACCACAGCTTCTGCAATCTTGCAAACAATACAAGTCAGTGATACTTGGCGGTAGTTCTCCATGAGATTTTTGCTCCCTTTCTTATGGACTGGGGTGATGTGGGCCGACTTGTAATGTATGTAATTGGCATGGTTTATTTACAGTAACTGTACAGTGGACGGTACTGATTGGCTTATCAAACTCTGACTGACACTTTTATATGGTTACTAGAAATTAATGAACCTGCTAGTTTCTGGCTTAAAAAAAATGGACTTGGACTTTGCTAATAACATAAATGTTCTGTGATTTATATTCCTGTAAATTACACACAAGCACTTGAAGAGAGAGTTTCAGTTATCCTCAGTTCAGGGTTATGCAGTGTTTGGAATACTCTTTTTCTCTGCTTCAAAACAGCCAGTGTCTAAATGTCCAACTGTAACCCATCTTGGAAAAATCAGAATCTGCTGTTATTATGCTATGTTTTATGGTTGTTCCCTGCATTGAGGGTAGCATTGCATCTATAATGGCTACTTTACTGTTTAAATGGGGCTTAGTGCAATTAACCCTTTAACCCCCATGAGTGACCAAGACAGAATTTCTCCTCACAATATCAGTATAATATCAACCAGATAAGTGATGAAAATAAAGAAAACTATCAATTTGGGAATAATTAATTGATCCAAAGTAACATTAGAGAAATTGTATAGATTTGATCTGGGAGTTAAAGGGTTAATTCATCAAAACTGTTGCTGATTTTGGTCAAAATAATACAATCTGAGGAAAGTTGTGTGGGGAAAAGAGTCACCTTTTGGCAGCCCTTTCCCATTTCCAGTGTTGGGTATTTCTAGAATGCAACTTCTCTGCTGCATAAAGTTGACAATTCCATATTGAACCAGGATGGAGAGGGGCAGAACTAACAACTACCAAAATTTCGCACCCTGCAATCAAGTTTGTCTTTCCCCTCACAACTTTTGCCTGAAGTTATCACAACAATTGCATTTTTTACAAGCCTGGTCTGGCTGAAATGTTCTTCACCTAGAAGTAAACTTTGAAGGGGAAAAAATCACTCTCAAAGACCTTCTTAAGGCTATCTACGTATCACTCAACTCTGGTTGTGGAGTGCTAGAGATAAAGATAAGTGATTATTCAGATCTGAAAGAAGGTACTTTTTGGACAAAGTTGGATCGCTTTTAGCAGACATTTGAGAACAAATTGAAACCTGTAATAGAGCCATTAAGCTACTGTGACCTCATTGACCGTGATGTGGAAAAGTACGTGCTCTTTGTTTTTTATCAAGGCACCAGATCACTTGAGTACTTTAAATCGGGATTTGTTTCTGGCTGGTGATGTCAGATTACATGAAGCATCTTTCAAGAAAACATTAATTAGAACTTCTTTGAGAATTACCAAAGTGTGGAGTCTCCCTTTGAGACCTTCCTTTTCTGCCTGAAACTTTTGTTTACAAGCAGAAGCTGGATTTTCATGAAACAAGAAACATGTAGCTTAAAGATTACAGTTCCAGCTCTAAAACAGCAGTGAAGAAAATCAGTGATGAAAAATATGACATCCGGAAACAATCCTCGGCCTTTGCCAAGGCAAGTGGAGGCATAATTCTCGTTGGCGTGTCAAATGATGGCATTGTAAATGGTCAGAGTATCGACTCTGACGAAAACAGTTTAAAAAGGTTGAGCAACAAGTGGAGTCTCTCATTGGAGAAATGAAATGGTGTTGTACTCCTCAGAGATCAAATCACTGGAATGTTAAATTCTTCCAAGTTCATAGAAAATCGTTATGTTATAACGATTTATGTTGCTGGAATGAGAGGTGCTGTGTTTGCTAAGAGTCCAAAGAGCCATGAGTTGGAACAGGACGCTATTGACCTCTTAAGTTATCTTTGAAGAGTGGAAGCAGCGCATGACATGTGGTAAACACATGCTGCACCTTCATATGGAAAGAGAAAGTCGGAAAAAAGCACCACTCGGGTATACATGTACATTAACTGTTGCCAAAGAAGGAGCCTAGTTTGTATGGTGCATGTATCAGAAGGGGAAAGGGGGAGTATATATTAGCATGAAGTGCGATAATAAGTCTTACAGAATGTTCAAATATCAAATGTTAAACAATAGAAAGGGAAAATTAGCTGTGTCTATATCTCTATCTTTTCTCCTTAATTTTGTCCTAACCGAAGTGCTTTCCTTCAAATAGTCTTGAAAAAGAAGATAGAAAGGTTTGAAAGACGTTTCCTGCCTAAGGGAGTTTTGCTGTCTCTGAAAGACTCTGTTAGAGCAATCAGGGAATATTTCTTCAAAGGTAAATATTGACAGTTCAAATTTTAACAGTCAGAGAAATTGAGAAAGAGAGAGAGAGGGAATCAACATAATCCCTGCAAACACCCTAGTTGACTCTCTCTGTGCCCTTATTTCCTCCTTCTGTCACAAGTACAGTCCTTTCTAATCTCCTGACTGTATTTGCAATCCTAAGTTTCAGAGGGATGCCCAGTTTTTCCAAGAGGTTTTGAAGAAAACCTACCAGAAGAGGCAAAGTTGGTTGTAAAAAAAATCCAGCAGAGGCATGCTTCCAGCCGTGCTTGTATTGTGGCTGCCCCATCCTGGCGTGCTTGCATAAACAGAAGGGAAGCTTATCAGCAGAATATCTTTTGTGTTTTTCCTGTATTTAATTGTCAACTGAGAGGTTTACACCTTTTCATCCTCTTTAAATCACGCCCCACAGTTAGGTAGGACAAGGTCTATGGCTACGATGCTGCTAAAACCTTGAAGAAAGCCCTTGTTCTTGATGGAGGCTGCAACGAAGGGTTCTATATTGGCTACCATGCGGTACATTGCCGTCATTACTGCTCTGAAAGTCAACCTGAGTTCTGTCCAGACCTGGGAAACAGTTACCTTATCCAGTATACATGTGAGGAGAAAGAGGCCAACGAGGAAAAGTTGAACAGGATTCTTGAATCATTGGTAAGCGTCTTTTCTGTGTATCTGAACGATTTCTTGTAAGACGGAATGGCTTGTAAATGAGTGACACATGTTGAAAGTCAAACGTAACATCGAAAAATTAAAGAAAAAATAGTGGCTTTTCTTTGATGATAAACAAATAAATCACGATCTTCACTCAGGCATGCCAGATAAAGGGGAATGGGTGCCTCTTAGACACTTAACAAAGGTTATTAGAAATTCTCAATGTATCATGGAATATACATCAGAACACCACGAAAATGGCTCAATTCCCTTTGACATGGGTCATGATTTTAAAGGTGAACATGTTATAGAGAGAAGCTACCGGGAGGGTTATCAAATTTCGACTTCGAGGGAGGTTATTAAATCGCTTTACAGTGAAGGGTATAATGCTGGAGATATCACCCTTATATATGGTGATAAAGAGAGTTATTCCCCCAAATCTTGAATTCGAATTGTCTCTCGGAAGAACAGCCAAAGCCACGCGTAACGATGCCGAATGCCTTGTTGTGGGCACCTTTCACAAATACAGCGGACTAAAGAGACCAGTTGTCATACTTGTAAATGTTGCATCTGATTTGTCCAAAGCGAGTCAAAAATGACATGTACTGTTGTGCCACTCGTACAATGGTTAAACTCGTTGTTTTAACACAGGAAGGATTTTTTTAACATAGGAAGGATTTTTTAACACAGGAAGAATCTCTCAATCCAAGAAAAGGGTCGAACCCTTTTTCGGATCCGTGGATTTCTTTGTTTGTCGGCGGATGCAACCACTTGGTCGATGGAATCTAAGAGGTCCAGGTTCTCACCGATGGTGTTTTTGCATATATAGTACCAGTAACCATTTACCTTTTGTCACCTATTTAACTATCTTAATAGTTTTCATACCCTGGAATTACATGCACGACCACTCTTACCTGTTCAGAAGTTCACCTGTGATGAGGAAGGAGTATATAGACTAAAAAACAGGTATACCTCTCACAATCTAACGAGTCCAGGCTTTGTACTGCCCTAACTTAGTATCATTAAGTAGACGGTAACTTTTGTTACTGATGACGATTTTAAGTTTTAATGCCTTTTGTCTTTTAGTGTATACATATTTATAGAATTTAGTTTTTGTTGCTTTTATATGACCAATTGTTGTACATTTTCAGTTTTTTAGTTTTAAGTACATTCTTAGACTGTGGATTACCTGCAAACAAGCAGATTAAGTTAAGTATAAACTCCACGTTTCAGAAAGTATTTTATCTAACTTTAGCCTATATCCTTTGCATAGAGAGTGATGAGAGTTAGATTTGTTCTAAAACCATGCATATTTTCCTAGAGTCAACAAGAAAAATTACGCAGTGTATGCACTCTAAAAAAGTCCGATTTTCAGTTGTAAATATTAGTCAACATTTTTATTTTTAGCCTTAATATCTAGATATAGTTAAATTTTTAACATTATAATGCGCAATTTAAAATTTTATATTGTTAATTGCGCAATATAAGTCAATAAATTATTATTAAATATAGTTTTAAATGGATAAAAATACATATGCAAACTTGCCTGGTGTGACTGATTGAAAATGGAGATTTGTGTTTGCCTGGGTCTTTGCCATGGTGGGGCTCATGAGTTTGATTAGTATAATGATATTTGGCAATTGAATGCGCGCTAAATCATTTCTGGCGTTACAACTTTTGTTTCCTATGCAGCTCAAGTGTGGACTAACCAAAAGAGAAATGTTTCGGAACCAAAAAGTAGCATTTTAGGACCCCCAGACCATTTTTTGTGTCACTTAAAATGGGTCTTTAATGTAAATATTTTGTTACATATATTAACTAATAACATGTGACAGTATTACAGTGTTAAAGAAATTGCTACTTACATAGACAAAGTTCTTTCTCTTGGAAGTTGTTATCCTACTAGTTAATGATGCTTAACGGTTTAACTCCCATGATCTAATTGTCAATTCGTCCCTCTAAATACAACACAGTTCTTGGTGAATTAGTTATGAGAATTTGATGTTTTATCAAGATAACCTCTATTTTATGAATTTGAGTATTCCCATTTCCTGTTTGCTGGATAAGCCATGTATAGTATAGGGAGAAGTTTACATGTTAATCCCTTCTGGGAGTTAAAGGGTTACGATCTGGAAACGGACAGTCTTAAAATTGTTTGAATAGTAGTTAAGACCATGAACAGTGCCTACTTTTCCCCACCAAGTCGAAATATATAGGGCGTGGGACCCTGAAGATTCCGCGCAACGCTGCTAACAAGACAAATGATGTGTAGGAGATATCTGCTCAGCGCCCAAGAAGGGCCTTAAAGAAAGTTTCCCCCTATGGGAAAAATAGGGGTCGGAAGATTTTGCTTGTGTCACAATAAAATTAACCTCCTGATGCCCCCTTTAAGGCTCTGTAGTATGATCCCCACTCACTGATGGTAAATTTTACATAGCTCCCCCTTTATGATCCCCTGGCAACGATGGGTCCCTTTTCTTTTCCCCATGAAAACGATGTGTTCCCAAAAAAATCCCCTGACTTACCTCCATGTGATAACTGGTCCCTAAACGGTTAGACAAAAAGGCGTGCAGTGCTGCGCATGCTCTGTCGTAGGTGGTCCTTCTCAGATTCAAGATGACTGTTGATCCCGGAATTCGAGCCAAGTCGCCAAACGAACTTATGAGATTTGCTTCATGTAGCAGGAAAAACTTTTCTGGAAATCTTTGTCCTTACATCAGGCCAGAAAGCAAAAAGACCCACCATGGTTAATAACGTGCATGGGTTATGTTTCCTGACAGATTCCTATGTCATATGTTTCTGCATGGATCTTTGGACCTGTCCATGCAGGATATTCGAAAGCACTGCAATTGTGTTTAAGTGTCTCATCTTCAGCAAAACCTCATTAATTTATTCAGTTACAAAGTGAGAACACAAAAACAAAAGAATGTGAACGGTTCAGGAGCTCAAACAAAAAAAAACCCGCAGCACCGTTACGTAGTATCTTTGATCCTTGCTAGCTTTTCTGACTAATCTCCTTTTCTAACTTTAGCAGAACGTTCAAAGCGCAAATATTGTTACCGAGACGTGTTACTCGTGCCCTACTTTTCTCCTAATACACTCGTCAAGATAAACCCTCGCACCCCCTATGACATAGCAGGCATTAGACTAGCTGGCGCTCAGTGCTAAACTTGTATAATGCCCTATATCCCAAGGCTAAATTTTTTTGTCTAGTTGAGGCTAATGACCCCGCTCAAACCCCCCACTCCTTAAGAGAAGGTGGTAGACACAAGCTCAACTAAATTACTTAACTTTATTACATGAAACCCTGGCACATTGGTAACTTTGCTAAGTAACACAGCGAGACAAAGAAAAAGGAAACAGACATACATTAAGTCAGTAGGTGGAAAATGATAACGCCCATCCACAGCGTATCTTAGGCGCCGATCACGATCGCTTCAATATCCTCCCCCTCCCCCCGACATGGGCAGCCCACGGGCATTTGACCACCGTCCGTGCCCACGGGGTAGGCCATTTGAACCTGAAGTCTCAAGTCTTTCCAATATGCGTGTTTTAGTGGAGGAGTTTAGTTTAAAGGTAAAAACTCTACTTTCAGGAGCAAATGGCCTAGAAAGACAATTTTCACATTGAAGATTGATGCTTACGAGCGAAAAACCAACCAGCAACACTACTTTGCTAGATTCTACAACATTTGTTGTTCACACAAAAAAAATGTTTCAATATTGAGAGGGGAGGCAATTTTGACCCAGGAGGGTCGGAATTTGTTGAAGCTTCGAATTGATCAATGCATAACTATGATCATCTTTGTTAAAAAACACAATCTCTTTAAACAATACTTGTCAAGTGGTGAATTATTCGTAGAGTTTTTTTTTAACCTTCCTTAAATGCTCTATTGTTTGTTTCGAAAACTGCAAAAAAGGTAAGTCACCTTGCTGGCTTAAGAGATACGATGGACCAATCTTACCCCATTTATGCCTGCAGCGGCACTAATCACGGGCGTCATTTCATCGGTTCACGGTACAGATTGTAGTTGCTAAAAACTAGGTTTTTTAAAGTAAATCTTAAAAAACATACTTAACAGGAAGAGAGCTTCGAGCCTCTAGAACGATGTAATATATAATTTGTGGAAAAATCACGCAATTTTAAACTAAAAGCGTTCCTCGAGTCATTGCTTTCAAGGTGACAGTTTGCATTCTCGAGTAAAAGACTGCGTGAACGCTAATCTTTTTTCCTCCAATATTTTTTTCTTGATTTTCCCAATTTAAAGGAGACAATCTGTTCACCAAAATTATGCAAAAAAACATAGGTCACCGATTAATTTGAGAGGAAACACTATCCACCTGTTCACCTCGTTCGTTGATTTGAATCTCAGAATGCGCGTGCATTTATTCGCTTGATTACGTGTTATTTATGCGCAGCATAGGATACACAATGCAATACTAAGGTTCCCAGTGGGAGCAAAATGGTTAAATCTCGGTAGATCCAGCAAAGAGGAAAATCAAAATTTGAACAATCACAGTTTCATATAATGGGTTGAGTGAGGACTTAGATTCATCTTTCTTCGTTCAATCTTCTTTCCACTGAACGGCAGCTACTCCTGGCTAACCTTCAGTTGGCGCTAATCGCAATACCAGTGTCCTTTAGGCTCCCTTGTTTTTCTTGTGATTCCAAAGCAAGAAAAATGGAACCATTCAAATGAACATTGTAACCATAGCAACGAATTTTTCTTCATCTTTTCAATATCATTCCCGTCACCTGATCCTTGATGACATAGATAAGCCCTCAAAGTACCTGATAACGTTAACTGCGGCTCTCCGCCGCCCTTCGACGGAAAATTCCTCACTAATGCCTCTTTATGCCCCGGCCCCGGGGGTGTGGGAGTCTGTGCATTTCAAGCTCAAGGGAAGGAAATGTCACCTAATACGTTTTATAATCCATCCGATCGTTTTGCTCCCGCGTGATTGGTCTAAACGCCGCATGTGACTGAATGTCTCCCAGCTAAAACTAGGTGATATCCGAGAATATCACCGAGGCGATACTCCCCAATTATCAAACCTTACGTTCACTGCGATAAGTCTTCGTTTCAAACTTAATTCAAGATGAAAGAGGGTTTTGTGGTTGTTACAGGAGAAGGGAAATCTCTATTTGTTCATTAAGTCGTACTAGAGAGCACTCAAAAGAAAACATTCCACGCTACATACAGTAAGCTTTTCGCTCACTGTTTACAGTTTTCCCCGAGCTTCGCTCTCGGAAAACTGTTCGCATCTTGGAATAGATAATTTCCGCATCTTGGAATAGATAATGTCCGCAGATAAAAATATCCGCCGAGTAGAGGCTATTGTTTATCTCTCCTTCATATAGTCATATTTTTGTGTGCACTAATAAATCAACAATACCATGACCCCCCTATAGGACCTGACCTATTTCCTGTCAAGTGGCAGTGAGTTCTTACTCGTCCTCATTTGCTCTACGGAAGTCGTTGTCCTTAAATTTGTGGAATCTAAAGAAAGGACCGGATCGTCCTAGATTGCTCATCGGAGGATTTAAACAGTTCACTACTGTTCTTCCTGGCAGCAGCTAAGCCGCTAGGGTGAGTATTAAGGCGAATATACCAGCTTAGACTGTGTCTACAATCGGAACTTCATCGACGCTTACTCGGCTTAACCTTGGGCGAGATCTTGATGGAATGAGGCCTATCTGGCAGTGTACTCAAGGTTTTTATTGTACTGAGTTTAAATTTTCGTGGATTTCGAATAGACTAGGAGTTCAGAGTTACTCTCATACTAGAGAAAGGAAACGTCTTCGAGTACTTCCGTGTGTTCACTTGTAGCGTCCAAGTTCGATGGTTAGGTTGTCATTCAAGAGTTCGAGATTGTGTCATATTCAAATGTAGATTTCATTATCTGGAGGAATTTGATTGACTTGATCAATATAAAGTCTTACGCGTTTCTCTTCATTTTCTGATGTAAATTAATGTTCGCTAGATAATAATATAATAAGCGATCAATTAGTACATACAACAACTGTACCATGATCTTTGCCCAAAGTAATATTTTATCCTCGCTTTCGAATGTCTTCCCTCGCGTTCCATTCCATACAATGTACATCCCATCTAGTTCAGATACAGCAATCGTGCGCATTTAAACAATTGTGTAATAATTTCATTTACAGTGGAACTCGTTATACCTATATAATATTTTATTATCTGCAGGTAGAGGCCAGAGGGCCTTCTGACCCACAATGTCGAGTAACTCAAATCGGGTTGGTATCTCTTTGTGGATCAGTGATCTGTTTAAACTAATTTATGCAAGTAGATTTGTTCAAAAAATATTCTTGATGGTTTGTTATTACAAATCAGTGGTGTTAAGTTTATTGTAATTTCTTCTATTATTCTTGAATCTTGGGGGGTATGTTAGTTTTCTGTTTCCAATGCAGATTGTATTGCCAGAAGATTTTATTAAAGGCGCTACCGCACTGTTTTTCCTTGAAGGAAAACCTTGACCGAAACTTACTAAGTTCACCATTAGTTAATCCTGTTTTTATCTTCATCCTTAGCAGTTGCTTTTCCATTCAGCTTGTTATAGTCCCTCTTATTTATCAAAATTTTACAATCACCTCTAGGTTTGAGGTAATTTTGCATGATGCAAGTCTCAGAATATCATTTTGCAGCTGCTTTACAATGGCGGCTTGTTTTTTGGCCATTGTAGCTTTATTGCATGTTTCATCATCATCATTTTCTTCTTTCTTGGTGAGACTTATTTTTCAGGCTCAAGTTTGTTTATTCTTTAATGTTATCCTCTCTCCATTTTTTCTTTTCATCTCTCTTTCTCCCTCTTTGTTTTAGTACCTCGCAGGAATTACATAATAAGTTATAATAACCACAAGATATCCCCATACCATAACAGTTTGTGTCCTTTTTTCATATTTAGACAGTTCTGATGGGACTTAATGACTGATAAGATGCTGGACTTAGTTTTACTGACTCTATAACTTAAAGGGGATATGAAGCCCAATCTTGAACCAGTTTTAAATTGTATCTTATAGCTGAAATAGCTATGTCTTTGGGCTTAACCTCACCTTGAAAAATTGTTTTATACCATGTTTTGACTCAGTAGCATCACTGCTCTGAAAATTGATGGTGGTGGTTAATATTACGCGATTAATATTCAACAGCTGCTAATTGTTTTGAGCTGATGTTTTTACGGCCTTCAAAGCAGGATAAAGGGAACTTAAAATCAAATTTTCTTGTAAATAAGAAGTAGTGAATGAAAATAAATATTGAGACTTATCTTATTCCTCTGAAGCTAACTAGAAATGGATACAAATAAAATGGCAGTTTTAGACTTCGTTTTCCCTTTAACAATTGGCTGATTTTTGTATTTTCAGGTACCCTGGGCACAGGGAACTGAAGTGGAGGGTAAATACCAGTTTAGAGGACGGACAAGAGAGGTAGGCTTTATGCTCTTGAATACTTGAAACACATTCCATAAGAAATTAGAAAAAAAAAGATAGTGTATCATGTGGTACCCAATATACATGTAGTTGTAGGTATAAAAATTATATTTTTAAAGAATTAAAATGTGCCCCTCTTTATTTAGGATCTTCCTTTTGAGAAGGGTGAGATCCTGTGCATTGAAAGTGTTACGCGGGTGAGTATGGGAACATGCATGCTTCCACAGTTATATCAAAAGAACAGAATACATTATTATGAACAACTTTGTACAAACATTCAGTGAAGGATGTTTACCCATGAATTATCAAGACCATCTGTATCATTTATCACTATGAATTCTCTGTCTCTGTAGTGAAAAGTCATTTCTTTTAAAACTTAATTCTATCTAGAAGAGTGTTCTTGCATTCATGTTGTTTGTAGATTATTGTATTCAAAATACTAAATGTGATGGTTCAACTTGCACTGTTTTAAGAAGCAGCTATTTAAGGTAATTATAACAATATTTACACTTTTGGCTACTTTATGCGAGATGGACATGTCGTGAGAATTCTAGGACAATGACCTCATCAAGGCTACTGATTGTGTTGTGTTCTCAATTCAGACAATATTGTAATAGTAAAAATGCCACAGAGTAACAAAATTTTAGCTCATTGAAACTTGTCTTTTTGTGCAACGATTTCTGACTGTTGCCAAAATAATGTAATCATTGGCAGCCTTTGCTAAGTAAGAAATCTCTTGCTTTGTTTTTGTTAGTTAGAGTGATAAAATCTTCCTATCTTTGTTGTTGTATTATGAAATATTATATGGCCTGAGTATGTGATGCCTATTTTTCTAGCATGATTGGTTTTGTGAATTAATAGACATCATTGAAGAAATACCAGTGTTGTGTGTTGTGTAAACTTGAGTATAGATACAAAATATTTTCTGCCAATTTTTATTTAATTGCATGACAAATTATGCATAGAAGACAAAGAGACTGTGCGCAAGCATTGAACAAATAACTAACTGTAGTCTTGTAAGGACTAAAGGTTGATTTAAGTTTTAATGTCTTCTTATTTTTAGGACCCCAATTGGTACAGAGCTTCAAATCGTTTTGGACAGATGGGAATGATACCTTACAACTATGTTAAAGAAAAAAAGAGAGCTGTTAAACTTCATGCAATGCCGTAAGTGGACATTTGTCTCATGAAGATTGCTACTGCTATAAGATTTTCATTCATTTCTCTGAATGAACATTCAGCTTCAAGCTCACAATAGGTTCTGAAAAGCCATGACTTCTCTAGAAATTAAAAGGATAAAACAAGAATAATCAATATGTAATATTATATCCATGAAATGGGAGGGCTTCTGTGATTCTAAAGGAAGCCAATGTACTGAGTGAAAGGTAAATATTTAATTAGGATGGATAGTAATATATGCATTGTTATGTTACTCTCAGATGGTTTCATGGCAAGATCTCAAGGCAAGACGCTGAACAACTCCTTGACCGTCATGACGACGGCTTGTTTCTGGTTAGAGAAAGTGTCAATTACCAGGGAGACTATTCACTCTCTGTTTGGTATGTAGTGAAATGATCTTCTTCTTGATAAATAATGATGGAAGGAATGTATACATGATGGTTTGTAGGAACCATTTAATATGCACCACGAAGAATAATTATTGTTTCCATGTTACATGTATGTATTACCCCCTTTAAATTAACTCTTAAGATTGGATTGTTAATTCTCCCCCTTTAGCTGCCACACATTTCCTTGTAAATTAGTTGTGAGAATTTGGTTTTAAATCAAGATAACAAGTTCTACCTGATATATTTGATTGTTCTCATTACTTGTTTGCTGGATAATGTATTGATATTGTAGGGAGAAGTTAAATGTGAATCACTTATGGGAGTGAAAGGGTTAAGTGTCCCCTGTCCTTAACTCTTTTACTCCCAAGATCTCATCAGTGATTCTCCTTACTGTCTACCATACAGTTCTTGTCATATTTAGTATTGGATCAACTTATAATCCTGCTTGATATTTTTCTTTATTCTCATCACTCATGGGAGTTAAAGGGTTTACCATCATTAGTTGCCATAAGGATGAGTTTGATTCTAATGAGATGTCTGTTGTTCATTCGAATTTCGTTAGCTTTGGTGGTAAAGTTGAACACTACAGAGTAAGATACACAGATGATAACAAACTCACCGTGGATGATGAAATCTTTTTTGAAAACCTTACTAAACTTGTAGAGGTATGTGATGCGTAATGCCATACAGTTTGCTTTAATGAGTCCATGCTGGTTGTTTGTTTGTTTGTTTTGGAAGCAACCCATTTCAGGTTTAAAAAAATTAAGTTGTCTTTATGTTTAATTTTGTTTTTATTGTAGTTCTCCATTGAGGATCATTTGATTATTAATGATAATTAGTTTTTTGTTATAGACAAACAAGAAATTATTTTCTTCATTTCAAAGTGAATGCTTCTTAAATCTGAAAATTTTTAAACCTAAAGTAGAAGTTTCAACACTTTCCAATCTTAAAATCATCAATCAGTGAAATAGTGTTGTTTGGATAATCTTGAAATATTGCCAGTTGCAATTTAATGTATTATTTTCCTCTTTAATTGTTTAGCATTATGAAGGAGATTCAGATGGGCTATGTACAAGACTAGCCAAACCCCTGAAGAAGAAAGGAGGAAACTATGATTTTTCTGTTGATCCAGAGTCATTCGAAAAAGGTTTGTTTCAAAATCGGATAATAATGTATTGTCAGTAGCTTCTTAAGATTACTGTAATGCCAGACTGCCACATTTCAAGTTTGCCCAGAAATTATTTTGATGACATTGTTTTTAGAAAATTTTTTTTATTATAAACTTTGAATCTGTTACTACTGACAGTTATGGTTTTGTCAAAATGTAGTGTTCCATCTGCACAATTTACGAATATAGCATGAATTTAAATTACAGCCTTTTGTTTTGTTTTGTTTTCTCTATCAGAGGGCTGGTCCATACAACGCACGGATTTGCATCTGGGAAAGTCTATTGGCAAAGGAGAGTTTGGAGGTATGAATAAAAATTTTCAGCTGCATGACTTGGTTTGTGATCTGACAATGTGGAGTCTTCAAAATGGATCTGGTTGGTATTTGGGTTTAGTTACCAAAGGAATTTTCATTAAAACAACTGAAAGCTATTACAGCTACAATTGTCTTGGTGTGAGTCGAATTGAGAGTACATGAGTAAAAAAATTCTTTGAAGTTCTAAGTGACACATTATTAAAACATTGGTGGTTGATTTTAATTTAGATGTTCTTCAAGCTGAATACAGAGGGAAAAAAGTAGCAGTCAAGTCTCTGTTAGATGACAGCCATGCTGCCCAGACCTTCCTAGCAGAAGCTTCTATCATGACGTATGTTTGAATCTCACTGTAGACAGTTACATTTAGTGATGTTTTGCAGTATATTTTAGATCATAGTGTTTATACAGTACAAAATAAAGGTTGGCAGTGGATCTCATTCCTCCTACTTCTGAATATCCTTCAACAAGAACTGTCATCGTGATACTACAACAACAACAACATTTATCATAAAATAATCAAAAGTGCATTACAATAATAATAAAAATAATAATAACTTAATTAAACTATATAATTATATATATATATTTATATATATATATTTATAGATGAATGTGAGGGTAGAGTCTACCCTGGCATAAAGTGATAAAGTGCTCAGTGCTGTGGTAGCAGAGCTAAGTATACATAAGTTAAAGAATTAAAGAGGACGCATTAATTCTCTGTTCTTTAATTCTTTAACTTATGTATATATATATTTATCTATCTATCTATAACTTAGTTGAGTTATATTAAGTTATCTATCTATAAATTAATTATATAAAATTATATACATGTGTTCTTGAAATATACCTAATAGATCTTCACAAAATACCTTGGAAAAGATATAAGTCTTATTAGTAACATTTAAAAGAACCAATGTTTTCAGCCTGCCTTGGCAAAGGAAGGCATTGTGCATTTAGCTTTCTCCATAAGCCACTACCAATCTCTACTCTCTAATGTAAGTAGGGAGCATATCTTTATTCAATGTCTTTTACAGTATGGTTTACATATCCTTTGTTTTTTTGCAGGGATTTGAATCACAAAAACCTTGTCAAATTAATAGGTGTATCAGTGGGAAAACCTATTTTCATTGTAACAGAATTTTGTGGAAAAGTAAGTGCAAAGTTTATCTTTTTGAGCATGTGGTTTTAAACCCACTTTCAGCAATCAAGTGTACATACTTTTAAATACTGAGACAAGAATTGAAACTGTTGTCAACTTTTCTGTTGATTCTATTTCTAGGGAAGTTTAGTAGAATACCTAAGAACAAGAGGGAGGACTGTGATTAGACAGAAGGATCTAGTAGGATTTGGAAGGTAAACTTTAAACAGAATGAAAATTTCACATGGATTAATGAAAGAGTAAATTAACTGTGTAAAGACATGAACAGAGGGAGATGCAATGAAGATTAATTTTTCCTAGTGTTGTTATTGTCTTTTTGAATAAATAGGACCTGGACCTCAGGTTATTGCATTAGATTCTTAGGCAAGACACTATTCCCACAGTGTGGCACACCCCCCTCCCCTTGTAAGAATTGTAAATTGTAGCAGAGAGCTGAGGGGGAAAACTGACAATTTCTGTGGGGGGTGGACTGCAATAGATGGGTTTCCCCCTAGGGGGAGTAGAGATTCTTTGGGATGCTTCATGCTCAGAAACAAGAAAAGAATAATGCTTGACAGTGTAAGCAACGTGGCTCAGAGGCAGACTATATTAGATTTCATGTTTGTATTCTTATCAGTTTGTTTTTTGACCATGTGATTGTTATTAAGAGAACTTTTCCCCAGTCCTTGATTAATAAACTGAAGTTCTATGTGACCTATGGGATATGCTTTGTTTTACCTAAACAGGGATGTAGCTGCTGGTATGGAGTATTTAGAGTCAAAGAATTTGGTTCACAGGTATGAGATGCCTTTACTAGCACCCATTTTTAACATCAAGGGTGTTTGTTTAAGCTTTGCTTTCATTATCTTTGAGACTGTACCAAAAAAAACCTCTTTTCTTGAGATGTGCAATTGTTTGTAACACTTATGATGTTGAGACTACAAGTAGCTAAAAACCAGTGTTTTTCATCATTTGATAGCAACATCTACATCCCAGTATAATTATTGTGTCACTCTAGTTTTGCTCATCAAATGTGATTCTTTTTTTTCCCCTTGAAAATGAGTAGTGCTTAAGGTTTAGATTATAAACACCCATTCAAGCTGTTTGATATGGCTTTTATGTTATGGTCTCTCTGTCTAGTCAGGTAGCAGCTGACACAAAACTGACCATTGCCCAAAGGACTGAAGTAAAGAAGTCATATTTGTCATGATGATGCCTCTCTCTGTAAACCACCTAGTACATTTAAGATGACCCTTTTATTTGAAGGAATGAAGAATTACTCAACTGTGTAACATTATAATTTATCCTTAGGGACCTGGCTGCAAGGAATGTTCTCATACATGAGGATGGAACAGCAAAGGTATGTCTTTTGCTTTTGGCTATGGTGTTGGCTGAAATTTAGAGGAACAGCATTATTTCAAACTAGTTGCCAGACTAATTAAAAGATTACGACATTTGATATTCGTTGTCTGAAATGAAATTCAATTTAAGTGTATCAATGATTGTCTTTATCATGGCAGGTGTCAGATTTTGGACTTGCACGAGAAGCCAACTTTAATTTAGAAGGAGGAAAGTTCCCTATCAAGTGGACAGCACCTGAGGCCATCAAACATGGGGTATGTTTAACTTATGTTAAGTGCTCTAATAAGCCTAGAAACTGATTGATAAAACATAGACTGTTATTTACACTACTTGCTTAAAGCTCAAATGAAAAAGAATGAAATGACTCCATGGTTAAAGGTTTTGATTAGCCCTTTACATACCCTGACATCAGTATTCGCATTCTCCTCAGTGATCTTTTTAAATTTCTTATGGTAATGAGAAGGAGAATTTCTTTGACAATCAGGAACTTCTTAAACTGGTGATCATTTCTGTTATTCTCATGACCTTTACATTTAACTTTAGGGTGATACTGTGAGGAGAAATTAGAAGCCAGTCACTCTTAGGAGTTGAAGGGTTAACCCCTTAAACCCCTGAGAGTGACTAGCATCTAATATCTCCCAACAGTATAACCCCTGCATCACACAGTAAGGTCATGAGAATAAAGGAAATGATCACCAATGAAATATTCTCTATCACCAACAAATATCTCATGCTATAATTGACCATTGATTGTTATTGAAAATCCCTCAAAGAAGTTACTTGGGCATGAAACTGACCAAGAGGCATGGTTGTAACAAAACTCTTATTAGTGCATTAATTCCTGTGTTTATTTGCAGAGGTTTTCAACGCAGTCTGACGTGTGGAGTTATGGTATCTTACTGTGGGAACTGTTTTCTTTTGGCAGAACTCCATACCCCAGAGTGGTAAGTGATGCAAGCTTTTATTAATTACTACATTATTTCTTTGTCGCACTGGACACTGCCTGTTCCTGGTATTGAGTAAGTTAAATGAAACATGATTATCATTGATAATTAACTGGCTGATATTTTGGTTGTGTAATAAATGCCATTAAAACTTCTGGACAAGGATTTAAGTTGTGTATTTATTCATATTTCTCAGCACATAGACAATGTAATGGTTAAAATTGAAAGTGGGTATCGCATGGAATGCCCTGATGGATGCCCTGTTGGAGTTTACGATGTGATGAAAGATTGCTGGGACATCACTCCAAATCAACGACCAACATTCCACAAAATATATAAGACCTTAGAACGGTTTCACCAATCATTTTTACCAGATGGAAACTGATGCTACCTTCTTGCAATATAACTCCTTTTGGTAATGAAACCATATCTGTCAGAATGAGAAATGCTTTGATTGTCGATGTCAATCTTTCCTTTCTCAGTGACAAAAGTTGTAATAATAACTCCATGAAGTATCTCATTTCACTTCCACCCAGAATTTTGATGAAATTAGTTTTGCGTTTCAATTTTCTTTTTCTTTTTTTTTATTTGATGAGGAAAGTTTCTAAAGTTAGTTTTGGTAAGAAAAGTAAATTTGTAAAGAAAGCATTCAATTTTTATTTATCTTTGAAGTTCTATGGTGAAACAGTCGCCATTAATTAGCTCATGAACAAGTAGGTAATAAATGCAATATTGATATGGAAATGATAATACCTAGGCAACAATATATATCAAGTTTATTGTTAGACATCTGTGAAATATCCATCTGATTTATTTTCCACATCAGCTAGAGATGTAATTTAAGTGATAGACAAAAATGACAGAAGTTTAACATGAATTTATCATATGATTTTCTTTTGAGCTATTGATTTGGACAGCCCAAATAGTTTATCTAATCAAGGAGTACTTTTGCTCTTTTTTTTTCCCTCAAGACATGGAGTCAATTTAGAATTTAACTCCAAATTTGACAATTTCTTATCAATGCCACAAAGTTAGTAACAGTTTTTGTAACTATAAGGACTGAAATTTAAATTTAATGAGCCTTTTTTTTATACACGTGTATAAAGCACCTAAGAAGTTGAGATGCAGAAGCAGAAGTCTAAATTAGTGATAAGTAATTGGTTGCTAGTTGGATGTTACTGGGTGAAGAGAAGAAAGTTACATCTTACTTCTTTCAATTATATCCTTGCTTATCTATTAAACAACTTGATCACATGTATGTTGTGAGCTTAAGAGATACTTTAGGAGCAGGAAGCTTTTCAAGGTGCCCTATAGATAAAGACAGGCTCTACAGAATATTAACAGGTTCACAGGAAAGGTTTCTGAAAGGAAGGAGGTGTAGGAGGGTGCAAAAGAAATGTAAAATGACCATTGAAAGTAAATAAGTTTAAGTTGCTCTTGTGTTAGTGATTGGATCATGTTGCTATTGCAGTTATAAGTAGGACTGGTGACTATTTGAAATTCTTATTTGCCAGATTAAAAGGCTAAGCAAATCTGTTCAGACCTTTGCTGTAGCCACTGGAACCTCTCATGGGTTTGTCTGTGATAGAAAGTAGTTGTATGTTTTGATCTGTGGCACACAGTAATTGTCTTTCTCCTACCTTAGGTCCTTTCGGGCCTTTCACTGTTAATCAGCAACATTTTTTCTTGCTTGAGTGTAATTAAAGTAATATTGGAAGTGAATTAGTTTAACATTTTTAATCATCTGCAGTAACTATTTTAACCAAAATCAAATCCTTTTATCTGTGATCCTGGCAATTTCATGGTAACCAAGTTCAAAGTTAATCATGGAAAATTGATGCACTAGTCATTCTTTTGTAGGTCATGTGAATGATTTGCTACAAGAACTATTTTTATACTATGGAAAATATATTTCTGTAAACAGGATGCCCATAATAGATGGTTGTTCTGTTAACATTGCTTAATTGGGTGAAATCTTAAAGTTTGAATATTAGGCATCAGTAGATTTAAGTGAGAATGTCAATGTTAAGTTCTTTGTACATCCAACACTTTGTAAATGAAGAATCATTAACCCTTCGCACAATAACATCAGTATCCATATTCTCCAAACTCTTCTCTTCCCATTTGCTTTGTTACTGATAAGGAGAATTGTTTAACAATCAGAGCTTTTTAGGTTGGCTATTATTTCCTTTATTTTCATGATCTTGATTAAGGATTCAGCAGAATTATTGTTGGGAGAAATTAGGTGCTGGTCACTCTTAGGGCTTAAAGGGTTAAGGTGGGAGAACTTTAAGTTGTACTAAACTCAAATATATTGAAAGAATATTACTTTATACTTCATAGGAAAGCAAGTTATTAGTCTAGGCCTTAAAATGTATATTTTAATATTACTGTAAGCTGAGTGTTAATCCCATGTCACCAACCATGATATCCTTTAATTTTTTCATTTAATAGGATTAGCAATTCTTTTACCATTGTTTCTGTTGAAAAGTAATATCAACTTGTGACTTCTTAGACTAATTCTAAACTTGAAAAATATTTTAGGATCTTCATTTTTTGTAAAGCTTAAGCTTGTAATAAAAAGTGTGTGTTGAGAGGTATCTACATTTAAATGTCGTAATTCCCTCGGGTAAATCTAATTTTTTAAGTTGTCATGAATATGGAAGCTATTTTTCATACACAAGTGTTTATATGAATAAAGGAAAACAACAGTTCCAGAGGGTGAGTGTGATGTGTTTGTCTGGGTGAGGCTAATCATTGCAAAGGTAGAATAATTGATGTTTCAACTTAACTGAAAGTGTCATCTAAAGGGTTTAACACCTGAGTTTGATCTGATTTTAGCAAATTTGAGTGGTGCGGGTTTTAGAATGTCCTGAAATTGGAAGATTTAATGACTGTGCATTGGATAAATTGGATTTATGTAGAAAGGTATCATTTATCTTTCAAAATAACTTATGTACTGAAGTAAGTATGACCTTAATTAAGCATCACCCCTTAACAATTGTTGCCCATGAGAGCAAGAATAATACTTAGTATAGCCTTGCATAAGTGCTCTATTTCAACCAAGGTTTGTTTGGGGAATATGACTAATGTTCAAGTGCCCATAGGCTTGATTACCAGCTGCTGTTTGGGAATATGAGCGTCTGCTCCTCCCCTCAAACCCTCTCTTCAAGGGGGGGGGAAGCAAAGACTGGACACAAGAAAGCAGTGGAAGTCAAGCCTAAAGTATCCAGTACCTGCAAATAAGTGCTGCACTTAAATTCCCTAACTCCCCCCCCCCCTCTGAAAAAAGCATCAAAGTCTATGGCCCTCAAATAAATGCAGAATGCAAAATTCTTCAAACAAAATATGTTGTTTATTATCAAATACACAGAAGTACTAATCTGAAGTATATCCTGATGAACTGATTCATTCATGTTGTTTCAACTCTTTACTTGGTAGAATCTCAACTTGATCAATTTCTTAGATCAATACAAAATTTGACTAACATTGCCCAAGATTGATCCTGATTATAACTGCCTATTCAAGCAAAGTTGCTTTTTATCAAGACTGTTTATATTTTGATTGACACAAGATGTGATCACTGATAACTAATATCAAACCCTAAATGGTCAAAGGTCTAAAAGGAATTATCATACATATGTTTTTCAGGAGCTTGTTTATGGGCAAGGTAGAGAAATCCAATACTTGAAAGAGCACTTATGAGGAAAATCACATCAAACCAACGATGATAAAAATTAAATTGAAGTTCACCAAGTACTTCTGTAATAATCTCCCGGTATTTACCAGGCATGTTCATCCTCATTAACAAGACAGATGAAACAAAGTACATACCCATGATTTCAGCCAAAAAGAGAACAATAATATTGGAAGATTTACTACTCGCCATTGCATTGAAAAACTTTGTCAGTGTTATGAGGAGACCTCTTATTGATGTCACAATTAAGATTCCAATCAAGAAGAATGAGATATGCTGTGACCAGAATAACACATCAAATTTCCATCCAAGATAATTGACAGTTATTTCAATACCACGCGTGACAGGATCAGTCTTGCCAACACGATCAAACACAATGTTTACTGTTGAGATGAAAATCTTCCAAATACAATACCCAGAGAATATATGCCCAACTAAGTCAAAGTATTTTCCTTGCAATGTCTTTGATAATTCCATTCTCTCTTTGGTATTATGCAGATCCACAATTTCCAGGAACAATTGTCGACTAAGTTCTTCCAGAGCATCTACTTCTTTTTGGAGATAACTGGTGTCCGGGCCACCACTCCCTGTCATACTGCTGAACATGCTCCAAATTCCTGATAAAAAATAATGCGAAACACAGGACAATAATCCTTTGGTCTTCCAGTAATATTTACACAGGTACAGTAAACTGTTTGGAAATTCTTAAAAAAAAAAGAACAGTTCAAATTTATCCTGCTATATATGTCACAACCCTCAGAGCATTATTTAAGAAATGGCAAGGTAACAAGGCACATTAAATTAGCTTGTTTGATCCCTGACTGATCTAATATTTCTAAAGATTGTATAGATTACCTCTCAACACCTGAGATATTTTTGAACTGTATACTACATTGCTAGATGCCTTTCTCAGAGCAATTCTCTGCCTTCACCCTTCCCATTCAACAAAAACATGCATCCATCTGACTGAGGAGGAGGGGGGAGGGGTGGGTTAACTCTGATATAAAAGCACCATACCTGTCTTTTGCTGTGTGGATGCAGCAAAACGCTGGCTTTCCCTCTTTGCCAGAGCTATCCTTTTTTTCTTACTGAGAATTATATCCATTGTTTGGAACTGTCTTCTCTCTAGATTTTGAATATCCGCATCGGTCACGTGTCTCATGAAGTAGGTCATGTAGGTGTAAGGGCAATTAACTGCACCAAATCCAGACAATATGGCCATCATAGTGACCCCGATCACCCCCACTCGGCTGATTCCCTGCTCGATCGAGAATATTCCGTGCTTAGAACTTAAAATTGGGAACGGATTTCCAATTTTCCAAAACATGTACAAAAAGGCAAGCCAAAACGTACCCGCGAGTAGAACCACAATTCTCCTCCTGTGGACAAATCGAATCGTCCTTACTAGGAAATAAGATATGTAGAAGGGCAGGAGAAAAATTAAGGTAAATAACATGGAGTAAAGCCCGAGTTTCCAGTGAAAGAATCTTGAACTCTTGTCCAGAATACCAAGAATCTCGAAAATTACGAGCTCAAACATGGTGCACGAGAGAGCGAAAGTTAACGAGAAGACCAGCTGAACGGCCGTGTGGTGTACTTCATAGTTTCTAAATAGTCTCCTCATGAAGAACATCCAACCCATACCGAAGAAGAAGAATTGTGAACAAAAGACAACGGAGCAATCCGCGAAAAACGACATTGTGTCCTTGCATTTGCCACGTCTAGCTTTACGCCGAATACCCTTCCGACGAGAAACGACTCTTGCACGATGCTATGGCGATAAATGGTCGCATCTCACACGGAAACTGTGACGTACGTGATAGAAATTCCTGAATACCCAATCAACCAATCAGATGATAGGGTGGGTATTTCAAATACTGCTGTCTACAAAGAACTGATCATCAGTTCTAAAACGCTTCTGCAAGGTTGAAGTGATAGTCAATTTGGAACGAGCCCTATTCTACTGTATCATTGCTTTCGCTCAAGTTTTATTTTTTTAACAAGCTAATTTGCAGTTTTTGAATTCTCATTGAAGATGGCAGCTGTTGGACGAATGAATGTGAGTAAAAGTTTTGGTCTTTGTGAATGTCGTTGCTTCTTAGTATTGAATTCGTAGTGAATCACTTCTGTAGAACAGCTCACTTCTTAGAGTACCGTTCATTAAATCTCTTCTTTCATACAGGTAATCCGCCATGACCAAGAGAACGAGAATTTACTCGCTGGGAAAGCCAAAATTTCCAAGAACACGAGACCTCGTGCAGCTCTGGGTGACTTGGGAAACAAACCAACAGCGCTCACGAGCAAGGTAAATGTTCTTTTAAATTTGGTTCATCTAATTCTCTGATGGTTTAAAAAGGTAATTGGGCATTTGTCCTTCTTTCAGACCGCTGCGAACCTTGCCGTTGGCGCTAAACCCAAAAGAACTTTACACAGAACCGAAGGAACAAGTGGTTTACTCTCGAAGCAAGCAAAAGACAATGAAACTAAACAACAGAAAAAGACGATTGATATGGGTGTTGTCAGTGAAGCGCTAGAGTCTTGTAGGTTCGCAACGAAACCTTCAGATGTGATAGATATCGATAAGGATGACCACTCGAATCCACAACTCTGCGCTGAATACGCTCAAGAAATCTACCAGTACATGCATCAATTGGAGGTAAGGAAGACGCCATTTTTTAATTTCCCCTTGCTTTTGTTCTTTGTCAAATTAAAGAACGTCCTTTCACTGAATATTCAAGTAGCTAGCAGTGAAAGATTTCTTGAAGTTGTGTGGTTTTTTTCAAGGTAAACGGGTAATTCTTGTCTGACTTTGTCCTCTGAATTTTCAGCGTAAATTCCACGTCAACCCAAGATATATGCGCCAGAGGTCAATAGTAACCGATAAAATGCGAGCCATCCTCGTTGACTGGCTTATCCAGGTTCACAATCGCTTCCGCCTGTTGCAAGAAACTCTTTACATCACTGTCTCAATCTTGGACAGATTTTTGTCGGTGAGTTTGAATCATCTTTTACTTGTCAACCAAAATCCTTTCAGCAAATTTTTATTACTTTTATTTCTTTTATTGCCTATAATCCCTCCTTTGTATCAGAAATCAGCTCTAAGTTTTCTTGTAATATTTGTTGATTTAACAGTCAACAAAGAAAACCAACAGTGGCTAGAAATGAGAGATACAATTTCCAGCAAATAAAAGATGCAACTGGCTTTTCTTGTCACTATGGACCTGATAGAAAAGCGCAACTTTGCACAGTTATAAGCACTGAACAGTGTATCTGTACATATTTCTTGAAGTATTGGTCTGACCTCTTATCTATTTTTTTCTTGTAGATCTATGATCCCACAAAGGAAGAACTTCAATTAATTGGTGTTAGTGCTATGCTTCTGGCCTGCAAGTATGAGGAGATGTACTGTCCAGAGATTAGCGACTTTGTTTATATCACAGATAACACATACAAAAAGGGTCAGATAAGGAAAATGGAGGGTGTTATTTTCAAGCAACTTGAGTTCAGTGTTGGGAAGCCTCTATGTCTTCATTTCTTGCGAAGAAACTCCAAAGCTGGGGAGGTGAGTAATTTTTAAGTTTATGATGGCAATTGGGTAAATGTTACATTAAGGATCCTCTTCATTAGGATATCATTCATAGATGGTATGATGAACCTTCCTCTGTAACCCTCAGACTTGTCCTAGATGAAAAATAGATTTCGTTGGTCAGACCAAAATTCTTTTTTTGTGGTATGACTTACCCCTCTGACCCCTTAAAGCATATCAAATCACATGTCTCCTCACAACATCACCCCCAAATTGCATAGTAAGGTCACAAAAATGTAGGAAATGATCACCAACTTAAAATTAGTAGCTATTGATCATTAAACTAATTCTCCTTGTCTGCACCTTGGGAAATATACAGGGAACACTGGAGTATATTCATACTGATGGTAGGGTGAAATTTTATTTTAAAAAATGCTGTGGTGATCAAAGCATTTTGAACTTGGGTCCTAATGAAAGTCAGCATTACAACAGTGAAAAGATACTAAGGTGTTCCTGTTCACTCTGCAGTGGATGTTGAAAACAGAATAAATTATTTGTACATGAAATATGGTCTCCCGTTGTGTAACTAGATTGTAGAGTTGCAGAAATGCTTTCGCTCATTTTTTGTCTTCAGTGTGTGTTGATCAACTTAGCTTTTCCTGTTTAGGTTGATGGAGTAAAACACACCATGGCAAAATATTTTATGGAGCTTTCCCTTGTGGACTACGGCTGCATGAAATTTCTTCCATCTGAGATTGCAGCAGCTGCATTATACATTGCAATGAAAGCCGATGATGGATCAGAGTGGACACCCACTTGTGAATATTACAGTATGTACTCAGAAAGTAAACTGCTGCCTTGTGCCAGAAGACTTGCCTCTCTCATCACCAAGACTCTTGATGGAAGTGCCAGGCTAAAGGTAAGACATGGATGCATGAATGGGAAAGTACCCCAAGAGAAACCAGCTTTTTTTGGTTTTTTTTTTTTTTATATGGGTCAGTGTGCCCCAGCAGCCAATATTTTACATTGGCTTCATTTTTACCAAAACACCCACTTTTTCAATAAGAATAAAAATAGCTATTTACCAGTGTTATTTTGATTTAAACTTTGCCTGTTTCTGGTTTCTTCTAACCCTAAGCTGGTACCTGAAAAGTATCTGGAGAACACTGATGGATGGCAAAGGGGTACAATCTCTGATTTAGCAATTACTTGCAACTGCTCAATACATTTTTTATTTGAGAAAGTCAACTCTAAGATTTGTTTGTTTACCACTCAAAGTTAACATAAAATTCAGTGTTATATCTTTTTCTATTCTTTCAGGCGGTTTACAACAAATACTCAACCTCCAAGTTCATGGAAATCAGTAAACGGCCATGTCTAACATCCTCTTTTGTTACGAACCTTGCAGCTGAAGACTTGCAGCAATAGATTATTATTAGTGTTTATAAATTAATATAACTATATTACTCGTATTATAACTACAATGAATTATTTGGCTATATGAAGACAAGCATCAAAGTTTGATTATAGTTTACTTCCAGAGTTGTAGTGAAAATACCTCTGATCAATTTTAGTGTAAATCTACAGCTTTTTGTGAAGTTTGCTCTCATGTCCAGATATTTTGCAATTTTCATTTGATCTGTTTAAGACAGGTTAAATTCAAGGCAATGGTGGATAACAATCTTTCTAGCCAACTGTAAATATCTATTTCTCTAGGCCCTCTAGAATAGAGATGTTAAATGGACACAAGACTTGGAAGAAAGTGAATCTGATTGAATGTCAAAACTTGACCATCAAAAGTTTCAGAAAATGCACTTCTGGAAACATTGAAATGATGTACATGTTCTTCATTATTTTTATGATTTGTTACATTTATCATTGTTATTGTAGAGTTTCAGATTTTCATTTCAAAACAGGTTATAAATTTTGTAAATATTGTAAAAGTTAGCTTCATTTATTTCTTAATAAAACAGTAATCTTCACACCTGTTTTTCATTAGATACTTTAAAAGCAATTTTGTGTGTAATGCGAAATGACCCCTAGGTACCTTAAATTCTTACATTGACAATTGTGTAATATAAGTCTATAATTATTATTGGTTTCAATTTTCACCTACACTTAGTATAGGGCATTTCTTAGTGTTTCGTGGTTTCATTTTTGCATGGAAACAGTGTCCTTTAGGCTTATGGCTTGCAATTAAAACTAAAGGTTGCATTAGTTTCTATACCTGGCCACACTTAAATATTCTGCTTCAATAGAAATTGCCAAAAGCTTTCTCAAATCTTGTTCAGTAGGTGTTGCATTCTTTAAAGTACCACTGGGATCAGATTTTCAGAGGAAAATTATCTTGCAAATGCAATTTAAAAGCTATCAGTAAAGTTTGAAGGGTTACCTATGATAAAACTTAACTGAGCAGAAGATTTAGTTTATCATTTCCCACTCTAGGAATATAAAAGCATCTGCTGCTGACAAGCTGGGGTTCCTGTCTTTTTTGCGAGCACAATGGGAACTACAAAATTCTCCCACAGTGCAAACCATTAAAGCACTCAAGTGTTCTGTTCAAGGTGTTTTCCATTGAGATTCTTAAAAGATCACTTGATGTACTTCTCAAACACAACCTGTGAAGCTAGATGTTTTTGTGGGAGTTCAACTGCAGTAAAAGCAGTGTAAACACTAAACCATAAATATCAAAATTTTAACATACAAAAGTAATTTACTGGAGTTCAGGATCATCACTTCCAGAGACTGACTCCCTGTTCACTGTTTTCAGGTTGAAATTGAAATTAAGAGTGTTGACAACTCAGAGATAAACTCTTGGAGGAAAGCCAACTACAGATTCAGCCTAAGTGATATGGTTGGGTCTGGCAAATTGTACCTTCCCAAAAGTGTGGTAGGGGCAATTGAATCTACCCCACATTGGTTGTGGGGAGGGGGGGGTGGGGAAAGGGGGGAGTGCCCTCCACATTGCATCATCTCTACATAGAAATACCATAAATGATCTTTGAAATTCACACCTATGACCCTCAGATTTGAATAGAATTATTCTGTTTTCCCACCAGGCAAGTGGGAATTGAAGAGGTCAAGTTGATTATCTTGTAGAGTTGAAGCAAACCAAAAACTATTTAAAATTACAGGAACTTCTAGGACTAGAGTGCACAATTCAGGAGGGCATGAAATTAGTCTGAACGTTTGTAAAAATAATAGCCAAAACTGTGAGTTTTAAATTTTTCCATCCTTGGCTGTTGATTGCAGTTTAATAATAGAAAACCAAGGATGGTGAGGGATATTCTTTTTGTTGGAAGCTGAATATAACATATTTGAATAACACCCTCTCATTTATTTTTTATGATTATTGTTTTTCAATCTGTAGCTTGATATTTGTGAAGCAGATGAGTGGGAAAGGACAAAAGGTAACTTAAAGATAATTTGAAAAAATGTAGCAGCAAATAATTATGAAAATGTAATTATTTGAGAGAAGATTTATTTGTAACTTTTACAAAACAATACTACGGGTTGCAATAGTATTTGAGGAAAACTTCTGGCTCTGTACGGTGCTTGTAGTGCAACAGGAGATAAGCTTAGCTCTCCTCAGCTTCCATTGTTTCTCCTTCTGGTTGTTTATCACCTGCATCTCCTTCACCAGAAGCCTGTTGTCAAACAATTAGAAATACATAATTATATATATACATACACACACATTTATAAATGAGAGTACACAAACATAGCTTACAAAGGAAAGAACTTTGGAAAAAGAGGGCTACAGTACCTGAGACTCTGCTTCCATAGCAACATCACCAGCAGCCTTTAAGAAAAACCACACAAAAGATTACAAGATGAACTAATTATAGGCATGTGAAGAACAGACTTTATTCTTATGGTAAAGCAAGGTATAAAAATTCTCTGTTCCAAGGATTTGCCGAGCACAATGACTTGCTACCTATAAACCTTTTCATTCCTCATCATGTATTGATATTAAAAGGACAAATTTTGCCTGGTCACTCATGGTAGTTAAAGTGTTGAGTGTCACTCTTAGGATAATGCTAATTCCACAGTAACTTTGTTGTCACGTGCATCTGGCATAATATTTAAATGGAAAACGTCACTTGCAAAAATTGTTTCACAGGAGGAGGGCAAGTGAATCACAGTCCAAGCCATACATACAGTAACATTCAATCTTAATGTCCCACAAGAGAACAGTTTTTTTAGAAACACTTCTTGTGACACAAAGATCTCCCTAAGGTACAGCTACACCAAGCAGATAGAAAACTCTTCAAGTATGGATGACCCATTCTTTCCATTTCCTCTCAATTAACACTTTACACTTAACATTGGTAAGCATATTCTCCATTCTGTTCTCCAAACATTTCATAAGGTACAGACAAAAAGAATTTGTTTAAAAATCAAGAACCTCTTCAGTTAGTGATCATTTCTTTTATTCTCAAGACCTTTATGTGTGATTCAGGGGTAATATTGTTAGGAGAAAATAGATGCTGGTCACTCTTAAGCATCAAAAGATTTAGTGATGCAGCTACTCTTACCTCAGCTCCCCTTCGTCTCTTTGTTTGATCAATTCCAGCCAACTGTAACAAGTTAAGGGTTCTTGTATGTACAATTTTTTTAACTCTCCTGGTGTAACTTTCAAAGCATATTTTGTTACCTCGAGATAATAATTAGTTTGTTGTTCTAATACTCTAAGCAGTGAAACATCAAATATACATTAAGTTGGATGGTGTCCTCAATGATTTATATCAGCTTTCTTAATTTCCATCACGTGGTTCAACAGGAGTGAGGTGTCGTGTTCCTAACTGAGCTACCTGACTTGTGTAACCTTTGCGATATGATTAGCTTTTATCAACTAAGTGGTCTTAGTTTTTCAGCACACATTTTTTTTTAGATGGAGCCCATTGTGTAAAAGCCCTGTGGTTTCTCATGGGGTTCCTTGCCACCTTTAGTCTATCTTTTTCTTTCTTTAACAGACTAAAAGCAGTCCCCTTTTTCGGTGATGTTTGTTGTGCTTGTTGAACAGAGAAAAAAAAAATCAGCAAAAAAAACAGTGATGATGACAAACTAAGCAGAGTGACTTGGACTGCTCATAGCCTATTTCTTTGCACTTATAAATGATAATTACATTTACGACAAAATAAATAAAACAGAGAATTAAACCAAAGGAAAGTGAGTTTCAGGCACATAAAGCATGATATGTCACATAAGCTTGACATTGAGTGACAACATGTCACACAACACATCCCTCTTCCAGACTGACACAATTGAAGCCACAACTTAAGAAAACAAACTATTCAGGAGAAAACCAATTATGAATCAAAGGATACATAAGGAGCTACACCTTCATCACTGTAAATCACCAGATCCTGATCCTTGCCAACCACACTTATGGAACAGTTCTACAACAAAATCAACAAGAATAAAGTCACTCGCATGCAATGGCTGTGAGACAAAGAAAAACATGAGAGCCTCATGAGGATTTGAGCAAGTTATTTCTGACCTGGCATTTGAGGGCTGGCCAGAATTTAAGGGTTAAATTTTCCATCTTTAAAATATATTACAGTTTACACATCACTTTGTCTGTTTATTTTTTTTTATCTTGAGCTTGGATAGCTCCAGTAGATTTCACTATACCTTTATTGTCAGTTCTTGTTCATTTGGAAGAGTCTCTCTTAGTGCTCTTAAGCCATGTTTGATGAGCTCTTCAGGTTCACCTTGGCACAGAAGGAAATAAAAGCACATTATCGTGAATAATGCTCAGAAATAACAAAAGGGACAGTTTTTTGTTGTCACAGAAACTCACACAGTTGTAATTAAGAACCTGGTGATCCTTAAAATCAAAGTAAATATAATTTAGGACTAAAAGCAATTTTTCTTTAATTATAATCATAAACACAATTAGGTATGGTGTACTTACAATCTGGAAATTCATCCAGGTGTCTCTCAAGGTATGTTCTTGCAGACTATAAAGATATTAAGAAACTGTGAACCTTCACTAACAATTTTTTTGGGCAAAATTTTTAAGAATAATTTGTCCTAAATAAACAAGCCCAGACAAAGAAAGATAGTCTTAAAACTTTCAGCTGCTTGACGAAAGCTGTTAGGAAGGTACTAGCAAAAGAGAAATCAGATTCAGTCAAGTCACACTTATCCTTGTTATCACATACCTGGACAACTTCGCCGATATCAATAAAATATTTAACATTTTGTCCAATATTAAATTTGCAGTGAATTTGATGTAAATATGACACAACTTCCATGCCTGGGTAATTTCTAACTGACCTTGATGAGTTTTCAGGCCTATCTACATGATGTTACTCAAGACTAAGGTTGTTCTTTTTGAACAAGTTCAATTGCTTTTTCAGAAATTTTCTGTGTTTTTCGGACTTTTATCTTTTTCCTTCATACAAGATTTAGCAGCCTCATTTATGAAAGGTGCAAAGAATCAGCACAGAATCATATCTTATGCCACACTTGACATCAGAAGGACAGATATTCTTTATTTGTTTAAGGAGAGTTATAACTTACCTGAGACCTAGCACCAATAGCCATTGCTTTACAATCAAAGTAATTAGCTGAAGGACATGTCTGGTAAATATGTGGACCCATATCCTGCACATATTAACAACAAAAATCATGAACTACTGGATCATTTATCATGATCAAACTGAAAATACAAAATAATAAACCTATCTCACACAATGCCACTTGAATGTACTGATGACATTTTTCATTTGATTTGTCAATCAAGTTCCCATTTTTCCCTAACTTAAGAAATGAATTTCTCAAACTCATTATTTATTCATAGGATAATCATCTCACAAAAAGATGCAAATTGTTTCAGGTTTGAAACCCCGATGAAACACTGGAATGAGGTGTCATCCATGAGTTTTATGCAATATCAAAATCATCATGAGTTTTATGCAACATCAAAACCTTGATATAGCATCAAACTCTAGTTCACTTATTTCTTAAACTGAATATCAATAAAAAGTATTTAAGTACTTAAAACAAAGACACCAAGAAAGTTGCCTACAAGATGTGAAGAATTTGAGAATATCTCCATTTTTCTTTATCAATGAGGCATGATTGAGAAGCTATGTAAAAAACTAATGCATTCTGTTTCAGGGTTTCCAAACAATCAAAAAAGGAATAAATGTATAAGGCCTAATTTTCTCTTGTTTGGAAACCTTGAAGAATCACTTGCACTTGTTTTTGAAATAGTGCATCAATCATCCAGCAAGAGGCAGCATAGCTGAGAGGAAAGAGAGCTAGAATCACTCAAGGCAGAGGTTCTAAATTCAAGTCCTTATTTTTACTAACTACTCACATCATATCCTGCCACAAGAAGACCAACTCCATATGGTCTTCTGCCATATCGCTGTGTTGGTATTTGCATCTCTGTTTTTTTTCGGTCAAGAATATTTTTTATAAAACACAAAGTTATCATGTTTGTAAACCGTTTTTAAAATCAAACAGAAAGAAACACATTCAAGCGGCCAAAGAGTAGTAATCAATGTCAGCCCTTTTACAACTAAAAGATGCATAAGACCTCAATTATTTTGATGAAAGTTTTTCATGAGTAGTTTCAATCCACATAAATGCAATCTCATCCTTAAGATACAAATTGGATTCATTTATTTTCAAGCCAAAAAAAGTCTTTTTCTCCATTTGGAATCATTTATTGTTTATCAATTAAAATAGTCGTCAAGGAAAAAGATACTGTCCCCCACTGCAGAAACAAGTCTTGAGACAGGTAATCGTCTGTCATATGCATACTTGGAGTTAAGACACTCACTCCTCATAAATTTACTGAAATGAGATATTGACTGATATCAGTAACAATGGCAGTAACTAAATCATACACTTGTTTGAAAATATTTAAAATCGTATTTTATGACATAGACTCTTGTAAAAGTCCATCTTTAGGGTCATTCTTGATTGTAGATAAATTTCACGTTAGGTTTCTAACCTAACCAAGGTCACTACTATCCCTAGCAATTTGCTCACAAAATGTGAAACTTCATTCTTACCTTCAGGAGGTAGTAACCATTACATAATTGGTACCATCAATATTGTTATGTTAATTGTAGAGTTTATTGCTTACTTACTTAACTGAGAGTTTGAGAGGCTATTTCATTTTTAATCATAACCATTACAATTTCCTAAAATGTGATTAGTTCACTAACTGCTTTATTTGTCACTAATTATTTTGTAGAGTTGCAATTGTACAGTTCACTGCAATTGGACACCTGTAATCACACATCCAATTTTGCTGATCACTCATATGATTATAAACCAAAAACTCCAATCGCTCTGACGAAGGGCTAACGCTCGAAACGTCAGCTTTTTTACCCTTTACGGTGGCTAATTTACGTTTTCAACCCAATTGTTAACACTAAATTACCTGCTGGACTCCACTCAGTCCCATTATTATTAATAATAAATACTTTCAATGAGTTAATACAACATTAATTTAAACAAAATTAAATTACCATTATAGTTCATTTTAGAAAAGATGACAATCAACTCACCTTAAGAGTCGAGCATCTGCAGTCAGGCCTGCTATGGAAACAGCCACATGATCATCAATAGGCAAGATCTTTTTCTGGTGAGCAGACAATTCTGATGCTGCTCGCTACAATAGGAGGGAAAATTTTGAACACTTTGTATTATAGAAACTTTAAAGGCTGGTGTAATTTGTTGTTCTTTAACAAAAAGAATGTAATGTTTGACAAAATAGCTGAAGGTCACCAATGAGTTCCTTGAGGACAAAACAAAAACACTGTATGCACAATATACATCAGCTTGGCCAACCATCATGCATTGTAAAAGAATATGAGTACCAAGTTAACTTACTTTTAATGCAACAATAATTGCATGAGTTTTTGATTTCAGTCCTACTGTGGCTGATCCCTGACAAAGAAAAAAATACCAATCAGGTTATAGTATGTGAATAATTGAAAGCAATCTTTGCTTTAATGAACACTACTTGAGCAGTAGTGAACATAAGGCCTGAAAAAATTCGGGCCTGTGCAGGATTTGAACTCATGACCTCTGCCATACCAGTGCAATGCTCTACCAACTAAGCTAACAAGCCAACTGGGAGCTGTTCATTATGTTGGTTTCAAATAAACCCACGAAGTAACGAAGAAATGACTGTGAATGTATGAAAATCATATATGTGAACTATTTGGAACCTTTCTGCTCAATTAGTGTTCATAACTGCGAGGATCACTTTCATATTCACATCTTTATCCACAGTTCACATATATGATTTTCATATATTCACTGTCATTTAGGTTATAGTACATACTAAGACAGTTTGCATGATAATGAAAATTAAGATGGTACATGAAATTTTTTAGCCAAGTATAGATGAAAACACAGAAACATTTCCAAACAAGAAAGTCTAAGTGCTTCCAACTGAAGTCCAATTTTTGACCTACTCATAAATACTTTAAAAACTTGTGTATAATCTGCCTCATAAATAAGCTGCACCCCAAATTTCAAGTATGATTTTGAGAAAAAATTAAAACTTGAATCCTCTACTACTGAGAAAAAGGAGACAGACAATGGCTTGTCTTGCCTATGATGCTACTTTTGTGATTTAACTTCCTTTAGACTCCTTTACAAAGTTCAGTTAAACAGTTTTGACCCACATGATTATATCCTCAGTATACAACTGCTTACATTTCCTGATTTGCCTGTTCAATTTTTACAGTTTTATTGAATACTAAAATACATATAAGCAGTACAACTGCTTACACACTATCCCACATACATTGCCAACAGCATGTGGCAAATTATGCACATCACATACCTGCTTCACAGCTTCCATTGCATATTCAATTTGATGTATACGGCCCTGAAAAGACGAAGAAAACCATTTGAGAAGTTTCTGTAATTCCTTCAACTCTCAGTTCAAAGTTTTAATTCTCCTTACTGTCAACCATACAATTCTTGTGATGTTAGTTTAGAGAATTTTGCATTGGATCAACTAATTATTCCCAAATTGATATTTTTCTTTATTCCCATTACTTATCTTGTTAATATTGTAAGGAGAAATTCTGTCTCGGTCACTCATGGGAGTGAAAGGGTTAAAACTAGGGCAAATGGAATCACAGGGTTTGGAAACTTCTCAACTGTGCTCTTCGGCTGCCTAAATAATGTGCCAAAAACAATTATTTTTTATGTTTCTCTCTCACTTATGGGGTAAATTGAAATAAATTTTAGTTCATAGATTTGAAAGCAGAGTCACAGTAATTTTTTCAATCATTTTCTCATTTCTTGAGCAACACCATGTAAAAACCCTTTTGGTTCACTCGATGGAGTATGATATGTTGACCTTAGAGTGTTGAACAACTATAGAATACAGGGTCACTAGGGTCCACCGAAATAGGAAAGGAGAATAATAAAATGGTACCCCTTAGAATCGATGACATCTTCAGTTTTATCAAAAGATGTGTCTCTTAAAATGGCCTTGAAAGCAGGAAATGTTTTTAAAAAAAACGACTATAATGAACGACGCTAAATCCACAGAACTTCAAGCATTCCTGGTCTACTAAACTTACTTACCTGGGGGCTCCAAACTGTAACATCGTTATCGTACTGATTACGGAACTAAAAGAGAGCGATTTTTGAAACACAAATTACACACATGTAACTAAATTTGTTGGAATGTAACTTTTGATTAAAGTTGTCAAACGAAGCTGACCTGAAGTTTGGATAATACCGTAGCTAAGAAAAGAAAGCCATGCACCGATTTTCTATTAATTTTTAAAATGGACTCAAAAAATGAATCCCCATCCATCATGAAAATGCTGCTAAATTGAGGTAGCCAGACGATGGAAGTTTTGCAACGTGACTCAGCATGGTAAAGTTGAGTCGACATATTAAAAAAGTTTGCATTTCATTTTTCTTCCTTTAGAGTGCAAAAGACACGAGGGCAGACAACAAAATTATCATTATCTCTCTGTTATACGCAATCGGCCCTTTCAGAGTGGGAAAAAAATTATCAAATCAAAGATTTCTCTAACGAAACTTACCATTATGGCTGATCAAATTAGGTCTGATTGGTAGCAGCTGCTGTAGTTCTTTCGTGGGCTCATTATTCGCCAGCGAGTAGTTTGGTCAGTGGTCATATCTTAAAACATTAGCTTCGTCATGTATGACATTGGTCCGAACAAAATGGCGGGTATTGCTCAGTCATCTCTCTGACTGTAAACAATAGTTCTCTCGAATGAAGATTTACCATGAATAATAGAACTGAGCCCGAAGGAAGCAGCGATGCTGATAAGTCGAGGAAACCACGGACACAGCAGCAAAAGAACTCGGAATTTTTTGCAACACTGGAACAGCTTGAGCAGAGGTAATCCTTTTTTCAAGAATTTTTTACCTATATTGAATTTTTACTTTTACAGAGAAACTCCGATGTAAAAATATCAACAATAATATTGAAATTTTGATGTATGATTAATGGTTTCGAATATTAAGAATGTTATGATGTATTTCTCTGTGATTGGATGCTTTGGATGTGATTGGATTTACTTTTTGAAAGTTTTATTTTCTCCTAGTTTAAAGAATATATATGTATACATATTTTTTAATTATTTATGATTACAATTTTTGTAAATTGTCAGAATTTCTGCCCTGGAAAAGGATAGAAACACTCCACTTTACAGTCGACGCAGCGAGTTTCGTAAAGACTACTGTGAACTTGAAGAAGTGGATTTGAAGGGAACAAATGAAAGAAAATCCGAGAGTAAGTAGACAGTGTAACTTAGAACCTTCTGAATTTGTTTAGCCTGAGGTAGAAATCACTTACTTGAACCCATATGCTACTATCTAAAAAGCAATCTAACTCGATTTAATGATAATGTAAGGCAATTAAAAAAAAGATGAGAACCCTTCAACTTTTATTCCTTCCTCTGTTTGAGAATAAACTATGATAATCATAAACAGTGAATTAATAAGAACCTTTAATAACAAATTCAATCAATCAGCAGTTATTGTTCAACTGAGTATAGCTGGCATAAGTTTCCTTATGTTGAAGTAAAAAGTCCACTACTAGATGGATTCATTATTAGGAAATGAAATAGTAGATGATCTGATTTAGAAGAAACATAACGTCAGTGAATTTTGAAGCAGACTTCAGTTCGACAATTTTACTGAGTTGATCCAAATTTCACAGCTATAAATTCCAGATACCTTTTTTTTCTCAACGTGACACAATAAATAACTAAAGAAAGGCTGGAGAAAAGTATGAAAACATTTAGGGTAGTATAGATTTATGAGAAATGTCTATGGTAATGAAACTTTTACATCCCTGCTTACATTGGTACCCAGTCAAACCTTTATTAAGCAGTAACCCATGAGGAATGGTGGAGTGACTGGTTAACCCTTTAACTCCCAGATCAAATTTTTAATTCTCCTTACTGTTAACCATACAATTATTATAATATCAGTTCAGAGAATTTAGTATCAGATCAACTAATTATTCCCAAATTGATATTTTCTTGATTCTCGTCACTTATCTGGTTGATATTGTAGTGATATTGAAAGGAGAAATTCTGTCTTGGTCACTTAAGGGAGTTAAAAGGTTAACACAGGTTGACTGCTTAATACAGGTTCTACAGGTTATCATGAAATATGATAAAAATGCCATTTTATGTTAAAATTGACTACTTAATGAACAAAAACTTGCTAAAAAATGTTACTAACTTTCAATTAATTTTGGGAGATCAAAGTGGATTAAATTTTCCTTTAAAGATAATTCTTAGATTTATTTGAGTGGTTCTACTTAAAGTGACTGTTCAATACAAGCAGAGGGCAATACTAACTGAGGGCGTTGGGACTTAATCAAGGGTGACCAGGTGCACTTAGTATAAGTAACCCCTTATTAGAAGTGAAAATTACTGTAATTAAGAGGAACAAATCTTTGGACTCGTAATAGCAACTCCCTAATAATAAAGGGTGACTGCTCAATATGGTGTCACTTAATACAGGTTCAACTGGATAATGTTACCTCTTGTTCAAAACATCCTTATTGATACTATTGATACTGGACTTTTCCTGAATGCTTTCATTATTTTAAATTAACAGAAAGTAAACTGAAGCAGCAGTTGGGTAAAATCAGGGCAAATGTAAACAAGTTCCAGAGAGACTTGCAAGATGTGAAACCATCACCAGAGTTTGTGGAAAAACTCAAAGAAATAATGGAGGAAATTGAAAATTCTATGATGACATTCAAAGAACAGCAGAGAAAAATGTAATACATACTTTTTAATTGTAATTTATAACTATTACAGTTGTACTAGCAATAGTTAGAATATCAAGTATTACATAGAGGGTGGTAGTTTTTAAAAGTATGTACACTTAAGTTTGAAACTTCTGGAAAATGAAAGTTTAGACTTGACTCCAAGATTATTATATGAGATTACTGGCAACAGCTAATGCCAACGTTCTGTTTAGTTTTAGTTTCAACCAGATTACCTTTATGTCTTTGGAAAAGGTCATAGAATTAATAAAATGTAGTAGATGTCTTCTTTCAAAAGCTTGTCATATACATGTAGTCCTGATTGATTTTGTGATTCTTGGCAGCTATGATGAGCTGATGCATGAAGAGCGAACATGCCTACAAGAAGTAGCAGCAATGGAGAAAAAGTTTGATTCTTGGTCACAGTTGCCTGCACCTGCAACAGCTGCTGTTGATGTAAAGAAAGCAGCTGGGGCTATTACAGTTTCACTGCCACCTGCAGTTGCAGCATTTGAGGTACTTTGGATTAGAAATGTTTATATGACCTGTAAGTATCATAATATGTATTGAGCTTTGATGAATCATGCAGTGGGTGTTGATATAGTCATGAGTTGTCTCTTTGTATTGTGTTTTTACCACCCAATTGTAATTAACACTGGCCTATTGCAGAGATTCTTGGCGCAGACTGGTGGACACAGTGGAGGTTGGGATGACTATGATCAACAACTCTTCTTAAAGCTTAAGAGCAAACACAAGGTATAAAATGAAAGTTTTATGTTAGATTATCATTGATTTTATAAAACAAGGAAGTACTTTCCTCTTAATGGAGATTTATTGGTTTTTCTCAAGATGCAGTCACTTCTAGTGTGGATTGCAAGAACTTTACTTCTTGTTGCTGGTCTTTTTCAGTCTATTTGGTATCAGCTTATAAAGAATTGTGTTCTTTTGTAATTGGCTGGTTTTTAATTGTTGTAAGGACACAATTTGGCAGTTGGTTGACTCTCCTGTTTTTGTTCTTCTTAACTGTGGGATCCATGCTTCTGTAATTTTAGTGTTGTCACAGTGAAGCCTTATACGAGTTGCCTCTTTTACCCTGCTTGCATGTATTCATCACAATGAATAACCACAACCTTTTTCACAATCAAATACTATGGGACTATCTATAGAACCATGAAGCTTTCATGCGAGCTGCAGGATCAGAGATTCCTGGAAGAAGCATTGATGATGTGCGACAACATGATGAATGGTACAGCGAATACTTGATACTCAAAGAAAGTAAAAAGAAAGCCATCCAAGAATGGAAATACAACAAAGAGGTATGTATCATTCACACTTGTTCCATTCAGCAGCATACCCTGTTCCTCACTTTTAGCATGAGTGTCTTAAAGACTTACCTAATTCTTTGGTTAAGTCAGTAATGACACACCAGTTATTCATCAGACATGGTGCATAGCTGACTTCAGTTATTGCCTAGCGCAGTGTCTGCTGATGTATTGATTGTATGTTGACTGACAGTGAGGTCATCTGTCAAGGAATGTTTTAGAGTAGAGACAACTTTTACCTTTAACTTTTTTAAAATGCTCACAAGTGTTTTGCAAGATTTTCCCACAACATACCAATACATTTTCTCACTGAGAGGCAAAGAGAGTGAACAGTATTATCAACTGGAGAGTGTTTTGTAGATATGCATTAAATTCTCCCAAGTGTTTTATTTGGAATATATTGAATATAGAAGGGAGAATAACTAGATAATCAGTTATCAAGTCATGAGGGTTAATTGGCGTCATTTACTGTCAGACTTCTTCGGCTGTTTTTCTACTGGATGGATAGTCTTGGACTCTATAATCAAACATACATTACAAAACTATTAAGTATTCATTTAATTTGTTTTCTTGTAACAGATTTGTTTTGGTTTCCAATAGGCAAAGAAAGATGACTTGTTAAAAGATGATGAAGATGAATTGGAGGAGGAAGAGAAAATAAAGAGAAGAAAAGAAGAACAAATAGAAAAGGAGAGAGAAGAAAGAGTTAAGCAGTTAAATGAATGGAAGGTAACTATCTTGGAGGAGTGAGCAAATTAAGATTTGATTTTTAAAATAATGAACATGTATATTAAATATCTTGGAACTAGTTAACCTCTTGCACCCCAACACCCTAACATCAGTATGCATATTCTCCATACTGTTTTCTATACAATTTCTAAAGTGCTGAAAAGGAGAATTTGTTTCTTAATCAAGAGAATATTTAGTTTGTGATTATTTCCTTTATTCTCATGACCTTACTCTGTGATGCTGGGGCTATACTGTTGGGAGAAATTAGATGCTAGTCACTCTCAGGGGTTAAAAGGTGAAGGTAGAGATTTCTGTCCAAGCAAATATAAATACATAAATATAATTTATCCTTAGCTCCACTAAGGATAAGCATAGCAAGCTTCAAGCAGGAACCAGCTGTGTGACATGGAGTAACAAACCCCCTTTCTAAACTGCTATCCACACCTAACTACCAAATGGAAAGGGGTGTTTCAATCCCAGCATGAATGTTGTTGTGGAGTTGGATTAAATGTTCTTGTCTTATTATTATGTATCATTGATAACTCAGAGAACTAAAAAAAAACACTCTTGTACGGAGGAGATTCAGTATGACAACAAATGCGGCCAAAAACACTTCTTCACATATTTTAGAAAATGTTATCCTGGCTGAACCATTTACATCCTAGTATTGTTATCCATATTCTCCACAGTGTTCCCTTTACATTTGATCCCATACTGAAAAGGAGAATTTGTTTGATAATCGGGAGCTTCTTAAATTGGTGATCATATCCTGTATTCCCATGACCTTCACATTTGATTCAAGGGTGATACTGTAAGGAGAAGTTAGAAGCCAATCACTCTTACCAGTTGAGTAAAGGGTTAAAATGAAGTGCTGCTGTGGGATTATGTTTAGACTGCATTGTATAGTAACAGGCCTTAGGATGATGCTGCATTTCTAAATTATTTTTGTTGGATGACATTTGGTTTTGGTGATATTCTTCTCAGGTACAGAAGGAATTAGACAAGGCAAAGACAGAGGAAGCACGGCTCAGATTAGAAATGAACAAAGCAAGGGAGAAAGAGAGGGAGGAGAGGAAAAGGGTAAGATAGTTCACAATCCCAAACACTGCCAAGCTCGGGGATGGAAGTTGTAACAACACGATGTGCCTAAATACCGTAAATCCTTGAGTTAGCACCAGAAATAAGCTCCCCCATCCGATAAGCCCCTTCAGAACAAGTCCCTCTTCAGAATAAGCGCCCCTTCAGAATAAGTGCCTCTTCAGAATAAGCGCCCCTTCATTATAAGCCCCCCTCTTATTGGTCAAAATTTGAAATATGTACCCCCTTCGATGATTCGCCCGTTAGTAAAAAGCGCTCCACCCCGTCTTAACATGAATCTGAAATAGGACACGGATGCAACTTCGAAGATTTGCGACAATTTAACTCAAAGAACAGTCCTCCCTCCGCCTAGAGAGATAACGTTAACAGTAAACTGCAAGAAAAACTTAACGTATTACTTAGGAATTACATGTACCTTTGACAGATAGGAATTCCGGGCCTAGCTTTGCTCTCTTATGCAACAACAGCAACTGTAAAAGACGATAAATAATGGGACTCGTAATACTTTAGAAAGCTGCTTCACGGTATTTCGACGCGTTCTGTAGGGTCTCGAAAGATTGTCGTTACAGTGATGACTCCAAAAACGAAATGGTAGTTTGTGAGAGGGAAAGTCTCCAAAATGGAACTAATAGATGAAAAAGGAACGAGGTTGTTGAACGATGGTCGAGACCGCACCAACCGTATTGTATCTCCCTCAACTTGTTTTTCTTTGTTTTTTTTTTTGCTTTTTTAGCTGGAGATTAAAGCACAAGTGGAAGAGTACGCAAGACAAAAAGCAGAAGAACAAGCTATTTTACAAGCAGCACGACACGCGAGACATCACCAAGAAAAAGAGGCAAATAAAATAACCGCGGAAGAGGCAGCGAAAATACAAGAAAGGGTGAGTATGATTTGTGACCGTAATGTGATGCAGAAAGTGGGTGGATCTTACACACAACGGGGAAAGAGCGTGTTGCGTGACATTAAACAAAGGTTGCGAGCGGGTTTAGGTAGTTGCATATCATAATTTATGCAGAATCTTTTACTTGTATTGCTTCAGAGCCAAAAGATGTTAGATGAACGAAAAGCCAAGTTGAAAGTGAAGGAGGTTCAGAAACAAGAGAAAGAAAAAAGGCTCCAGAAACTAAAAAGTCAGGTAACGGATTGTTTAAGTAAGCAAGGGAAGCAACAACAGCAAAAAAGATTTTTCTTGTATTTTTCCCTCTCTTTTTATTGGAAGGAAGGTCCAGTCACATGTCTAACACTTTGCCTCTGACCCAGGTTGAAGTGAATGTATCTCGCGACCCATCTCGACTGTACAAACTTACTGCTGGCTGGGAACAGAGAAAAAAAGAAGGGCCTGGGACGGCTGGACATGGGCCCAGTCTTCATATGCCACACAGGTATGCAACTCTTTTTTTCCCATACGATCCGACCTCCCTTTGTAAGAATATTTTTCTCAATTGCATATCATAAGGAACTCGGGAATCCATTGAATTTGTTCTGTGCGCCATTGTTGACCGAGCAATTGCCATCCCTTCAACTAATGAGAGGAAAAATTGAAGCCAGTCGCGACTTGGTCTCTTGCGTGTCCCACGCTTTAGGCCGCCCACGTTTCTTTGCTTCAAGCTCTTTATTCCCCGTGATTTTCCCTTTGCTCTGACTTGCCGTTGTGATAACTTCGGTTGTAAGCTTGATGGTATACACAAGAGTGATGGTTGAAGAAACAGAAGAAAACAGAGATTCGTGTAATCAGTGCAAAGTTCTTTTAAATGAAATGAGTACTGTTTGATTTCAGGGCAGTCCCATCATGGCGGCAGGGATTATCATGACAGCTAGCTACTCTACAGAACACTCATCGCCATTCTGAAGCCCATGGACTTACGTTCTTTTGCATTTTTGATCCTTGTTCAACATGTATTACAACTACCTTTCCGTCATCTTTAAAACGAAAATTTTCGATGGCTTTATCATCTGTGGAATGTGATTCCATTCTCATATCGGGTAAGCTTAAATTCGCTAAAACGTGGTCAAGAAAGAGCCTGCAGAACAACCGTCATCTGTTAGCGAGGCGCGCGGAGGTAAGCGCGAGGCAAGAGACCCTCGCAAGGTCATTTTGTTCGCGCTCCTCCCCTCACGCGTCTCTCCCCTCGCGCTTGCCCACTCCCGCTATATGTTGATAGCTCCTACAGCTTATCAACATGTGAACGTTAATCTTGTTAATTGCGTTAAGAGGGGCACTGTTATTTTACTTGCACCTCGTAAGAAGCTGCATTTGATATAAACATCTTCTGGAGGCCGTGAGTCTTCCAAAGCTTGGAGGTGGGAAACAACCGAGTTGATAGTGTACAGTTTTAAATGAAATTGTGAATAAAATAATTATTTATGTGTCAAGGGGTTTTAGAAATAATTCTATACTATAGAGAAATTCCCATTTCCTACTCGAAGCGCAGTGTTAAGAGTTCTAATGAAAGTTATTTTGCAATAAAAAATATCGTCGAAGACGTGGGAACACCCATCACAAATTTTCCAATTCTTCTCTTGTTTTCCTCGCATTGATATATTGGATGATCTCTTTACTACCACTCGTACCAAAGCCGTTTTAAAAATGGTATTTTCTTAGTGAAATGTACTATTTCTTTTTGAAAATATTTTCCACATTCGGCCGATTTTTGAAACATTAGTCTTAAATCCTTTGAAAACGCACCAAACTCTCTTTGTGTTCTTGAAACCGAGATTTGTTTCTGACCGTGGCCGCGATTTAGTGAATAAGCTCGTTGTTTCCGTGCCTTGTTTGTAGACACTGAAAACATAACGATCACTAAAAAATTCTGAACTGCTAAAGAACAGAGCGTTTTATTCTGTAATCACTTATAGATGTTTACAACTCTCTTCAAAATATAGAAGTGAAAATCTCCCAACTTTGTAAGTACCGTTAAATTAGACTAAATAATTAACTATTGCAAAAATCTCTCCTGACAGATTTCAATAATTTACAAAACATTCACACAATTTTTTTTCTTATACTAAATATCATTGTACTGATTGTTACACATAGATTCTAAGGGTTCTTCTTGAAAATAAATCGACTTTAACACAAATTGACTCTTACAAATTTGAACAAAACTTATACTGTTTAGGTATTTCTTCATTCCTTCTTCAGACTGAAATTATACATTTACAATTCCGTTTACCTAAATTACGACCAATTCGTCTTCGAAACAAAGCAATTTTGCGACAGAATTTGCAATTTGCTCAAATTCTTTCTACGGTTAAGGAATTTGCCGATAACCATCAATCAACAGTAACAAAGGATAGCATCAATTTCTTTGGCCATTCGCTAATCTCGTACCCAGACTTTCCACGATCAAGCAGTGGTAAAGACGGTAGGAACTGGGTGTGAGATCAGCCATACACAAGAGTTTTCCTTTTTTTTCTTTTTTAACTACGGTGATCTTTACATGGAATGTGGTAGATATGGGTAGGTTAATTTCCATCATTAAAACATTTCTGCGATTGATGATTTCTCTGGATTAAATTCGACGAATATTAATGACTTGTTCCGTACCAAATGACAAAATGGGTTACATAGATGCGTGTGACATGAAAAATGCATTAGTGGTGAATTTCCATTAAATGTGGATTTTCATTATAATTTATATCACGGTTGCTGTCTGAGATTCCGTAAGCTTAGAGACGGATGATTAAATATCACTTGCGATTTTAAGTTGAATAGTTTTCAAATCTCGTTACTATATTTACACCAGAATGCTGAAAATTACGACAACTTAGAAAACGCTATATTATCAATCTCGTTTTTCTTTAAATCTTTTCGATGTAGTTACTTGGAAATAGTCCCTCGCGGCCATTCAGTTTTCCCGTCCACCATCCTGAGGGATCTGGGAATAAAACACAGATGACAATGTTAGAATCTGAGGCCAAGTGGGACCAGCATTTAACACTTAACATAAGACAGAAAAACTTGGTCAAGTATACGAATTCGAGGTGAATCTTAAGCTGCATGAGTATGGTATTTTTCATCATCTGATGTTTAATTACAAAGTCCCACCAAAAAATAAACATTAAAAAAATTCGGGTCAAAACTTTCTTTAAAGCCGAAAAGAGCAAGTCAAACCAGGAGAAAAATTTCACTGCGATCCTTTTTTTTTTACTCCGGAAGTGTAGCAGGAAGCCTCGATCCTAGTTTTCCCCGCTCACGTTACAACACATCAAAATGAGGCCACTGACCACCAAATCAGACTACAAACTTGTTCCCAGGCTCCTATGCAGAAAGAACGAGGAACCTGAGCACGACTTTGCTTGTTTTCTTGTGGTTGTTACGACGTGGACATATCAAACCTGCTCTACTCTGCAAACCTTAGGGAACCCAGTTATCATACCTAGCGACTTATTACATGAGGCGTTTTAACTGTTTCCTACGTTATTTTACCTTCTTTAATAATTTCAATGATTTCGTCCGGTTGAAAGCTCAACTCTTCAACGTCGGTGGCGTCGTAAGGCCATAGTGTCTTACACCGGGGTAGGGACGGGGCTGGTTTTGGCTTAAGCCTAGGTTTTCCTGGAGCTGGAGGACGTTTCGACAGGGACTTCTTCTTGGAGTTTATCCTTTCGATACTAAAAAAAAGGATCAGATTACCAAGCTGTCCTTTATAATAAGTCAATAATAAACCAGGTACAGAAATCTTGAAGAAAAAGATAAATGTTAGGGAAGTTCTCATGTAAACACTCAAGAAATATAACACAAGTAAAACACAATCAGGAATTGTCCCTAGCACTAAAGATTACGCCAACCGCGGTCATGTCAATGGTACAAAATGTACTATAGTCAAAGAAATCCGCGAAGGGTTCAAGTCAGGTTAGCTCATTCAATTGTCTCTATATCGCAAAGCGCTTTTCGACTGAGAGTCGTAAAATCAATACCGAAGCTATAACAACGACCAACCAAAGCATGGAAAATCTCACAAGTCTGTGAGAACTAAGAGTAAAACCGAGCAACTTAGTAAAGCGCAGGAAAACGCAGGTGACGCGATTGGTTTTATTTTCTACTGGTCGAAAAGTGGCGCGAGTTTCCTGAACCAATCAAATAACGAAGTAAAGCAAAACCAAAGCAATTCTGGATAACTTTCGACCCTTAATGGAAAATGTCTCAAACATATTGACGTGGGGTGTCGGGAATATCTCAAACACTGCGAAGAAAAGTAAAGGGGGGGGGAGCGGAAAGGGAGAGGAAGCTGTGTGCTATGTTAGGGAAAGGGAGATACTTTTGGAGTATTCGCGAATGATAACTCTAATTCTAGACGCTGGACAAAAAATATCCAAAAAGAAGATGGGTGGGTAATTTTCATAAAAATTGAAATGAATCCTGCCTGCGTATTTGTTCTATCCTTATTCGTAGACAAGGCAACATGACAAGTTATTCATGAAAACTGTCCGTGTCGCATAACCCATCACGCAAGGTTTATGAACGAAAAACTCCTCTTAAGCAATGAAAAAAATTGCCATTATTTCCCCATCCATACGAGCGTGGAAAATCATCAAATATTAGGTTATCGATGAAGACGTTGTAATTGTGAAAGGTTTTATAAAGGAAAGACGTACAGAAGTAATTCAATAGACATTTCATAATTTAAGTGAAGTAATGTTTGTTACGTGTTAAGTTATTGGTTTTAGTGTTACCTAGCGCCCATTTCTTTTCTTTTGCTGGCAGCGGAGAGACTGGAGACAGAAACATGCTACACTTATTTCACAAGCATTAACACCTTATCAGCTATCTATAGTTAGCTATTAATCATTATTTAATGCATAATAAAAATTTAATATTTACGTTAAGGTTAGGCCCGTTGAAGTATATAAGAGCTTACAAGTTTACGCGACACTACACACATATACCGACAAACAGTGAGCAATTTAGCACAAAGTACAAAACATAAAACTCCACTACTTTCACAAGCAAAATTTTACAAAAAGCAGTAATGGTACGTTGAAGAAAAAAAAAAATTTATTCAACCAGGATTCAGCAGCCAAAACTACAAACATAACACCAAGCATTATCAAAAATCCTCGAAGTGGTATCGATTGTTTTAGTCTCTTTGGCCTTGGAATCGGTTTTAAATTTAAATACGAAATTTCCCGTTGTCAATTCAAATCGAGCGATTTTAGATGAATCAAAACTTCTTATAAAAGGCTAGTTAAAGAAAAGTTAAGCATATCCTTTATCTTTGTTCATATTGGAAATTAAAATTTCTTTGTCCGGGCCTCCTAGGGGGGCAAGGTTTGGTTATAATTTTTTTCTTAGTCTACATGTTGTTGAAAAGTTGTGGATAGCAGTTTACTTGAGGTATCCATTTGTGCACTAAGTGGTTAAAACCAGGATTCAGCAGCCAAAACTACAAACATAACATCAAGCATTATCAAAAATCCTCGAAGTGGTATCGAATGTTTTAGTCTCTTTGGCCTTGGAATCGGTTTTAAATTTAAATACGAAATTTCCTGTTGTCAATTCAAATCAAGCGATTTAAGATGAATCAAAACTTCTTATAAAAGGCTAGTTAAAGAAAAGTTAAGCATATCCTTTATCTTTGTTCATATTGGAAATTAAAATTTCTTTGTCCGGGCCTCTTAGGGGGTGCGAGGTTCGGTTATAATTTTTTTCTTAGTCTACATGTTGTTGAAAAGTTGTGGATAGCAGTTTACTTGAGGTATTCATTTGTGCACTAAGTGGTTAAAAACGAGTAGAAGAAGACCCGTTTCATCCACCAACCACCCTACGAGGGGAACGTGTTGCGTTTCAAAGATACACAATGCCTGGGAAGGAGAAGATTTCTTTCGCGTTACATGAGGTAGTCTGGGGTTATATTAAGATTTCAATCACATTATGAAAGTCAAAAGTTGTTAATAAAGATAGAAAAAAAAAGATAGAAAGTTAGTTCACGGGTACGCTTCTTTGTGAGGATAGGGATCAAGATTTTTATGATCCAACATGGGATGGATGATCGAGAATCAAAAGAAATTAGCGAATCCATTTTGGAGTGAGAGTCACAGACTAAGCAAACCGGGAATATTCTGGTCTTTTGTTTTGCTTTCCCACGCACCGTCACCGGTTGAAAAACATTTCAGCATTCTCTAAGCCAATCTGATTTAAACGATTACTATCGCTTCTTGGTCACTCCCGTTTTCCCACGCCTGTATTTGTACTTTTTGATCGTCGTAATAGCTTTGCATTTAGTTCTAAGACACTGAATCAAAAAACTTTTATGTACCATGCCCCAAGTGATCTTTCTTCAAAATCTTGATCCTGGTCCAATTTTATCCACGAAAGGCGCCCTCACACTGTTCCTTCGATCACGGTTAGAGATTTTAGGATTTAATGATCAGATTCTTCAGTAGATTAAAATTAAGGTTTAAGAACCGTTTAGAGGTGTGTTAGCTCACCTATCATCTTGATTAGTTGGACTGTTAGACCCGTTTTGGCCATCGTGCCACGTCCTCAGATTGACATACTCATTGAGCTGATCATCATCAGTGTCATCAAATTCGCTGTCGGACGTACCGTCATAACCATCATAGCCATTTTGCTGTGGAGTCTCACTGTGGCCTTGGGGGTTGCCTTCTTGACTGTGATGTGTGGCGGTGTACAAACCATTCTGATGGGTAGATGCCACACTGTACGATGCGCCATTTTGTTGAGATGGTGCAGTGCTGTACGACATACAGTGCTGTCGAATTTCAGCGGCAATAGAGGGTTGTTTTTTCTGTTGAGTCGTGGCCGCACTGTAAGGAAGACCATTCTGAACTCCATTCTGAACTCCATTCTGCTGGTTGTGAGCTGCACTGTAGGGGTTATTGTTCCGGGAACTGGCACCAGTGCTGTATGAAATATCTTCGCATTGGCAGGAAGACGCATTATACGGCATCCCATTCTGTTGGAGGGCGGCAGCTTCGTACGGAATCCCATTCTGTCGGCTGGTTGGATCCCCGTATGGTATCCCATTCTGTCGGCTGGTTGGAGCCCCGTACGGCATCCCATTCTGTCGGCTGGTTGCAGCCTCATACGGAATCCCATTCTGATTACTTATTGCAACCCCGTACGGAATCCCATTCTGTTGGTTGGTGGTAGCTCCGTACGTAATTCCATTCCGTTGGTCCATAGCAGTACTGTAGGGTAGTTCAGCTTGATGGCCTGTGCCTCCTCTGTGTGGCATCCCATTCTGATGGTTTATGGTTCCTCCATTATGTTGAGTTGTGACAGCACTGTGCGGCAAATCATTCTGCCGAGCATCTGCAATACTGTACGGTATTCCATTCGTATTGTACCGTGTGCCTCCTCTCTTTCGCCCTTCTGCATTACTGTATGGTGTTCCACTCTGCTGGGGACCTGCCCCATTTTGTGGAGCTGCAGAGGTATGATGCAAAGGTGCCATTTGCTCATAGCCTTGCTGGACAGTGCCACGTCGGGCTTGTCCTGCTCTATACGCTGTCCTCTGCTGCTGCACAACGTTCTGCGCTCTATAGTTGACCTCATCCGGAACACGCTGATGTGATCTCGCTGCAGGATACTCCGGGGCTGGAACATACGCATGCTGCCCGTTTAGCCCATTGGCTTGGCTGTAATTGATTGGACTCATCTGTTCGTATCCGTCATGCGGCGCCCTGGTCTGCTGGCGCCTTGTGTTTGTGTACTCAGCACCATGAGAAGCACTCCTAGCTCTGTAGTCTGATACATACCCCGTCCCCTGGGGTTTGACACTACCAGAATGGGGAGATATGTCCGATCGGGGCGCGCTCTGTTGAGGGGCGTGGTTCATGTGATACCCTGCCCGACTATAACCACCTTGGTCTGATTGTCTTGAGATATCATGAGCAGCTCCAGCCCACTGCATTCTCTGTTGACTGTTCGTTTTACCGTAAACGTTCTCATGCTGTGAGGCAAGTGTCGCAGAGCGTGGGCGCGGGACAGTTTTGAATCCATTTTGCCTTGCAGTTTCCCTCACGTAAGGATCACGTTGTCTTTCTCCTTCCCGAAGCGACCTTGAATCTGGAGCCTCATTAGCCGCTGAACTATACATCCTCTCCCTCTGGGAAGTGATGTTGGCTGAACGCGGTCGCTGTACCGTCTTATACCCGGTTTGCCGTCTTGCAGCATCCACATAGTCGTCTTCAAAACTGACCCTCCTCTTTCCGTCATCAGGCGTACGACTTAACGTTGCTGGATTATACTGCGCGTTCTGCCCATTGAGAGGGTGTCCTGTTTTCCTGTACTGTCCATAGACGGCTGGATCCAGCTGCTCAGGAATTCTTCTAGAATGCTTCGAGCCATCGCCGAACTGGACAGACGCAGCGTGATTCATGTGGTGAGGGTAATTTACAGGCCCGTGTCGTCCAGCGGTAGGTGCTGGGTAAGTCTCGTATGCGCGAGCTCCTCTTCTTATAGTTGAGACAGGAGGAGGTGGGTTCATGCGATTAAATCTGTTTATGGTTTAAAGGTTGTGAATTTAATGAAGTTATCCTGCAGAGTTTGCTACTTCATGTAATCAAAGTGACCTAACTGCTTCTATCTCAATGCAGCATGAGATGTTAGCAAGGCCTTTTACTGTGTTGTGTTTGGATAAATTTAAAAATTGACGATTCATTCTTAATTTTGTTTAGATAAGAGTGTTTTTGGCACGTTTGAGTCCCTAAAAATGGAGAGTTGATTGTTGCGATTTAATTTTTTTTATGGTAAAAAAATTTTACTTTCGCTAATCAAAAGGTCTTAACACGTATGAGTGACGAATGAAAATAAATTAGTCTTCGTTTGAATTTTTTTGGTCAATTTATCCCCAACACACACACAAACATTACTGACAAAAGCACTTGGAGCACAGCACATTAACTACAGAGAGCAAAACAACACAAAACAGTGAACCACTGGATTTCTTCTTCGGTAGACTGAGAAGAATTTCAAGGTTATTGCTGTTGAGAATCCCCTAACCGAATAATTCCCCGCGAAAACTCTGATCAGCATGCAAAACTACTCTGCGTATGAACGGTTCTTCCCTCAACTCCAAATCCTCCCCCCGACTCCTTTCACTCCCACCGCCCCCCCACTCTATTTCAGATTGACTTTCTTAACCCGACTACCCATGAAACTGAAATAATAGGTATTGTGTGGAGCGCTTTTCGATCGAGTGCCTTCAAACGAGAACCCACATTATCACTCGCCACGGCCAGCCATAACTAGGTAGATAACGCTAACGAGGACCCAGAGTAAGTAAATGGCAAGTAAATGGCTTCAAGCGCGGGAAAAAAAATAAACGTGTGTACTGACAGGCTGGCAGGGTAACGCAAGTTTTGTGAACTTATCACAGAGAGCAATAAATTTAAAACACTCAATCGAAAAACGTTCTACAATGCATTAAAAGCAGGAATTATTTTGCGTGTCTCGTTCTTTCTATGATCACGAAATAACTTTGAATTCCCAAACGATGTTACATGCAAAAACTGGTCGAAAGTAATAGTAAAAACCGTTGTCCTTGGAGGTGCAACTGGTCTCGAATACACGTTAGCAATGTCCTAACAATGACTTTCAATCCTCAAGTGACTTAGTAAAATCAATTAAGTCGTCAATTCTTGCTGTAGTTAAAATGAGCTTCGCAAGTTTACTGTATCTTATGTCGTGTAATGCGAAGTTCTATAAAACTGTTTTCCTGGAAATTCTACTCAAAAGTGGCTTCGACAAATAATTGCATGTAACATCATCTCTGTTTGAAAGCATAAATTCATACTTAAAACAAACACAACTTTGCTCTATTCTCAAAGTGTCTTCACTAGAAATCACCGCATCTTCGCGTTCTGTTTTCAAGAATGCAGTAATTCCTAAGAAGGTCAAATACAGATCAAGTCTTTCTAACTTGATCCATTCCCTTTTTGAGCTTGTTTTATAAAGTATTGTACCTCCCCCTCTATTTAAACCCAGAGATATTTTCGTTCCCTCATTCCGTATTGTAAGTTAAGGAGCCTCGTTTTTTCTGTCCGAATTTGGCTCGCTTCTCACTTGGGCCTTAAATCCGACTGGAAAAACCTCCGTCCCGTACTTACAGACACAGACTGAGAACACAATTAGTAAGACGTGTTTTCGTAGACAAAAAGAATGACTTAACTCACCCACAAACTCCTGACTCAGGTGTTCGCATGAATTCCTGTTGTCGAACATCGATGTTAGCTGGTCCTCGCGCCAAGTGCTGAGCACCTGATCTTGGAAGTGACGGCTGTTTGTGGGTTGCTGCAAATCGTTTGAGACTTGACGATGTCCTGCCGCGAGATTGATTGGACGCTTGCTGTTGAGAGGGGTACCCTGGGGCCGCTCGACGTGGTTTGCTTGGGCTAGAGCCGACGTGTGCTTGGCGACCAGGTCCTGTTGAAACAAACGATAGTTGTCATTTCTAGATATTCCATAGAGGTAAAATGAACCCCTCACCCCGATATTGAGACTGAATACAACCGAACCTGTATGAAGCAGTCACCTTCCGGGAATCGCTTGGCGACCTCTTAATACAGGTTCGACAGATTGGGGGTATTATAAAAAACGATTAAAAAACGTCACTTTACGTCATAATTGACCACTCAATGTACAGAATCTCGCTAGAAAAGACGACTTACTTTGATTTTGGGAGAGGAACATTAAAAATAACTTGAAAGATTATTCTTAATTTTACTTGAGTAGTCTCGCTTTCAGTGACCATTCAAGACAGGTGGAGGACAATAAGAACATGCCGTTGGAACTAAGTCAAGGGTGACCGCGACCGCGACCGTTTAATAAAGGTGAGCATTTAATAGAGGTGAAAATTACAAATAACTGACCGCTCAGGACTCTGACAACTGACCGCTTAATACGGTGCCGCTTAATACAGCTTCGACTGTATTAGCCAAAAAAAGGGACTGATTGTTACAAATTACCAACAATTCGACATATTTGTCCTTTAACGATCTTAAGGAGCAAGTTTCGATTAAGGGTCGAGAGAACTTTGCGATTGCTTTGATTTTGCTTTACTTCGCTCTGTGATTGGTCTAGAAAGGTCACGCAACCCGCTCAATCCATGAAATACAAAACTAAAACCAATAACGATTACTATGAGTTTTTATTGATCCTTGTGATAATTTCCGTTGTTCTGATTGGGCGGTGTGATTACTTTTGTTTTGGTTCAACGACATTTCATCGAAAAGCCCTTTAAAAGGAGCTGTGATTCTAAATATCAGGAAATACTTTGAAGAGGGAGGTGGGGGAGGACGAACTGTCCTTCAGGCACGAGGACAGTGTCCAGAGAAAAGGTCTATACAAAGGAAGCTCTTTTGACTTCTCCTCTTTCAATTACTTACTAGTGTCCTTCGGAAGACCTGGTCCAATGGAGACGCTGAGTGTTTTGCCACTGGGCTTCAGCACAGGGACGTCAGAACCTCCCGAGGAGAAGTTTAAGGAACGTGTTCCACCTCCTCCCCAGCCCTCCTTCTTCACTGTCACTGTGATGCTGAAATAGAAAAACAGTTAAAATTGTCAATAGGAATAATTCTTACTGGACGTAAGGTTTGCTTAGACAAACCCTCAGTCCAGTGCTATGCAGATAATGCGTCAGTGATCATCGTGGTGTACCTAAATGTCCTTTTGTACAATCGGTACCTATCTATTCGGGTTCTCGCTACACATGCAACGTACTCAGCCGGTACAAGAAGGAATGGGAGAAAAATTAGAGTTTATCAAATCCGATCCGTTTTATGCGGAAAATAACATTGCCGTTACAACGTACAAATGTCACCGAAACCAATGGGAACTTAAAAGTGAAAAAGAGCCAGCTGCCTCAAGCACTGGAAAATGGGAGTAGCTGAGTTGCAATTGGTTTTGGTTTTACATCTGAATGGTTGAAAAGGTGGCAGGTTTTTTTTTCCCGACCAATCACAGAGCGAAGGCAAACTCAATGTAACACCGCTGTACAATCGATACTCGATTGAAAGTCCCTCAATTGGATTCACAAGATCACCATTAAACCAAGAACCATTTTCCAACATTACAGATTAACTCTTCCGCTTAAATTCAATGTTAAACGCTATGTTTATCATACCTGCTGGCAATGTCAACTTTGAGCTGACGGTTGACAGAGTCTTGATACTTTGATGACAGAAGAGTTAAAAACTCAGTTTTGAACACAGTTTCCAGAACACTGTCATATTTCCCTGGGATATGAAGAACAATGAAGTCATCTTGAAGTGGACTGGAAACGAAAATTGAAATAAATAGTATGAGAGAGATGATAAATTGAAATTGAAATATTGTAAATATTGGCGCTGGACGGTACGCTAGTCTCCTTTCTTATCCGTTTTTCGGGATGTCACGCAACAGTCTTCCTTCTTCTTGGAGTTGGGAAGCGAGGGGGGGCGTCATGCGACATCCAATGCAAGGTTGCGAAGGACATCAACGGTAGAGAGGCATGCCTTAGTTTGCTCAATCATTGACTGTCGTGACTGGACATATCTCAGTTGCACTTACCTAAGTGACACAGATCCTATGCTTTTCATTTCCAGTTTCCGTTTTACAACTTCATAAACTTTACCCTTTTCGGGTCCTTTCTTCACCTGAAAGTTCCAAGTTAGGGGAAATGTTATGTGTCTTCGGCAACTATCATGGACGAATTAACTTAACATAAGTTCCCCACTACGCAGATGTACAGCATTTTAGCATATAGCATTTGAACGAGCTAATGCGTTTGAATCCTAATTAAGAGCTCAGGATCAGAAACATGAACAGGATTCTTGAAAAAAAAATCGCTGTCTTCTTCTTCAAAAAATACAATTTCTATGCTCTGTTACCAAATTTTCACAATTTGCCCACGAGAAGTAGAAGCAACAGACAAAATCGGAATGCGCCAAGCGCTGCAAGCTATGTTGCATTTCATGAGCTGAATGAAAGAGCATGACTGAAATAACAATGCAGCGAATCTCCTTTTCTCTCCAATGAAAACCATGCTGATCCCAAGACACACGACGTATATGTATAGTAAAGTTATCATTTTTTTTACTACACAATTACCTTTTCTCTTCCAATAAGGTAAATATGTTTGCTTGAGAGCAGAAGGTCCCGTTTCATTGCCTGTAAAGAGAATTTCATTCAGCTTAAGTATCGTAACAAAAAGGATGAGCAGTTTTGATAAACACGAGAATGTAATCATTTTGAAAACAAAAAACTATAAGCTATGCTAAAAATCATAAACACTATACCTTAAATCTTCTGTCGTATTTGTTCACTGTGACTGCAAATTCAATTCTCTCTCGCTTTTCTGAAAAGATAGTATCAGAAATAAGACATTACTCTTCAAACTATGAAGCAAAAAAAAACACACAAGGCAATCCATAAAACAAAATCTGACGAGAGTCAAAGACAACTCATACCGACTAAACTCCTCAAGGCAGGGTTGTTATCATAACCAATGTAATCACCCACAAAATTGCGGTTGATGCTAAACCTTCGTCTCTCTTTCTTGTTGAACAGGATATCTGATGCTGAAACGACGGTACAAAGCAAGTTAGATGGGCTACTGTAAGCTTGACACACCACGTCCGGTAAAAATGAGAGTCAAGCTCTTCAAATAGAATATATGTGTAGGAAAGACAATACGCAAGCCAAACCAGCGCAGTCACTGGGAATATCAAGGGGAACAGACGAAAGATTACCTTGTTGTTTGAGCTCGGCAAAGTATTGCCTTGACTTGTACATTCTGTAAGCCTTCTGGATCTTTCTGGCGTAACCGTCGAACTTTCTGTCCCTCAATTCTTCAAGCAAGAACAGCTTGATTCAAGTAAAGAAGAGTCAGATATGGATTAGAGGACTTGGCAAAATAACTTCCTGTACGAATTATTAGTAACAGCAGACTCCAACGGTTGCAGTTTCTAGCGCTGCTCTCAAGCGCATAAGTTCGTTTATTTTCATCACCTATTTGCTTGAAAAAGCATTGAAATTACGAGTAATATCTCACCGATTCAGGTGCTTTGATGAACACTTTACTTTTTCCCATCTGCCACTGGTCGCGCTCCATGTTGACAGCATTCATCAGATGCTCCACTCCTCTCCGCATGTCACCATTCCACCGCGGCCAAGTCTCTTTGGTAAGTATAGCATATCTGGCGACCAGATTAAAAAAAATAATATTACCAGTTGAATTCATCGTTAAATCTGTAACCATCAAAATCAATTCTGAATTCGCGAGGTGAACAACAAAGAAGCCCTTGAAAAGGTTGAAGCTAAATGCGCATTCAGGACATCTGAAACAATGAGTGGGAAGACGTGGTCATAAATCAGGAGCTACCGGTACGTCCAGTATTTAAAAAAGCAATAGGAAAAATTGAGCCCCAAATTTTCAATTTTTTTTTTTCATATGCAATCTGTGTTAATCTTCTCCACCTTAAACCATTCTTGCTCCCCGTTGCGTTAATCTCTTTTTTCGATTTTGTCTTCGCTCGGTAAACTTTCTTTTGAAGAGTTTCCTTGCAATTATCGACAATTTCAAACAAATCAAAAAAAATGTTTATGTACTTTCTCAACCTCTAATCAGATTCTCATCAAAATCACTGGTCTTACGACACACTCACCTATCAAGGAACTTCTGAAAAGGTCTTCTATAGGCAAATCCTGCTCTTCTGACGCGGATGTTTTCCTTCAGTCCCAGGTACTCCACCTGATGTTTCACTCTGTCACCCTCCCAGTCATGAGCCTTTTTGCTCTCATTTGGTTTAATGCAGCGGATGTAATGAGGAGTACACTTCATGAGTTTGTCTACTAGCAGATTGGCTTGTGTCTGTAAAATAGGCAATGAACAGTGATGTGTTAAAGCTAAATAGGGCCACTTCACGGAAAAATTAGTAACTTGAGATATTTGTGTTGTGTTTCATGCTCAAGGTAAGAAGAGAAATCATCCTTCCTCATTTCATTAACGTACGTAAAAATTCACCATCTTTTTTATTCTATTAACTAACACCAGGCTTTCGACATTTCCAGTCGTAGTGAACAGGTCGCGTGTTACAAAAGAACCTTGTACTAGCCTAGCACACCCTAAAGTTCCTGTGGCTCAGAGGTAGAGCATCAGAGAGCGGAATGTGAAGGTGCAAGGTTCGATTCTTCATTGAGACTCTTTGTTCCACGCTCAAGACAAGACGAAAAAACATTCTTCTTCAGCAACATTAAGGTGCATTCTATTTTTTCAAATTTGCAAACTGCAACATTTGTATTGGCCCTCTGTAGCCGCAGTTAAAACAGTTCCATGGAATTTCCTTTTCTATTTATCTACAAGATCATTCCACTAGCTAGTTATTTCAAATAGAAACCTTATTTTTTTTCTATAATTCTTGTAAAGGTGTGTTTACCTTGATCTTATTACTAGCTGTTGTGGGTCTTCCTCGTTTGTCGGTACTGACATCCTCAGGGAAAAGATTTCTCATGAAAGGGCTGCAAGGACACAAGAGAAAAAAGAACCTGAATCAAATTTACATAAGACACAACTCTGAGCTGCAAAATATGTCCCTTTAAGAGTGTTGTCTACTAAACCCTCTATAACCTGCAAGTACCAACCGAGCTGCAAATCCACAAGTGCGACGAAAACAAACTTTACGCATGTTATTTATTTAGCTTGTAAGTCCTGCTGTCAATTAAAGAACTAGAAAAAATTCCAGAAAACTCACTTTTCACTTGTCTGCATCAGCTCAATGAGATCCTTGAAAAGAACATCACGATTTCTTTCACAAAATCCATTAACATCGTACGTTACCTGAAAAACAATGTGAATCTTAGATAGAAACTTTATTTTATCAAAAAACCTAAAATGTTTATACTTGTAAAAAAAATATTTGCATGTATATTCTGACTGATCTTAAATACCTTTCCAGCATAGTGATGGATTATGAACCCTCCACTGACACCTTGAAAGTGTTGATGTGTCCCTACTGCATTATTCAGTTTCTGAAAAAAAAAATTGAAAACAGAAATATTAATTTAATAAGTTAAAAAAGTCATGATAACTTGGATAATTAAAATATGGTAATTTAGTACTATCAACTGAGTTTTGATAATGATGAATTAGTTTAGGGCCTGGTTTTGAAAACCTTTAAGAAAAAGTTTAAAAGTTTGAGTTCAATATCTTTCAAGCACTTAAAAAATAACCACCCAAATTGTCTACTCCCTTTCGTCAGAGGTGCCAAAGATTGCCATCTGATCAAATTCTCCTTTGTCAGCACCTCCTAAAAAAGAATATATACAAAGGTAAAAAGAGAAAATATAGGATAAATTCTCCTTTTCAGCATCTTGGAATATGTACAGAGAACAATATGGAGAATACGCGTACTGATGTTAGGGTGCCGAGGATTAAGATACTACACAGTTAATTATACATGTGCCCCAAATACCTCAAGAAGAGTTGCATCAGCTCCTTCACTAACAGCATGCATGGTTGCACAAACATCATCCAGAACACACATAATACCAGGAGGTTTCTATCAATGTAAAAAATATAATTACCAATTATTTAACTTTAGAAGGACTCCACTACCAGACCTTGGAACCCACAATCCATTTATAATTTTTTTTTAAATGACAAAAGGAAAAAAGGGGGGCTTACCTTGCTCTCAATTACATCACAAACAATTTTGTTGTTAAAATAATCAATTGGGCTCCAATTGATTCCTTCCTCCACATATTCTTCCTGTGATAGAACATTCATTTGCATGTAATTATTAAATGCACATAAGGCAAATTACTAGAAAATAACAATTAATGACAAATAATAATGATGGAAAAAGAAAGTGAGTTTGTATGCAAAATTTATTAGCACCCAGAGCAGCTCATTAGATAAAATTACCACAAAACAACTGCAATGTACTTAAAAATTAACATGAAATACTGAAGGCACTGTCTTGTGCTTCCAAAACTCACCTGCTCTGCTTTTAGAGTCAACTCAATGAAGATTTGTTGAAGCTTTTCATTGACAAAGTTGATGCAGAACTGCTCAAATCCATTTTTCTAAAAGGTTGAGTTCAAGATCAGCAATAAAACAAAAATTAGGACACTTTCCATCATCCTAACTATATATCATGTTAGCTAGAATGTGTAAACATCCACATTGCTCCTTGTATGAAAGACTATTGTCAGACAAACAGTCTCATGACATCAATTCAATTCTTTAAGTTCATATAAATCAAAAAAGTTAGTTTACCTGAAAGATTTCAAAGCCATAAATGTCAAGTACTCCAATTGTCAGTTCATCGACTTGCTTCTGCATGGCTTTGTTCACAGACTGCAGTGACAAGCATAAAATGCAACATTAAAAAGGATTATTTGTTACAACTTTTAATAGCTTTGTCATTAAAAGGGTCCACCAGCCAGAAAAATGATAATATGAAATTTAAAAATTTAAGTTTAAAAAAATGTAATAAGCTTAGAACACCTAATCATTCATGCAGCCAATCAGAAGAGTCTTGTAAAATACAATTTCTTTATAGTCCTTTAAAAGCACATATAGCTCACACAAAAAAAAATATTTCAGTCATTTACTACTTAGTACCTGAACAAGGAAGTCAAACAATCTTGCATAGAGAGCTTTAGATAAGGCATCCCTGGTGTAACAAGCCTGAAAGAAGATAAATTAGAAATGAGTAATCTTCAAAGGAGTCTTTCCAGTTCACCATGACATGATTAAATCTGACTGAACACAAGACGTACTAAACAAACCTTTGTACTAAGCCACCACATTTACCACTATAACATTTATTTAACTACTGATTTATTTTATTTTATTTCTTTATTTATCCATGGGCATCCAAGTTAGACTAGCTAGTTTAAATGGAGCACTGACACAACACAAGAACAAAAACATTAAAACATTAAAAAGTAGACAAGTAATTAAGTTATCAAGGCAACATGTACCACAGGCATTAATGTTTAAGATGGCACTTAAGCTTGAGTTTAAATTCAATGAATGTCTCTACTTGTCTAATGTTTCTTGGAAGGGTGTTGAAAGTCTGAGTGCCATTTATTCTGAAGCTTCCCTGATACTTAACAGTTTTTGCGGAGGGAGGGCACTGCAAATCATGGCTTCTGGTGTTAAAGCCATGGAAAAAGTGCGTGTGCCTGAACTCTGAAAGTAAGTACAAAGGCACTAATCCGTGAAGACATTTATGGACTAAAACACATTTGAGATAATTTCTGCGTGCTTGTATACTTACCTATTTTGCAAGCAAGTCAGTCAGTAAAATTCAAGCTCAGTTAACGAGTGGCCTGACTAATGTCCTAAGCTGGCTCCAACACCAATTTTTCCCTCACCTGTTCAACATTCAGTGTCATGTTGATAGTTTCAGTTTTTCCACCCCATTTGCTGTCCATCACGCGACTGAAAAAACACAATACAACCTTTTCAGTTGACTGACAACAAATTCAGGATTCATTTATTGGAAAAATTAATGAATAACTATTGATTTCATATAAATGATAACAATGGTTTTCATACCTGGTCAGCTTCTCTTTTAATAACATGTCATTTACACCCAACAGGTATGCTGGATAAGCTAAGACTGTCAACAAACAAGAAGCCAGAACAAGATTAGCAGTAGCAGCAGTTGCAGCTACTCTCTCATGAGAAAAAAATTGATCAATACTTCCAGTAGATGTACATCAAAACATGTAAGCTACAGTGTTCTGAGAATGAGAAAATCTGTTGACTATGTTTTTCAGTTGAGTGAGGCACCACTGAAGTTTTTTGACCATGTTCTGATGTTAAAATTGTGTTGTTGTCATAGATTATTGGCTCTGTTTCCAGTAGCAACAAGTCTCCGACTTATTTTAGCGAGTTTTCACATTGGTGACGTACAGCTCTTGACATTCAGTTACCATTGGAAACAAGACAAGGAAGGTTTCCCTTGACAACAGTATTATTTTATTGTCAAATATCTGTCATGAAACTTTTTCTGTGTCTTTCTCAACTAATAATCATACTCATTTCAAGTTTATACTTAGAAGTAAAAGTATTGTACTAACATTCCTCATCACTTGGTACAGCATAATTCCCCTGCTCATTAAAGGAAATATTTCCTAAATGAAGGACCCCAGCCACTATTTGAAGCACACTTCCTTGGTCTTCATCAGATATTCCTATCACATCCATTGCTTTCTAAAAAAATAAAAGAATAATACTGTCAGAATTCTCATCAATGTTGCATACATCAAAGGAGAAGAAGACCCCTCCAAAACAAGATCACAAGACAGCTTAGATTAATTGCTGGTGAGAACAACCATTCTTTTTGAGGCAATCCATGACAATTTCTTGCCAGATAAGAAACTTCATTCCTTTATGTGTGGTAATAAAATCTTGGTCCTGTCCTACCTTGCCACAGAGAGGCATTCAAAATTCTTCAAATTTACAGGTAGGAGGACAAACAAAATTTCATGGCCTCATTTCTAAAACAATTGCTTACTGGTAAGTTCAAATGCTACTTAGCCAAAGGGCAAGAGCACGAAAGTGATTGACAGCAAAATTATGAATGCTCACTCTTGTTTCTTGATACTCCTTCACGTCATTAGTACCATCAACTGTGTATGTTCCACTCTGATTTAGGTAGTAGTAGTAACTTGGTTCTGTGAGACCTAGCTGACCTATGTTCAACAATAGGAAATTTTAAATAAGAAGACTTTGTCAGCATCATTTACACTGTATTTCAGCAACATGTATTCACCCTTGAATTTTACAATTGTCTCACAAATCTAACAAATCACATCACTAACCTTTGTCTTCTTGGGAAGCACCAGTAATTAGTTGATAAAAAATGTGAAAGTTCCTTTCTGATGGATTCTGACTGACAACTCTAGACTGCAGGAGAGAGCAACCAAACAATCTTTTAATAATTCATTATAAATATTGATTAACAGATGACAAATATTAAGAAATATGGTTAAGCTGTTCTCTGAGATTATTCTCTAAGAATTCAAAATCCTCAACTTAACCCTCTGCTCCTGAAGAGTGATAAGCATCTAATTTCTCCCAACAGAATCAGCCCTGAGTCAAACATTAAGGTCACGAGAATAAAGGAAATGATCACAAACTCAATAAGCTCTTGATTGCAAGACAAACTCTCCCTTTAGGTACTTTAGGAAATGTAAAGAAAACAGTATGGAGAACTTACTGATGTTGTTAAGGTGTAGTGGGTTGAAAAATTAATGTTACAAATAATAAATTTTTCAAAACCTTTTCCAGTAAGAAGTTGGAAATCTTGCCACCATCAGGTTGTCCACCCTTTGTAAATTGTATCTCAACATACTTTCCCTGGAAGTGAAAAGGATTGAAAACAATATTGGAATGATCAAAACTATACTCATTTGGAAACTACCAAATATTATAGAATTTGACTGGTTATAACAAGCCCTATTATAAGACTAAAAACACATTGTTCCCATTGCATTTTAAATCAAATGGCATTTTGGGACAGTTCAGTTATTGTCATGCATATGTACTGCATCATTCTATTAAATTAAACACTGCAGCATTTATTAATTTTTCGTGATTCGAGTACAATGTTTATTTGTGGGCAGCATTTATACAAGGGCAGCATTAATTAAAGATCAAATTTATTTCTTGCAAACAATAGTATGGTAACTGACCAAAACAGAAACATGTTTTGGTGCTTGTCTAAAAAGTCATTTAATTTTTATATCCTTCCTAATTTTAACAATCTGCATGTTAATACTGCTGCAATATATAGAGTGAATTAAGATCTTATGTTGGATATGCTTTCTCCACATCAGAACTGGCACATTCAAAAGGATTTGTGTTTAATCAAATAAATACTATAACTGGACAATGCACATCACTTGCATGCCCTGCTACATGGATTGTTGGGTTCATTTACTCACAATGAGTAAACTGTTTGTTTCTAGATTATATTTAACAGATGGGTACTGGTATTTTGTTCTCAACTTTTACCAGAGTTTTAGTTAATTGAGAACTCTGTGTGGTCCTATTCCATCCCTGATTAATCTTACTATCAAATCAGACTTCTGTTGTAATTTTTACAATCACTCCTTTGATTACTGGACTCTGCTCAGTCCTGCTGCCATTAATCATTGGAAATGCATTCACATTTCCATTTAAATCTAGGTTGGTCTAAATATAAAGTAAACTTACAAATCTACTGGAGTTATTATTCCTGACAGTCTTTGCATTGCCAAAAGCTTCTAAAAGAGGGTTGGATTCAAGAATCACATCTTTGATTTTCTGTACACTTGGACCTCCACCAGATACTTTAGCCAGGTAGTTCATAATAAACTTAGCACAAACTGTTTTTCCTGCTCCACTTTCACCACTGTACAAAAGTAACCCACACAAGCATTACTGTCATGCATCACATCTTAACACTATTGATATTGAAATCATGGCTTGAAAAAATGGAAATCAAACACACACATTCGTAGAAAGTACATAAGCACACAGAAATAGTAAGCACTTTATTTCAGGCCCACATTTGGAATTCAATGCAAAAATTCAATGTATTTTAAATTGCTTCTTTTTAATGGCAAACTAAATGAATTTCAGATTTTTTGTTAAGTTTATCTAGAATCAAATGGCTTTTTCTAATGCAATATTTTCCTGTGTCAAAACCTCAGCAAAAGTTAGCTACATTTTCAATGACCTGATTGCAATCCATTGGATGGCTTCACTCCAAAAGAATAATGTCACAAATTTACCTAGTAACTGAATTGGGTTTCTGATTCACACAAAAGGATTTTTAAAGTTGAGTCCAACTACATGTAATTTGAAATCTTGACAAGGCCACAATCTTTTCACAGACATTTATTACCTGATAATCACACATTGATTCTCCTGATCAATCAACATATTTCTGTACATGTTGTCAGTAAGGGCGTAAATATGTGGTGGATTTTCGTATGATGCCTGAAATACAGGAATCCCATGATTAGTCCAAAATAATTACAAATGTTACTGGCCAAGCTAATCAAAACTTAAAAAGTAACTAAGCAAAGAGTCCATTCTAAGGAGTTTTATTTTTGGGCCACAAAACAAAGATTTTCTAGTAAAATCTCATCCTCCCCTTTATTCCATAACATGGTTACAAAACTGGCATTAATGAGAGTTTGAGTCTGTTCAATTGTTGACCTACAGGAGATTTTATAACTTAAATTTATGACTCACAGCTCCCTGATACTGGTCAATTTCTTTGTCTGTAAAGTATGGCATCTGCTTGAATGGATTGACAGAAATCAGAACAGGACCAATGTATGTCTAACAAAAGGGGTTAAGGTTGCAATTCAAACGACACACCCCTTGTGGTGCAAAGAGCACCTTCACTACATTCTAAGGTGCTAAAAGGCTAGCAATGAATAACTGCACACACATAACAACAGAGTGGCTTGGTCATTTGATTTAGAAGTTGACAATGGCTTCTAAATAAATTTTAATCACTATAAACTGTTCAACCAATGTCTATGCCCCCTTTGAAAACTTTTAACAATTCTGCACCCATTTTTCTCCAACTATTTTCAACATATTCATCTTCTTGCAACAGAAGTAAAGAGTGTGTGGAAAAGAATTATCAGATTAAAAATGATTCAAATCCTAATCTATCTGCTACAGCCTTAAAAACTGTAGACTGGGAACCTAAAATTTGTGTTTCAAACATTAACCAAAGATTGCTCTATGTTCAACAACTTTTGGTTTCTGTTATAAATTCTGTAAACAAATAACAAGGAAGAAGTTCAAAATCTGTCTTACACAGATCATATTGCATTTTATACAAAACTAGCAGGTCACACCAAGATCAATCACAAGAGCAATATGTCTATCAAATTGATACCAGCCAATTAGAGAGCACAAACTAGCCTGTGCCCCCAAAAAGGCACATTCCAACAAGCTTTCTCTATCTAAGGTGGTTTCAGTTGACTGCTCTCCCGAGGGTATCCACATAACCAGAGGAGAGGACTAAAAATAAACCTGACAGAACCAAATTTCTGAGAAGTTTAAAAAATAATATGACATCTTGTGTAACTGGATGGGCCTTCTGTGTATTAAGAAGAAATTATAGCAACTCTGTGATTTAAAAAATCATTTAATGGTATTTAAAAATATTGGGGTGAGCTCCAATTTGTCACAGCCATCAGAATTCTATAGTAACGGATATTGAAGATTCATCTACGTGTCTGGCTTGAGCTGAATTGCTCAGTTTGTCGGTGTATCCATCCTGATCACGTAAAAATCCTACGAAATGTACGTATCATTTGCCGGAGAAAATTCTGTCACTACCCAAAATAATTCCAATTGTCCCTGCCGAAGTTCTACGAAATTGTATCAACCGATTACAAAATTATGCCGGAATGAATCCGAAAATTTACTTTAAATGCAGACGCCCCACAGCGTGAGGTACCGAAACTAGGATCGCACTTTAATGGACGGAAATAAAACTAGAGAAGGATTAAACCTATGTTAAAATACAAAATAAATATTTCAAAACCATTCGATAAATCATTCGGAACCTTTTTAGACGGATAAGGAAATTGATGCGCAGCTGATAACAGGTTTCTTTACTATCTTTTGTTCCTGAAAGCAAGTAGCTGTATTTGTTTGTCTAAAAACTTTCACACGATGCAAGAATTTGATGACAATGTTTATATTTCCTTATGTTGATTAAGAAAATATTCAGGTAAAATTCGAGAGGGAGAGTTAAGGATCAGATTTAGGGAAAGACGATGACCCTTGAGGACTACTTAGTGTACGACATAAGCTGTAATAAAGTTGTGCATTCTCATTCACACTGATAGAAAGGATACGAAAATGAGGTCGTCCAAGTATCGTTTCTTGAGATTCTCCACGATCGCTGCCTCCTGGATCTTCGGCAGAAGAACCATATCTTCCACTCCACTAGCTTTGACATTACCTTTACTCTGCCAATGGTAGTTCGATGGCTACGAATTGTACAAAAAGATAACTCCGGTTTTAGTACTCTGAATTTGTCTTCAAGTGTAGAGACTCAGGCTGCATTCTAGAATGCTGTACTCACCATTTTGTCGGCTTGTTCCCAAAGAAGTTCTAAACACTAATGATAGACAGGATAAGAGAATAAGGAAGCTAAAATCATGCTCGACAGTAAAGCGAGAGAAGTATTTCGCATGCACCGGAACCTCCTCTCAGTGCAGTTCGGAAGTGATGTTTTCATTTGGCGCGCATGACATTAATTAGTCACCTTATACGGACGGGTTTGTAGCCACGGGTTTCGAGTTCTAACACGCCTTGTGATTGGGCAGGGTCAATTGCCCAGCCAATCATAACAGCGCTCGTAGCATTACACTAAGAGGTCTAAAAATAGCGCTGACAAAACTAGCATTTCCATTGCTAGTGTTTTCGATTGTCTTCTTTTTTGCGGTGAATTAATATACAAAATATCAGAAAACTTTAAGCGTTTGAAATAACTCTTATCTAATGGAAACCACATTAAATTACTTATGGAAAAAATCAATTTCTGTTTTTTATCTGAGTTAAAAAAATCGCATCAAAACCAAAAAAGTAAGTTTAGTTTTCACTTTAGAATTTTTAACTGAAATATTTGTAAAAGCGATAGTAGAGATTGATTTGAATAATTACTGTCAACAAAGACGGCTCACATTCACAGAAAACATTATAATGTATTAAATTCCTTGGGAATGATATCATGGATAGCCACAGGCAACACGGCTGACAAATAATAATTTAGATCAATATTATAATTATAATAGTAAATAATTTTTTAAGGATCAGAAACGTGAGTACACGTGGGTTTCTTGTTTGAATCACTATTTCTTTTATATCGTTGAAAAAAAGTGTAAAATTCAACCAAAAAATTCAATTATTTTTTGTCTCTTAAGAATGCAAATTTTATACTTTTCTCTCCTGGTGTTTAGAAGATCAAATTTCAGATTATTAGTCATGGGTTGTGAAAAGCTTTATGACGAGTCTCTTCGTGTTAGATGTGCTCAATATGTAAATCATGTTTATAAATTGAACTCCTCAGGTTATGTAGAAGAACCCCACAGGCATATGGTAGCCATGGCTGTAATATTTAATTTGGGACATACAGCAATGTGTATTACTTTAAAAAAACACATTTTTAAAGGTAAATATCTTGATTGTTCCCCATTAACTTCAATTTTCTAATTATTTCTTTCCTTATCCAACAGAAATCACTGATTGAAATTTTCCATATGAGATTCCATACAGACAAAATGTTTATAATTCTGCAATGGGGTTAATCAATATCCATTAAACTGAACAACCTAACCTGGAGGGGTGCATATCAGTAATAATGATAAAAATATGGGGACATCAGGATTCCATTTCACCTAGTATTTTTTTTACATAAAGCATCAAGGAAAATAAATTTTAGATAAGTAATTACTATTTCTAGCTGTACCCAAATCAAATGTGCAAGATCTTGTCCCAAGAAAATAAGTGGAGCTCATTCTTCTTGGATAGAAATTAGTGGCTTTTTATTGCATACAGTGAGGCTATAAACCAACTTCATTTCAGGTATGAGGTTTTTTAGGGCCAGATAATATCATTAAAACAATCTAAGATTAAATCACTTGAAGTCATATAACAATTATTGTTTTGACCTAAACTCTCTCAAGAGAGTTAGGGATAATTCATAAATTTTTAGGCATTATCTCAAAATTGGTTTCACATCACACACTTTGGGAATGTTAGGAAAGGTCAGATATGAAGCAAATACAGATATTGCACCATTATCAAATCAAGAGCAATGCAATGACAAATAAACCACAATAAATTGTGGATTAGCTTTTATTATGCAATATTGTACAAGTGTCATTGATGGTGGCTTTATCATCTACAAAGCAACCATTGGATAATCTTTAAAAAAAAATTCAAAACAGTTTTTGTGAAAAATTTGTCGTACAGGTGATTAAAACAAAAGCATTTCATTACCAGCTACTGCTCATGTACATAAGTTAATTCCCTTGAATGCAGCCTCTCTTCTTAAAGTAAGAGGAGTAACTTTGTTTCTCTATTGCTCATCTGACGAGTCTTCATATTCACTGCTGTCTTCCTCCTCAATTGTTTGACATTCTTGAAAATTAGCAAATCCACCAGTCATTAAGGGGGCTTGAGCTTGAACAGGAGGGACATCATTAGGGTCTGGACCTTGGGACATCCCTGACAAGAATTGTTCTACAAAAATAAAGTTGGATAAAACAAAAAATGGAGATGGGTGATCATGCCAAGGCAATTAAGACTGGAAAAGCTAAGCTCTAAGTAAGAAAAATTTTACACCTGTCCATCACAATATGCAATATATTTCCTTTATTAAAGCTTGGAAAAGGGGGAACTTCAAATGAGAATGTGCTCTTTTGGGGGAACACTAACAATTAACAATTATTTTATTTATCATTGGATGGAATGTATCACAAACTATACCTTTTGCAATAAGATATACATCCCCGTGATACTCCTGACACTGCATTGTTTCTCCATCAAAATCAGATGAACCTCCATAAAGTACCAACTGGTCTCCCACCAGCGTGGCTGTGTGTACCCCCCTGCCATGAGGGATGCTACCAGATGTTGATGGCTGCAGCCACTCATTTGTGTCTACCAATTGAGAGAGGTAAAAGCTGTGATCATTCTTATAATCAGGAAATAAGAGGGTAATATGTACTAGCCCCAGTCCAGAGGTTTTTTTTTTAGTGTAAAGCAAGTGCAGAGAAGGAGCTTGAAAAAGAATTGTCTTACCAGCTTGCCTTCAAATTTAGTATTTCCTTGGTGGATCTTATTTCACACATTTCACATATGCTCCAGATGATAAACAAAAATGTGCAAAATAATTTTCCTGGATTTTAGTTCAATGTAGTTCTTGGCTGGTATAACTTTGTGGACTGTAACAAACTCATTCTGTATTTGCCTTGACAACTGATGATCAATTTTAAAGAATTTGCTCAAATAATGCACACCGAGTCATTATTTCTGCAGCTAGTTACATGGAGAGGTAGACAGAAGAACCTCTTGGGCAAATCAGTTTATCTTATGTGATATTCGCATACACTGAGCAGAGTATGACAGGACTGGCCAAGTTTAGATCCCAAGATTTTATATCTGGGCCCACAAAAAAAAGACTGTCACTGCTTCATAATTTACCTGTGTCAAAGATGTGCAGATCATCAAAATGTGCATTCTCCAAACTTCTTCCACCAAAAACTACCACTCTGTTACCTACAGCGGTGCATGTATGGAATGAACGAGGCTCTGGCTGTCGTCCTGAGGTTGGCTTTGAGATCCATTCCATTGTGTCTAAGAGTTAATCATAGTACTATCTATTCAACTGCTTTTGACTTAACATTATAAAGCTTCTTATAGTGTATCAAAAAAGATAAAAAAGTGAGTCCAAAATAATAACCCTTTCCAGGCCCTCTCTCTTGCCCCTCTTCTTCTTCTCAAAGGAGAAGGGTGAAAAAGTAAGGGCATAGTCAAGTTCTAAGCAAGAAGACACACAGCAGTAGCAATCATTGAAGAAACAGTTGCAGAATAAGTGCCTGTGAGAATTTTTTTAAAAACCTCCTTCCAGTATACCAGCTGACATGGACCTTACAACTGGTTAACTTTCATGGTTAACACCGACACTTGCATTTGAATCAATTTCTTGGCCCCATGTAGCCTCTTTCACCTTTCTTTACTCCCAAGTTTTTTGAGTGCCCACATTTCCCCCTTTTTTTCCCAATAACAGGCTAAATTGGGGGCAGATGAGGGGGTGAGGGTATGATCTAATGACAAGAAGTGAAAGGATGCTGGAGAGAAAAGTGTATGAATATTATGAATTAAATCACCTGTATCCAAAACATAGATGTCATTCTTTCTACCAACACTGTCTCTGCCTCCAAAGATGACAAGTCTTGATCCAACAGCACACATTCCATGAGCTGCTCTGGGTGTTGGAGATCCAGTAAATGAAGGAGTGAGCTTTTCCCATGTACAGTTCTCTGGAGAATCAACAGCAGATAACAGGTTATTGAATTGTATAATCATCTCAAACCTTTCCCATGATTCTTTGCATAGATTTCCCCTGTTTAAGACTCATGGTCACTTCTTCCACACAGACTTTTAGTTATTTATAAGATCAGTTATTTAGTTATTTATAAGATCAGTTTTGATTACTTAAGGTCAGTTTTGATTACTTTCAGACTGCAAAGAAAACTTGGCAACTTGTGTTGAGCATGATTAACACTGATTAAAATAAATCATGCAAAAATCACAGCAAATGGGAAGTTTACAAAGCCCAAAAGAAGCTGGACTTCAATCAACACTACAAATCGCCCTACTCAAAGTTCCTGAGTTCTTCCTATCACAATGAACATATGCTGATATATGAATCAATTGTAAAATAACACTAGATAACTCCAAATCTTGTGACATGGCTCCTTTTGAAAGGTAATTTTTCAGAGAAACTGTGCTGCTGCATTGGTGAGGAGTATAATAAGATAATTTGGTTTTATCCAATAAGTTGATAATGTAAATTGGCCACCATAAAGAATTTCAAAGCTAACATTTCTAGTGTTAGCCCTTCATCATTTGCTCTGACAAAGGGCTAACACTAAAAAAAACAGCTTTGAAATGACTTTATGAGGGCCAATTTACATTATCAACTCAGTAGATGAAACCAAATTATCCTTTCAAAGTTGCAGAGTTAAGATTAAGGTGTTCTCTAAATTCAAGCAATCAATGCCAACAATTTGATTTCTAAAGTCCCTACCTGTATCAAAACTGAAGAGATCGTTGAACCAACCAAACTCTGCTTCTTCCTGCTCAGATTTTTCTGTCTCCAAATTCTCCAATGGACCAAATCCGCCAAAGAAGATAATCTTGGTTCCCATAGCAACACAAGATAGCTTATCACGTGGAGATGGAGGGACGCCTTTGCATGTGATATTTTGCCACTGCTTTGTTTCTGAAACAGTACAGAAATAACAAGCGAGTAGCATTAAACTTTGTGACTTTAAATGGCTTTGAAAGTTTTCTATAATGAAAAAACATATTTGATAAGGTCTTAACATCCTTACCAAAAACCAGAAAACCAACTCAATTTCCTACTGATGCAAAAAAAAAATTGGAAAAAAAGTGCTTAAACCATAAAAAATAGCAAAGCATGAGACCCTGGAAGAAGACACGTCTGTTGGTCAAAAAAAAAATTGAAATTAAATGTAACATAAAGAAGAGAGCCTAAAACCAAAATGGATAACAAAAATGACAAATTAAAGACCATGCAAAAAAAAAGAAAAACTGTACAACTATGGTAAAAAATGTCCAAAACAAAAACTAAAAAAATCAAAGTTCCCCTTCAATGGCTTTTGCAAAACCTCATTTAATTGGCAATCAATAATACATTTTATTTAAGGATTTATCAAAATTTGGTATATATCACTGTTTTAATCAAAACACAGCTCAAGTCTGAATTCATTGTGTTGATGCAGTTGAATATAATTCATCCCTTATCTGCAAAGACAGTAGAGAAGCTATTTAGTCACTATCCTAGAAATCAAGTGGCTGACTCGAAAAGAATTAAATTATCAGAAAAAAAATTAGAACCACAGGTATTTATTTTACCACTCAGGAAATATCTGTCTTATAGGAGTGTCTGTAAATAGGAGTATTTTACCATTGCCAGTGTTATGGACTTTATATTTCACTTCTCATCTGCAACAATCACTGAGTGAATTGATTTTAAATTACACATACCAGTATCAAAAGCGTGTAGATCATTCAGCCATCCACAATCTCTACTCAGTCCACCAAAAACATACAGTTTCATTCCCACTGCAGCCATAGTTGCGGAGGATCTGGCCGATGGAACGTCACCTCCTGTGATAATCTTGTTCAATGTCTGAGAAGCTTTCGAAAATTACAGAGAGGCTATGGTTTGGTGATGACAGAGTAACTACTATAATCGAGGTAAAGTACACAAAACTGACCAATTTAGATACAGGAAAAAAGTAATGAATTACATCTAAATATTTTGTTAGCTTCACTTTGTTTGGTCCCAGATTCCTTTTACTTCACATATTATATTGAGATATCGATTTGCGTTGTTTAATGATTTTAAAACTACAAAAAAATGTTCACATAGCGTGACATAGTCGAAGGTAGTCTTCTTCCGAAATTCTTCAAAAGCTCGAGAACAAGTCATCGTCCAAGGTACTTCTCGACAAGTATGCACCAAGTTTCGGGTGGGAAAGGCAATGTTTGCCCGTCGTGATAGCCAGACAATAATCGATCTGATGACAATTATTCAGATCCTTAAAAAAGGCTTTATCCAGTTTCAAAGCGATCGCTAATTAGGCAAGGCTCGCCGATGACGAACGTTCATTAAATTAGTCGAAGATTAAAATCCCGAACGCAATAATACATCTTATTGTCCCTAGCACTTACCAACATCGAAAACCAGAATTTCGTTGGATTCTGTAACTTCCTCAAGATCAGAAAGCCAACGAACTCCACCAAATACGTAAAGTTTATCTGCAATGGCGGCCGCGCAATGTCCGTCACGAGATGGCAACTTTGCGTCCATTTCTACTTTCTTCCATTCAACTTTTATATCATTTAGAAGCCTTGTTCCATAAGTAACCGGTGCTGATGATTCATTTCCCATTTTTGCCTTGATAATATAAAAAAATTTAAAGAAAACGTGAGCACACGACTGAATGAACCTAATCGTTTAGTACTGCAGCGCGAAATTCAGATTATGGCGGGAAAGTCTCTAACTTGTCAATGATAAGACTGGCCAATCACAACAAACAGTAGCAAATCGATTTCGTCCAACATGGCTGACGGTACAGGGAAAACTGCCGATGCCGCAGAAGAGAAAATACCTTTCAATTTTTTCAAGAAAATACCGAAAATTGTAAGTATTTGGAAACGATCTTTCCATGGTCTCCACAGGTCATGAAATGGTTGGGGAAAAATATCTTTTGGGTAGGAACCGGCAGGGCAAATACCACGTGAATTTTTTGTCGACTAAGGGAAAATAGAGTTCGAATAGCTGATTTAAAAAGTCAGGAAATATTGAGATTATAAATATATTATTTACACCACTTAAGGCTGGTAGAGGCTTTTTTGGTTATTTTGATCTCTACGATGGAGAACCCTAACTCTAATCTTTACAGTTTTGACTGGTCTGCGGCTCATGATCATTGCTTACAAAATGTCAGTGAGTGAAAAAGAGTGCTGTAAGAGAAGGCTGTGTGCAGATGCCTTAACTGTTTTTCACATTTTTTACTTATTTATTTGATATAGTACATTTTATCTTCTTAAGGGAGACATCTGGGGACTTTGAGACTTGTTGTCTGCAACAATGCATAGTTCTTCCTTGCTATGAATTGGCCATGATGGAAATGGATTGAATTCATGCTCACTAGAGTAGTTTATTTCCCTTCCCACGTTGAAAAATTCATCATATCTTAATGTAACTGCCTTCTAGGAACTTCATGCCCACATAAATGGATCCATAAGCACAGAGACGATCGAGAAGCTCATCAAAAGAAAAGTTGAGCAAGGAAACAATGACTGTCTTGTGTCCCAGTGGCAAACAACAATTCACAAGGGAGAACAGCGAGATTTAAGCGAGTAAGTTATGGAGAAACTAGTTATGATGTTAGTATCTGAAGGATTTAGTGGCTTAACCCTTGAGCCCTGAGGAGTGACTAGCATCTAAAATCTCCTTACTACATCACTCCTGAATAAAGGAAATGATCACCAACTAAAGAAGCTTTTGATCAATAAACAAATTTTCCTTGTCTGCACCTTAGGAAATGTATAAAGAACAGTATGGAGAATATGTATAATGACATTAGGGTGTAAAGGGTTAAGATGATGGATGTATTTATCCACTTTCAGTGCCAAGATATATAGCAGTCATCTGGCAAAATGTTTTTCCTTTTATTCATTCACCCATTCATTCACTTCTTTACTTACTCATTCATTCTTCCACCTAGACATCATTTTATTTGCCTATTCATTATTCCTCTGTTTACCTTTCATCCTTTGCTCACTTGTTTTTCTACTTGTTTATCCATGTGGTTGTTTGTTACTGTTTCCTTTCTAGTTGTTAGACCAGCATGAAAATTCAACTCACTGTCAATGAATGTATTTTCATCAATTAATACCTAAAAATAGGAATTAATATTCAAAATTATTGATGGATTTACTCTTAAAAATTAAGTTTTTTCGTTTTGTTTTTTAATCTACAGTTGTTTGTCAATGTTTGGCATCATTTACCAGCTTGTAGATGACACTGAAGCAGTGTTTCTGGTAAGAGTGCGACTTAAGTTGGCATTTGTTAATTACATGCACCACACAAGAAAACAGATGTAGCTAAATCTTTGTTTGGGTCCTGCTGAAGTTTTATGAAGTCAATAATTTTTGTTGTAAATTTTTCATTATTGAACTTCTTCTCTCTCAAATCTCTTTCAGGTGACAAAAAGTGTTATTGAAGACTTTGAGCAGGATAATACAAAGTACTTAGAGCTAAGAAGCACACCCAGGGCCAATCCTGAGACAGGTGCAGTATCTGCAGATCCTTTTACTTGAACCATGTTCATAAACCATCTCTCACAAACCACTAATGGATCAATAAAATCTCTATTGAATGGAATTGAAGATCTGAGTCCATTTATTCCTTATTTTACAATTGTGTGATTCTGACAGTCTGTGTAATTTATGCATCTATGGAATTGAAATTCTGAGGTCATTTATTCCTTATTTTACAATCATATCAATCTGACATTCCATGTAATTTATGGGTCACCTTTGACAAGGATGGCACAGTTTTAAGAATAATCAAATGTGATGCTGATAATTTTCCACAGGGATGACAAAGCAGTCCTACATAGAAGCAGTCTTAAAGGCTATAGAGGAAGCTAAAAGGACAGCCCCCAACATAACAGTGAGGTAGTATGCAGTGCAGAAGGTATTCCTTTGGAATTATTCTTAGGAGTGTGCTGCCCAGTTCTCCAGACCCAGCCCTTATTTCAAACCAAAATGTTCCACTTCCACATCAGTTTCAAAGACTCAAAACATCCATCATGTTAAAGGCTTACACATCTATAATTTGGCATAATGATGATTGACTTCAAAAATTTCCACACTAAAATTGAAAATTATAATTGAAAGGACCAATTTTTATGGTTAGTTATTAGACTGATTAAGAAAAATTATGTATTTCTTGATCTCCATTTCAAAAATTGAAAATGAAAATTAATTTTTTAGTTATTAGACTGATTAAAAAAAATTTTTATCTTGGTCTCTGCTCTATGAAGTGCTACAGTTGTGCAATCATCAAAAGCAAAATTGTCTTGTAACTTAAAAATTGCTTCATAGCTTAATCCTCTCTTAAATATTGAGAGAAACAACAGCTGGTATAAATTCCCATGTGAAGCCATAGATGCCTCAATGTTTATTTGTTTTTAATTAAGATTTATACCTGCAATAAATCGGAAGCTCGGCCCAGATGATGCCATGGATACTGTGCACTTGGCCATACAGTACAAGGAAAAAGCCAAAGGGATTATTGTGGGTCTTGACTTAAGTGGAGATCCAAAGGTAAGTATAAAAACAACAGTAATGCTGATGGATGAAAAAAGCATATCGATCTGTAATTTTCTTTTGCAGCAACAATACTGCAGCTAAAACTTAGTTGTATTGAGTTCAAAATCAAGCAAGTCACATGATCAGGAAGTCTCTGTGCCCAGTACATAATTAATACATATTTTTGCATGTGTCAACATGTGCCCCATTGAATACTATCTTACAGTATGTTCTACTTTTTTGTGCACAGTTATGCCTGGTTATCAAAAATAGAAAAGATACAGAAAATCTTGGAAATTGAGTTTAAGAGTTACTGTATCATGTGCTGTTTCAATTTCTCATGCAGGACGTCTCATTTTCAGGCACATGATTCAAACAATTTTGTACCTGCCCTGAAACTGGCCAGAGAAAATGGCTTGAAACTTGCCTTGCACATTGCAGAGGTAAGTTTAAATGAGTTGTTTGAATAAGTAATGAAGTATTATTTTTTTGTCTTTCAAGTAAGTCACTTGCAATGTGGATTGCAACATTTCTACTGTTTGGTCACAAAAACTCATGCCATCTTCTCTACCAATCAAATTCAAAACTAATGCAATCTCTCATTTTCAATCAATATTTTTAGCACTTCAGGCTGCCTGCTTGTTTTGACCTCAAACAGAAAAACAAACAAATGTACAGAGTTGCTAAGTAACTAATATTTTCGAGATGATTTCAGCTTTCAAAATACTCAAACAAAAAAAATCCTTTGCTCTCCACCCGATGATGACTCATCTGGTGTAGATTGCTGTTCAACATACAAAAAACTTTGCAAAGTAGACAGTGATCTCACCAATATCTGTAATTACTAGGTTCCTGACTTGGATGAATCAAGAGTGTTGCTAAACTTAATCCCAGACAGAATAGGACATGGAACCTGTATTCATCCTGAAAATGGTGGATCAGAAGATTTTGTGAACATAGTAGAGGAAAACTCTATTCCTATTGGTGAGTCTGGAACTTGAACAATGTTCACCATCCAATGAATGCTATCTCATATCATAAGGGTAGCTTCTGGACATTTGTCCATACCAGATAGGGTGCATATAGAAAATATATGAAAAATAAATTGAGGTTTCTTTGACAAATGAACAGTACATTTTGATAGGTAAACCCAGGAGATATCTTTTTCTAGATTATTATAGCCACCAAGAGAGGAATGGTCTTTGAGAAAATTATTATACACTGGAGGAACCACCTGTTGCATTTGGTGCTGGATGTATCATTTATATTGTGTCACATATTTTAAGCATATCCCTGGATTCCTCAAGACATTTAAGTCAGGACTTGGGTCCACTGTGCTTCCTAAGGAAAAAATATTCTTCCTATGCATCCACACATAAACACATTTATTCCAGTTTTTATAACTGAATATGATCCATTGAAACAACCATTGGGAAACATAATTCTATATGTGCAGAGCCTTGACAGAAAACTCAAGTTACTTCATTTGTTTCACAACAGAACTTTGTCTCACATCCAATGTGAAGACCAAGACTGTTCTATCATATTCTGAACATCACATGGGCTATTGGTACAGCAAACAGCATCCTTGTATTGTTTGTGTAAGTATTCATATTCAACATTATCACTTGTTTGTTTTGCACATTCCTAGACAAACCAGCTAATTAAGTTTCTGTTCTAATACGGAGGTTGATAATCTTGAACCTGTTTTAAAAAACATGTAGCTGACTACTGATGCCCCTCTCTTCCTTTGCAATGTTGATTTGAATACTGGAAACATTCAGAAAATATGTAGTCAGTTTCAACATTGCTTGGGGGAGGGGTTCTTATTAAACTTCCTTCCAAAAATAATTTTTACAGAACATATTATAAAGCGCATTTTATATCCAAACTGTTTTGTGCTTTAGCATAAGGGTGTGCCCCACAAACTGTAGGCCAGGATTTTTGATTAGCTGGGTCATTTTTGAAAAAAAAAAAAAACTGGAACTATTTGGCATCACTCTGTCACTGTCTCTCAATCATATTGCGAGACAGTCACAACCTTCATTTCAAAATAAGCACACTTATTTTTGAAAGTGATGTGAGAAATTAGAGAATTGTTTAAATATCTCTCTACCATATAATCTTTTTGACACTGAATTGAAGACTGCATGTGACGGATCTGGATGACTTTCTTTCTTACTGTTTTGTTCCATTATGTATTTTTTTTATATTTTGATGTTGTTTTATTTTGTGTGACAGACTGATGATAAGGGTGTGTTTTCTACAACATTATCAGAAGAATACTCTCTGATGGCCAGGACATTCAACCTCACAGAAGAACAAGTGTGGAACTTGACATTTCAAAGTATTGATTATATTTTTGGAGGAGAGAATTTAAAAGATGACCTTAAAGAGTTGTGGAAAACTGAGAAAGAAAAGATTATTTCTTCACTTCATTAACAATTTGATCTGAACCTATGTATTACCACTTATAATTGTTTATTATTTTTATCAAATAAAAAACTCTTGACATACCTCATCTCTTTCCTGAGACGATAATCCTAGCCATTTGAATCCCTCATCTTAAAACTGAATATCTAAAAACAAGAAGTTGCGTGACCGATCTGATAGAAAACTGGTCGCAAGAGGATAGGAATGATCTCCGTTGTAACCCCAAAGTATTCGAAGACAACGCCGCAGTCTCAAAGGAAATATATTGTTTTATCCACGAACTGCATGTATAATGAAGTATGGGCTGTGCGGAAATCTTGTCAAATACTTCCCTTTTCCATCAGTAAAAAGCGTCACGGCTTAACATTTTGCGATCTACAAGCTCGGTGTAAACGTTTTGGGTGACTTGGAAACATTGAATAATGTCATTTAACCATAATGAAGTATCTTATTACGCTGACCACCTTATATCGCTTGCGCGCGTACTCTTGTTGCTACACAAGATGGCGTACGCAGAAACGTCTAGAACCAAGCAAAACAGAAAATCAAAACCTGCTCCATCGGCCGATGCGCTCAATAAACCACTCAGTACTCTTAGCCTAAAGGTGAGGGACTCTTCCGTCGAAGGTAAATCTACGATTCAGAGAGATCGGAGCCCAGTTGCCGGGAATCGCTACTCAAGATATGCTGCAAGCTCTCCTTTAACCAAGCAAAAAAATACGGGTATGCCGAAATCGCCGCATTTAAATCCAAGAGAGGGAAAATCATCGCAGCGGCAAGTTACTGGTCAGCACCCTAAACAACAAAAATCAGTGGTTCCGAAATCAAAAGGCATGTTAGCACCCAAGGGTTATACCATGCGTCCAATCATCCCTGCTTCAAAGGCTGAGTTGCTGCCAGTGGCTCGAGCCATGCACGGCGACGACTTTGCTCCAAGGGTCAAGAAGCTGTTTGATCCCGAACGCGAGGCGGCTGTTGATGCTATCCAGAGTGGGGTGTACATTGGATGGAGGTGTCAAGATTTTCAGCATGATTGTATTCGCGTCTCTAAAAGTTCAAAGTGTTTTTGTGGCCATCTGCTCAGTGATCATGCAAGTTACACCGGGAAGAGTGTGATGGTCCCTTGTCGTGTGACGCGATGCGAGTGCAAAGCTTTTGCCTTTATCCCGTCCCGTCCCGAAGAAGCAGGTGAATTTTGGCTTCAACGTCGTCCAGGATACGACCCAAACACCTGGCGAGCCAAATGCAAGTGTAAACATACCCACGAAGAACATCAACCCACAGGACTGCGGAGATGCCGAGTCAAGGGCTGTGGATGCTCCAAATTTTTCTCCAATTTTCTTTGTTGTGCATGCGATAGGCATTGGGAAGAGCATGAGACCTCGTTTGAAACGACCTCCATGAGAAAAGAAACGGGTTTGCCGTACGGCGAGGCGTACCTTCCCTTTCACGAGTTTCCGGAATTGCGTGACGTGGTGTTGACCGGAAGAGAGGACGACGATAGTCAGTTTAAAGCCCTGACTTCCGGTCCAAACGCAATTCCAGAGAGTACACCAACAGATTTAGCATTGAGACTCAGAGGCACAAAGCCACAAGAGTCGCCATTTAAATGGTAACCTAAAAGAATGTACACGAGTGTTAATCGCGCAGAACACGAGCACTAAACCAAAATTAAAATGTAACACTCAAGATAGCACCTTCCACCCCCAGGAGTGGGTAGCATTTCATTTAACCGATAATGTCACCCCTGAATCGCTCTTTAGGTCTCAAGAAAAAGGAAGAGTTCACCAACTTAAGAAGCTCTTGATTGTTAAACGAATTTTCCTCTTCAGCTTTCCAGGAAATTTATAGAAAACAGTATGGAGAATTTGCATACTGATGGCAACTCTTACTCAGCAGTTAAGATATAGTTTTTTCTCGCAAATTTAAATCTGACTTTGTAACGAAGTAACTGGGCCTGCGCAGCAATTTTTTAAGCAGGGGGCGCTGAAGACGAACGCATAGTTTTCAGCCAAGGGCGTGGCTTGAGGGGAAAGGAGGAAGGGGGGGAAGGGGGGGGGGGCTACCCGAGAGGTATTTGGCCTCTCCAGTTTAAAATCTTAACCATAGTCGTACTCGTACTAAAGACACGCTAATTTAGGATGCCATCTTGGAAATTCCTCCTTTTCTCCCCTCTACCAGTCTTCTTTGATTGAACAAAACTGCAAGAGACTAACAGATAGCTGTTTAAATTAAGTCTTTATTTCTCTGATTCACGTTACGAAATCTTTTCTTTTCTCTATTATTTACAAAAACACAAAATACATTATTTCCCTATTTTTATGTCACTTGTTGTCACAAGCCTATCAGTTTTTGAAGCTCTCTTACATAACTGGTGTGTCACCCAGTGTCTCAGTTAAATCGATTTGAAAAATGTTAATTTTCTTAAATAGTTGCAATTCGATTGATGAACACTGTGATAATAGAACACCCACACAGAAAGACTAATAGTGGACACTCTTCAACAACACCCTGATTATGAAAATGTCACATAACATCTTACAATACATGTTCCGTGTGAAAATCTTTAGAAGTTGAACCTAGACGGCACGTTTGAAAAGGCTGTGCAAATCTTGGTATAAATACAGACAATTCTAGATACTTTTCTCTCTTAAGACTAGTCAGGTTTGCCTTTGTGAACAAAGTAAACCCCCTTAATTTTCACACAACGCGTCTTAATAAAATTACATGACCACAGGACAACCATCAGAAGAGTTTCAAACATTAGAAAGTCCCATGATTCCGAAGACATAACTAAAGAGACTGTGAAAGTTTCAAAATTACAAAAGAAAACGACGATTCGATCTTGAGAAAATTTACGCTGCTTTTGAAAATTGAACATTCTCTTTTAAATTAAATTATTGTTTTCTTCACACCTCTTCTTATGGTTTTAACAAGAAAAATACAGCGTAAGATCAGTTAGTTCTTTCTGGGGTCTCATTCAAATGTTCTTGGTTCCTTTTAGGTGACTGATTCGACCTTTTTCTGTCATGACTGGAACTATGAAGGCCTCATAAAATTAGAATTTCCTCGCCTCTACAGTTCTAAGTACTTAACAGCCTTAACTTTCTCCCTCGAACTGTTCAAAGGCAGTTTCTTCTGTTGTTGTAGTGGTCGTTTGTTCTTCGCCATCTTCAACAACAGTCTTCGTTTGGCTCGAGACGATCTGTGTGACGACGCCCTTCGAAGAGACTTCGACCGACTGGGGAGCTTGTTCGTAGGCTGAAACAGGTGTCAATTCAATCAATTTCTCTTCGGGACTTCCTTCTATAGGTCTCTCCTCTGAAACAGCTTCGACAATTTCAGGGGGCTTTTGTTTTTCGGTAGTAACAAGCTCGACTACTTTTTCCTCCTTGGATTCGGGTTCATCCAGTTTTATGTGTTTCTGTTTGTCTTTTGCCTCGTCTTCTTTCTTCATGGGCGGAGCTTTTGTGGACGGTTTCGCACCTGCTGTACTGGTTTTCACACCAGGCTTTGATTTTAAGTTGGTCGTCGTGGGCTTGGCAGCAGTTTTGGGTGTCGAAGAAGGTTTTGTAGGTCTAGTGGTTGTAGTGGAAGTTTTGACCGGGCCGTTCTTAACTTCTTTCACAGTTTTTGTGGTAGTAGTTTTCACTGGGGCAATGCCGGTCTTAGTGGTGGTAGTTGTCTTTTTCACAGTAGTTGTAGTCGTAGTGGTCGTCTTTGGTTTTGCACTCTGTGGTCGCGAGGTAGGCGTCTTGGTTGCACCGTCTGGTTTGTCGCTAGGCTTTGCACTCTGAGGTCGGCTTGGCTTTGTGGCCGTGGGCTTCGTTGCAGGCGAACTCGTTCTAATTTGTGTTAGTTTGGAAGATGCTGGCCTACCAGCACTAGTTTTTGGTGCACTTTTCGGTGTTCCAGAGTCAGTGGAATCTACACCAGGGGTCTTGCGGGCAGGTGGTTTTGTGGTGGAAGCTGGAACTTTCTTAGACACCGCACTAACAGGTCGAGTGGGGCTAGTGACGCTAGACTTTGTCGGTGAACGAGCTGTAGCAGCACTTTTGGGTCTCTCTGGTTTCTTCGTTTCATCTACCTTAGATGCTGCCGTTTTACCAGCGGGTTTCTTTGTGCCTGGGGAGGTGGCTGTTGACTTCGCCGCCGGCGCCTTGGTAGCAACAGAAGGCTTGGATGCTGGCACTTTTGTAGCTGGAGCTTTGACATCTTTTTTAGATGTTGCATTTAAAGGCTTTGTGGCTCCTGGCTGTTTTTTCGCTGCAGCTGGCCCTGTTAATGGAGTTGCTTTGGTGGGAGACTTGGCTGATTTAACACCAGCTGATTGGGGCTTTGTTTTTGTACTATTTCCCGTCTTCTTTTCTGTTGGTAAAGCATGGATTTTTGCAGGCTTGGCTTCTTTCTCAACTGGTTTGACTTCTTCCTCTGAAGGTTTGACTTCTTCCTCTGAAGGTTTGGCTTCTTCCTCTGAAGGTTTGACTTCTTCCTCTGAAGGTTTGACTTCTTCCTCTGAAGGTTTGACTTCTTCCTCTGAAGGTTTGACTTCTTCCTCTGAAGGTTTGACTTCTTCCTCTGAAGGTTTGACTTCTTCCTCTGAAGGTTTGGCTTCTTCCTCCACAGGCGTGACTCCCTCGTCGGTAGGTATTAAAGCATAGATATCTACTGGCTTGGCTTCTTTCTCAACAGGTTTGACTTCATCCTCTATGGAACGAACATCCTCCACTTCACCCTTTCCTTCTTCCTCTTTCGTCTTTGTTCGTATCTCCGCGGGCATGGTCTCTATCTCTAAGGCCTTTAACCCTTCCTCTAAAGACTTCACTTCTTCCTCTGTAGACTTAGTTTCTTCCTCTACAGGCGCGACTCCTTCGTCGGTAAACATAAAAGCATAGACTTCTGCAGGCTTGGCTTCTTTCTGAACAGGTTTTACTTCTTCCTCTGAAGGTTGGTCCTCTTCCTCTGCAGTCTTCATTTCTACATCTGCGGGCCTAGCCTCTATCTCTGATGGCTTCACTCCTTTCTCTAGAGACTTGACTTCTTCTTCTGTAACCTTGGCTTCGACTTCTACAGGCGTTACTTCTTCGCTCGTGGGCGTCGATTCCTCCTCTACGGAATGAACGTCTTCCAAAGCAATCTTAGCTTCTTCCCCTACAGTATCCACTTCTGCCTCTACAGACTTAGCTTCTTCCATCATAGGCGTGGCTTCAAGTTCTGCAGGTTTGGCTTCTTCTTCTGAAAAGCTTACTTCGTTCTTGGAATTCGAAGTTTCCTCCATACTTTCATCCTCTTTTAAATAAGAAACCTCGACTACTTTCTGACTCTGCTCTTCAGAGGTGATTTCGTCCAACACAGGAGTGGTAATCTCTCCTTCCGAATTAAACGCAGATTCCTGGTTACGCGCTGGCTCTTCAAACTGAGTAGCTTCTTCCCGGTTAGGAGATTCCTCAACAGGATCTATTTCAATAGAGGGGACATCTTGGACGTCCTTCCCTTCGAACCGGTTATCAGATGTGACTTCTTCAAAAGGATTCGTGGCCTCAACTTCAGAAATCTGGTACTCCGTAGGCGAGGGCTCAACAAAATCTCCTTCCTTCTCGGCTTCCATTGATTTTGTGTCCACCCAGGGATCTCCTAGCTCAAACGGAGGTGAAGACTCTACTGTGGATTCCTGCGACTCCGGTGTGACTTGTTCTACTGGTTGGGAGTCCGCTAACAAATCACCTAGGTCAATCCGGGGTGTTAATTCCAGCGCGCTATCATCTGCTTCCATCGTGATTAGCTCGTCGTGCATTTCTGCTGTTTCGTGTACAATCCCAGGAACACTTTCTAATTCAAGGTGACCATTGCCAACCACAGCATCGTCTTCAACATCGTCCGCAGCCTTTGGCCTCTCTTCGATTACTTCCGAAGGTACATTTTCTGTCGAAATTAGTTGGTCCTGCTCACCTGTCGGTGCGAGAGGATCAAACGACGAAACATCAACTGAAGTCTTCCCCTGATCACCAGGTTGTAAGTTTTCGCTCCCGTTTACTGGACCACCTATCAAATCTCCAGTCCAATTAGAATCTTTTGCGTGATCCGTGGAAGGTAGATCTCCTCGCGATTCTGAGCTGTCGGTCTCGTCCATGGCAATTTGTTCGGGTGGCATAACGTTGCTCTGTTGAGTTTCGTTCCCGAATAAGTCTTCTCTTGGCGCAGTTGTTTTCCCTGGGAACGCTTCATCGCCGGACTCCGGTTGTTTCAGATCGGCATCATTATTATTAGCACTGGTAATTTGCTGTTGGTCTTCGTTCATCCTGTCGAAAGAAAGCGTGGTTGCTATGTCCGCCATTGCAGAAGTGTCGCTCAAACGCCTCAATATCCTCTTTCCTTTTACCGAAAGATCGGGAGATGAAGTTCGCCTGCTAGATCCAAAGATTCCCTTGTCAAAACGACTTTTCAGTTGATGAAAAGTCTTGCTTGTGAAACTAACGGGCCTTGAAGCTAAGTTCTGTGACACGGATGACTCGATCTTTCGAATGGCGTCGGTGATGTCCTTCTTGTCACTTTCGACAACAGACAACTTTTTAGACTTTTCTCTTAGATTTGGTGTCGACTGAGACGCCAAAGGATGACTCAAGCTTCCTTGCGAGGAATAAACTGGCGAGTCTGGAGACGGAAAAAATTAAATATTAATACATACAGACAAAAAGCCTTTTTACATCAGATATGTACATTTTTCAAACATGGCATAAGACAATACTGGAATATGCTTGCGGCTCGTTTGAGGGGTACCTTATGGAAGTTATTTACCTCTACTGATAACTCCAATTTGTTCTTTCCTCTTAACCTTGTCGAACAAACTCTTTCTGCATCCAGTTCCTGTCGATATGGAATTTCGTGGACTGGTAGGAGACTGAGAACTTGGTGTAGCACTAGAGTTCTCAAGAGCTGTAAAACACAAACGGTATTTTTAATAAATGTATATTCGTGATTGTCAAACCAATTAGCTAAGGAGGAGGAGGCTACTCTCAGCTGTCTTCCAACCAAATGAAACCGCCGACAAATTTACACTCTATCCGGGATGGAGTCAATAAAACCACATGGCGTATCCCTTTTGGAATGCCTTTCTATTCAATGACACAAACCAGAAATCGCGACTTTAAACAAAATATCATGCAGTGAGAATTAAGCTACAGTTGCCGACAACACGCAATCATATTTAAATTAACGGTGGTTTGCATCTAAAGCCTCCAGCTTCTGATATGAATCACGTAAAGGTACCTTTGTAGGAGTCATCAGAATGGTGTAAAACAGATCATGCACTAACATTGTAAAACAGACAAAACACGGCGATAAAAAAGGGGAGGGAACGTTCATTTATTAAAATGCACGAAAAACATGTTATTTTCATTAAAATTATGTAAAAATATAACAACCCGATTACCAGAGACAAAATAGGGCCACTCGTTATACCTCAGTGACACATTCTTTTTGAACCAAAGCTACCGAAAAAAACCCAGCCTGCCAAACCTTAAAGTTTTTTTATATATATAACGGAAATTGTTCCATTACACAGTTGACCTAAACTTTGTCCACCAAAATTGACCTTAGCATGAAATTTAGATTTAAAACGCCTCCAATATCCATTCAGTTACCTCCTTCATTAATTTTAATCGCGGTTTTGAATTTCTAAATAGTTTTTCTACGGATGCATTCAAATGTATTTCTAAGCCGTCAGCCACCGAAATACAAGCAATGAAGAACAATAGACAACAAGGCGCTGAATTCTGCTCTGTACAATTTATGATAAATAATTAGGCAGACGGTTTTTAACAAATACACACAAATTAAATACAAATTAGCCCTATGCAGCACGCAATAAAATCCTGTAACCTTCCACAAACAAGAGAAACAAAACAAATTTGTAGAAAAGATTAAGAATGTCGAATTGAGGCAATTTACAAAGTAATACAAAGAAAACCTCTTGCCAAACTAACTTACACAATAAAAAAAGAGAACTAAAGGTAATAATCTTAATACACATAATTTGCAAACATGCAAATCATCCAAGATCTGAAGATATCCCAAGATTTCATAATTGGGTGAAACTCAAACCCAATCCGACGTTATTCAACTCTTTTCCTTATATACTATGTCAGTGGTCCCTTAGAATGGAAAGTTACTTAAATGCTAACCATTACAGAGAAATTTCAATTAGGTTTATTCCTTTAAACAATAAAAAAATATTTTTAGGACTAATATACAAATCATTTCAAGAAACTGAAAATTAAAATGAACCTTACAATTTACACAATTTTTCCTGAGAAGCTATCTCAATTAACTAACCAACTGTTATAAAGGTGAAGTCAGAGTAGAACTAAAAGGCCTGCTAGAGTTTAACTCAGTCTCTGTCACCATAAACAATTGGGAGAACTGCAACTCCAGTCGTTACATAGCTTCAAGTGTATTGCAGGGTTACCCACCCCCTACTCCCATGTCATTAAGCTTCCCCTACAGTTTGTTGGTACAGTCAAACCTTGATTAACCTGACCTCTATTATCCAGATTTTTTGATTACCTGAACTTGCCTCTCTGGTCCTATTATCTAAAAACATTTGTATACATATTTTTGTTTATTTGGACTCTTGATTATCCAGAGTATTAAGCCCAGTTGCCACAAGTCTGGATAATTGAGGTTTGACTGCACCCATTTAGGTACAGGTGTAGAGAGGCACTGTGACAGTATAGTGCCTCACCTAGCAACACAACACAATGACTCAGCCCAATATTTTGACTGATATTTCAGCACACTAACAACTGAGTCATCCCATCTTTCATGGAAATCAAAGGGTTGTTAAGTCTAAGCCACTCATGAGCAAAATAAGATTCTCAGTGATAAATATACGGCCCAATAATTAACCCTTTTACTCCCCATGGGTAACCAAGAGAGAATTTCTCCTTACAGTGTCAATGCAATATCAAGCAGACAAGTGAGGAGAAGAAAGAAGAAAACTCAGTCAAGGGACCACAAGTTGATCCAATACCAAATTCTCCAAACTAACACCATAAGAATTGTGTGGCAGATAGTTAGGAGAATTACTGATGAGATCTTGGAAGCAAAAGGGTTAAGGGGTCATTTAAGCAATGGGGGCTCTCAACAATGTATTACAAAATCATCTTAGGGATTCACTCGGCATGAGGTTTTCATAGTTGTCCAATATTATGAAATAAGAACCAATCAATCTATTGCAGAAAATCAAGGGTGACTTTGTGGAACTTATAAGAAAATATTTGTGAATAATTTCATTTTCTGTCACTAGTTTTTTTAGAAAAACAATATAAAACAATATGGTGTTTTTCTTTTCATTATATGTTTCTCAATTAATAATCCATTTCTGTTAACCATCCAGGGATATGTTACTTAATAGTAAAGTATTCTGTGACTGCTTAGGGAAAAAGAAAAAAAAAATTATGTAAGCAGTCTAGATCAACCAAACTTGGGCAGTATGGGCCTTTAGGCCAGTAAACTGATTTCATGTTATAAATGATTAGTGGGTTTGTGGAGGTAGTTACTCAGGAAAAATTTGTTTTTTAAACATCACATAAATTTCAACCTACACATTATTTTCATTTTCTTGATATGTTTTGTAACTCAGTCCTAAGACAACCTTACACAGAAAATATACCAGTCTGTGAAATAACCTTCAATTTAAATATTAGCAGTGCCAAGAATGTCAGTGGAAAAAGTCTTAACTGGTCCAATGCAAATTAGTTGTCTATTCACAACAGTGGGACTTAACCATGAGACCTCCTTTGAAACACTATCTGTAAAAAGCTGTCAGGGTGTGGCCATTTATTGAAATCAGTAAATACTGCCGGTTATTGACCCCACAGTCGAGAGATAATTTCAATCGGTAACTTGAGTCTAAATTTTCCCAAGTAAACATTTTGCTTGGGGGAAAAAACATGACCTTTAAATAGATCCTTAAAATCTGTACTTATTGCAGTACATTGATGTCAATATCACTGTGACAAGAACATAATTTGTGTACTTTCGTTCAAATTGATTCTACCTTTTCATCAACAGAATGTTATCAGATGTGTAAAAAATTCTGTCACGCAAATTGGTCTTATATTGAACACAGTACAATTCATGCGTATGACAGCTCAGAGATCTAATTAATTTCGTTTACTCCGTCAAAAGTAATACTGTTCAAATTGGATAGTTTCCTACATAAGAGTACATTGTTAAGTAATCATTCCAACCAAGTGACAATACTTCGAACTACATAGTGATAACTACGCAATTTTTTTTTTTGCTCAAAGGTTCCTCGTCTCTAACGCATGCTTGTCAAAGCGAAACTTACACAGAAATGAACATGCCATGAATTTGTTTTGAACCTAGCTGGCGACTTGGTCAGGGATTGCTAGCGGCATTCCAAAACTAAAATGGTAATATACACAATGAGAAGAAAAAAAACGAAAGCGCTCGCAAAAACATAAATTAGCACTCGTTACACTGATCAAGTGTTCGAAGTTAAAAAATCCGAACGACGAGAGATGACTGAGAATTTAAAAGTTTCACGCCTTGTATTTTCAGTTTTAGGCATGGCAGCGTGGTCTGTCAGCGAGAACTGTCAAATTCTTATAAATAGGCAAATTTAAACGTAACAGATTTCATACACATGCAATCAACTAGTTTTTAGTTTCTGTTTTGAACATGCACAGACGGCTTGCTTCAGAGGACTTTGTAGATGACTCGATAGAAGTCTCGATCAAACGCCCGATATTCCGATCGCGGATGATTTGTGCTTGCATATGGCGTTGGTATTGAACGTCCTAGGATGCTGATGTAATGTTCTCGCCAACGAAGTACCGCAAAACTTCAAGTTTGTGTATTTTTTTCTTAATTTTAACATCGACCCTCTTTTGGCACCTGTGCGTCTCACAATCAAACAATTTGGCGATTTGACTCGATTTTCCTTTAACATACAAGATATTTTTATCATGACTCAGACATAACCAAGATCACAAAGCATCTGATGAGACGAGACGCAATGCATGAATAAAAACATCAAGATCTTAACGAGAGCAAATTTACCTTCAAATGCGATCTAACCAGGAAACACTTGTTGGGAAGGATGCGACAAAAAGTGAGGAAGGAGTGAGTCACCAAAAAGTTCCACAGTGGCTGTCGCGACACTCGCGAATGAATAACGAGTTTATGATTGATCAGGAGTAATCGAAGCAATCTTTGGGCGAGTCAGACAAAAAAATTGACAACTTGAGGGTGTGTGCGGCATATCAGCCAATCAGAACATGAGAATGACAAAAGCTGTCAGGGTGATGTTTATTTCGAGCGGACGAATTCATTGAATCAGCTGGTATGCAAATCACAATATTTGCCTCGGAGGGTCGCTAGTTCTGTGCAGTCAGAGTGACAAGATTTTGAATGTCTCGCGTAGCTACTTCGCTTGATAATGTTGCACAAAGTATTTTGATATTTTTGACAACGAAAAAAATGTCAAACTCAAAGACACAATCCAAAAGGAGGAATTCGATGATGCTTTAACTCTCGGAAAGCCTTAAAGGTTGGTAACCCTACCTTAACTCACCTGTAATCTCCCTGAGAAAGAGTCAAAGTATTGCGACCCAAGATAAAATTGCGTTTTTTTCTTAAATTTTTTTCTTGAATTTGCATTTAAACTTTTCAATCGACCCTAACAACTGACGCAATATTCGAAGTCAACTCCAATATTAAGTAACAAAGGAGTCAGCCATGCAAGACCTTTGTACTGTACTGTACAATCTTATGTCCTCAAAATAATTATATTCCTGAAGGGAATGGCAGCGACAGCTACAGTTGAGGAAAATTTGGAGCACGATTTGAAAACAACAATAATATGTACAATCGATATTCTTCATTCATTGCTGTTGAATGATATAACTGACAAGGAATCTTCCAGAAACTCACAATAATGACTAAGAGCTAAAAATATAACCTCACTCTAATTATTTTTTTAAGCTTTAAACTTTGGCTTATATTCATGTCTCGGTACGATTAATGATGTTCGAAAGCTTTCAGTAGGAACCATCGAATTGCCATAGCATGTTACCATGTTCATTCCTTTCAGTCTATACCTGAACTGAGTTGGTTCTTTCGCGTTAAATAAATGTGGGAGTCATATAATTTTTGATTTACTTTGTTCATGAGTTCACTGTTTGTTCCTCAATTAGCAGGTCGATAGTCACTTGGACTTAAGACTTTCTTTACCAGAGAATAACGTCATCATTTCAAATATTTGCTCAAGAGTTTCATGATTTTTTTTTTAACCTATGCTGGACCTCCTCTACAATTTGCTATAACAACCATGATATTATATCAGTCCATTTCATCAAGATGTCTTCCATCATATTGAAGTTTAAAGCGTTCATTTAAACCTGTAGTCAAGTCTTGTACCTTTCAATATTTTTCAAATGTAAAGTCACTCAAAATATTTTAAAACTTAAAAATACTCCATCTATGTAAGTAAGCTTTACAGTCATTGTGTACATTAAGGCATATGCTCATAAGTCATTACCAGGTAGCCAATCAGTTTTCAGACAGGTGATTAGAATAGTTTCCTAGCCTACTAAGCTTGTAGCTTTTCTGGCATGTGGCGAAATCAAAGGCAACAGAGCAACAAACACAAGATAAAAGGTATCAAATGGAGAAATTTATTTTTCTATTTTCCATTCTTCTCTTGACATTGGCTTCTTGATGTGGAAGATCACCAAAAATGGATTTTAAGATTATTTACCTTTCAATCAGTCACAACTCATGTCAGCTGTTAATTTATTTGCGACTATCCCACCTTGTTAAGTGCGAAACTCAGTTTCATGTATTTGGAAAATAGCAAACAACATACAAACTTCAAAAGCTTAAAAAATTTTACAAATGGCTTTGAAATCAGAAAATAGCAAGGATAAAATTAGAAATAATTTAACTTTTTGATTATTTGTTATTATTATCATAATCAAGCTTCCTTACCTTGCTTGGAAGGCACATGAGTCATTAGGTAATGTTCAAGAGTATCCCATCCTCCACCAATACGTACCAACATGTGATCATTCAACATCTACAGTTAAATTGATGATAACAAGACCTTAAACATGATAAATTAGGAATTACTTATCACCAAAATTGACTGACTGGGTGGGTTGCGTGGTATAAACAAAAAAAGCATGAAATAGGAATACAACAATTTCCCCCCCCCCCTCCCCATGTGTTCTCCTACATCTTTTCTTCCCCTCCCTCAGCACCTATGATAACCCCTAATTTACCATACCAGGAGGGATTATTCCTTAACTACTACAACCCTACTCTCTCTATTCGAAAGAAACTGTGGTGCTGCATCCGTGGGAGAATATCACTGGGTAATTAAGTATCATTAACCAAGTTGATAATGCAACTTGGCCTCCGTAAAGAGTTTCAAGGCTGACATTTTGAGCATTAGCCTTTCATCATTCGCTCTGATGAAGGCCAATGCTCAAGATGTCAGCTTTGAAACTCTTTACAGTGGCCAATTTACACCAATAACTCAGTTGATAATACTTAATTACCCTTTTCTAAAGTAACATTTGTTAATATAGGTAATAACATCATTTCAAGTGCAATTTGGTGTCAATAAGCATAAGTAAGTTTTTCAAAGACAACAAAATTGCATAAGCTCATAGGGCAAGTGCAATTTGTAGTCTTTGAAAATTTACAAGTGCTTATTACACCAAATTGCAGGAGAAATCATTTTATTACTGTAAGTAACATACATGAAAAAAACATCACAGAAAGTCAAGATGAAGGAAATTTTGAAAGCGTGTGCGCTCTTACTGTAATTTGCACTCATGTTACAACTTTGCACTCATATAACATTAGAATGCACTCATTTTCAGCCCATCAGAAACATATAATTTTTTCATGTACATCACTACACAAAGAAACACCAAAATAAGCCATAATCAGGCTCCCCAATATTCCACTGATCCCAATTCCTCACCTAGATGGCAAAGTAACCCACATGCCTGGCCAGACTAAAAATCAGTATAAAAGATTTTCTGTTATTACAAGGCAGATTTTCCCCTCCTTTAATTAAAAACTTTAAACCTAATTTACACCCCCTACTTCCTGGACATATACCTCTCTAGATCCATTTATTTTGTGAAACACACATCTATCAAGGAAACTCCATTACCCGTTTACACCCTAACATCAGGATGCATATTCTCCTTGCTGTTCTCTTTACATTTCCTAAATTGCTGACAAGGAGAATTTGTTTAAAAATCAGGAGCTTCTTTAGTTGGGGATCATTTCTCTTATTCCTGTGACCTCCATGTGTGATTTTGGGGTGATAATGTAACAAGAAATTAGATGCTAGTCAAAGGGTTAAAATTCATAATTGTTCATGGTTAAACTGAGCTCCACTTACTCGAACAAACATGATTCTTCCAAGAATAATGTATTTTCCTTCCTTCAGTCGGTGAACAACTTTTATGTCATAATCTTGAGCAAGCTTGCACACCTGTGTTATTGTGTAGAAAGGACAGGGTCCATAATTAAGAAATGTTCCACATAAAAACTGTAAGAAATTTTTAAAAGTTTAACTTTCCCAGAATTTAGGAATCAACTCTCCCTCCTTACCCCAGTGTCAGAAATATGCATGTATATGTAGTATTATAAACAAAAAAATAATTGATTTTGGTGTCATTTCACTCAAGCAAGGAGTGCTCTTTGAATTGATTTATCAAAGAAAAATACGAAGATGTCAAATATGTGTAGAAGTAGAGGTACACCTCACTGTGCTACATTTGTATAGTTATGTAGTAATAGGTATTAAAATTAAGCTGTGGATTAACTTTTTATCCCCACCTATGAAACATTAGAAAATAGCGGTGATTATTCTATTCGTGATCCAAGAATCGTTATATTCATTTCATTAAATGTCATATTCAATTAATTCTTCTTCGGATCAAAGGCTTTTCTTCGGGTGGGAGAAACAATATTTACTAGACATGCAAAGCTGCTCTTAAACAAATGTATGCGACCAAAAATTAAATGGTTTCGGCTATTCTTATGCAAATAGTTTATTGTTTTCCTTAAGAAAGAAAACCACCTACCGTGCATCTAAATTTCTGTTATATCACTTCTACAAAACCCTTCTCTGACAAAATTTTCGCGTTGTTTGGAAAAACTTGATATGCGCAGTTAGCGTGATCTTTTCTCTCAGCTGCATTTCAAATGATTCCTAATCGGAAGATTCTATTTAAAAATGCATTTAACTGGTTTCCACGGGTGCTAGAAGTCTTGTTGTCAACAAATTCACGAAGAGAAACCTAAACCCTTGACACAGACGATCATATCAATCGTTTAAAATTACCGTTTAATAAAATTAAGCCATCTGCCGGCTGCCCTGAGGAGACAGATGTCCTTGCTTAGCCAAATTATATTCAATGTGAAATTAATTTATTGTATATGCTAGCCATTTTAGTATCACTTTAAATAGCTATTATTTCATCCAACACCAAACTGTTTTGTTTTCAAGCTTATTACGGCTGTAATCTAGATCCTTGAGAAAAGTAGATTAAACTCTGAATCTAACAACTGTACTTTTCAGACGAAACGTGCATAGAAATGTAATATGAGCACTGTTATCTTCAGTCGATCAACATAAACAGAGTATATTTGCATAATTCGTGGATTGACGAGTATTCATATCGAAAACGATATTGATAAAACTACTCAATTTTGTTTCAACTTCTTGCTTCAAAAAATATTTCGTCGCAATATTATGACCATATTAATTGGTATATAGCGGCGGAATTGCACCCCCTACTAAGTAAACGCCTGAATGGATGTTTGCAAACACTTTCTTGAAGTTGTCATAATGAAAACCCTCGGGTCAATTCTTCTTCCGTGGAATAGTTAATTAGGAGTCCTTCAAAATTTTGTTAGGTGAAAATTAACGTGAAATAGGCATAGATGCTTACCTGTTTATCTAACTCCGATTTTGGTCCTTTGCTATCAAGTAGAGAAGGAAGTTCATCAGTTTTTTTCTGAATTTTCGGACAACTTTTTCGATCTTTTGGTTTCAATGGAGTTTGTTTTCCTGCCACGGCTGTGGCTTTCGCTGTTTCCTCTTCCACAGAAAACTCCGTCAAACGAGACGCTGCGCTGTCCCCCTCTTCTTGATCAAATACAGAGTCAACTCCAGAATCCGAGTCTAAAGAACTAGGGCTTTGGATTTCTGGCTGATCTGTCTGTTGTACTTCAAGGTTGTCAAATTCACTTATGTTTATTTGCTCCACGTTCAAAATTTGCCCTTGTTCGTCCGATACATCCATGTCATTCATAGCCTCGTCCTCTTCGATTTCTTTCTCCATTTGAATTAACTGGGGAAGCTCGTCGAGTTCAAACTTTGCTGTCCTTCTGACAATTTCCATGAGACAAATTACGACACCTCTGCAGCCCTCTCGGCAATCGTCTACTTGGACAACGTCGTTCGATTCGAACAGGATGGCTTCGGGAATACCATGACTTCGGCACCACGTTAGAAACTGTTGCACATTCTCCCTAGATTTAAAGAGTTTGATTTCTTTGTTGCATTTTCCCATTTTGTGATAGCGAAATTTTTTCCCTGGTACTGGGATGTCTCGCTCCCGAGAGTAGGTCTCCGCTTTCTCTTGGATGTAGTTCGCAAGTCGACAGAGTAGTGAACCATCTTCCAAGGCGTAGAAAAAAAAGTCGGGACTTATAACAACATCAGGAAATAACTTTGCCAGCCATTCGCTCTCGTCTTCCATCATGGCATACAGAAGTTCGTTCTCTTTTTCCCATCGTTTATAACTCTGTATGCTATTGGTTTTGAGCCTTCGAAAGTTAGCTCTGTTTCGAGGAGTTACAGTCACAGCACGTTCTTCATGCGCCACGGTGATCATCGTTCAGTCGTCTGGGTTTCCGGTAACCCTCTTAAAAATTTGATCAAAAAACCATAATAGGGTGAGTTTCAGATCTAATCCTTCGACTTAACTTCCACGCAGTTACACAATTCCGCACTTACAATCACGTCGCGACGTTCATTTCGACGCTTGTGTGAATATAAACTAGCAGCGTTCGTAGCAGAACCCTCGGCAAGACTGTTTAATAATTCCCACAGGCGGGAATATTAAATAATCCTAATGACAGCAGAGGTTAAGCGATGTTTTCTTTTCTTCCCGATTTCATGCACCGTCTACCATATTAATTCCCTCGAGAAAATTGGCTACGGGAAATATCAACAGAAAAAATTCCAGCTAATAAGCACTTGAACCACACAACCAATCTATTTATAGTCATGCGATAGTTTGGCGTAACGATACTGTATTGGCACAAAACAATTTATTCAGTTGTTTCACGGCGTTAAAAGGTTTGGAATAATATCCTAAATTGAATAGCATTAGAGCTATGCGTTCCGAAGAATAGTCGACAACAAAAATAGATCAATTGAGATCATTGCTATCGTCGATAACAAAAGTAACTCTAGGACGAAATTAGAACTTATCTGCTTCAATATTTCAAAACGCTGAAGCTTCCACAGGAAACTTTTTCTCCTCTCTGCTCTGCGGTATCACAGCCCTTTATAAACTGTCAACTTACATAGTCATAACAAGACTTATTAAACATGCATAGTTAGCTGTTCAGTTCGTTACCCGAGAGATCATTCTCTTCGAAGGTCTTGAAGGACCAGTCTTACGCTCGACAGTCTGAAGAAGAACAGATCATCGCGTTCTTTCAACCGGAAACCATGGGTATTTCGAAGGCAAACCGGAAATGAAGCAAACGGAAATGACAGTACGATTTCAGAAACATAACCTCTCGATGGGCAGTTTTTAATTATGTCTTTTGCAGTTGACATGATTTTGTAATTTTACTACAGTGTAACAACTAGTTACCTTTGGTGGTACACCTCAGTATTTCTCGAGTTATCTAATTTCTTTGGGTTTTCTTTTTTCTTTTCAGATTGGGAATTTCCATGTGAAGCAATCTTAAAGGATCCTTATAGCACTATACCTACATTTCTATTGTCTAGTTGCATAACAATTGACGAAGACGCCTGATTACGGATTGAAGTCTTGCCAAAAATACAATTCTGACACCAGGGAATTATTTATGTTAACTATTACGTCATTTTACTAATTCAAGATCAGTAATTTATTGTCATCAACCGAAAGTGAATAGTTTACAGTCACAAATGACAGAAATGGAAAATCTCCTTGGATCGAATCCATCACATGCTACGGACTTCAGTTTCAGAATTATGAGGTCATTTTTCATTTTTCTTTTTTTTCAATTTCGTGTACCTTTAGGAATTAAAATGAACGACGAAACAAAATCTTTAAAAAAAGGTATAAGCTTTTGAGACAAGGAGGCAGTTTTGCGGTCAGAAGGAAAGATACTCCTTAATGGAGGAAGTGTAAGGACGTCACAAAGCATGACGTCAGAGCTCAAAGAGGTTCCGTGCGATTCCTTGTCAAGCCAATATATTGGCTGTTTTTTCCCTTTTTTGGTTAACAATTTTTCCTTCTTGATTTAAGACCACTTTTGGAACAGATTACATGTAAAACTTCACACACAAGGTTTTTCTAGTTACCATCGAATAGCAAATCCTACTCCGTTTCATTCAGACATACCCAAGGATTGGTGCGTGATATATCAAATCACTGAGGGTCATCAATTGGCACAAAACTCAACCAGCCAATATAAGTAATTGCTATTTTTGTTTAAATGTTGTTAACACATCTAGAAAATATCAATAAAACGTGAACAATGACGTTCGATAATGTTTTTAGATTTTGTGTCAGTCATGTTAGTTTTCTGGATAAGCAAGAACTCTTAAAAATTCAATAGGGACTTACTTCTCGGTTAGCATATTGTAATTAGTTTACCCTATATAACTGAATTTTATCACTCACCGTCCTCCTTAATCTTCCATGTACTAAGCCATATCTGTCCTTGTTGAATCAATCTCTCTTTGGCGTAACTCTCCCCTTTTAAACGACTACTCTATGTCGAGACCTATTTCAAGCGTTCACTGGCAGGATTTAGTATTAGTTATTTGCTGTGAAACCCCAAGAGAGAAAAGGGAGGACCTTTCGATTCTGGATGTTTGGGGTGGATAGAATATCAGTTAATTACCAGAATAAACGTCTTAAAGTAGAGAATATTTAATCTCATAAACTTTAATCGGATAAAAATGAAACTCGAATTTTCCATTGACCTGTCCACCTGATAAAGGTTTCAGTCAACAAATACGCATAACTTTGGTGCCAGTGTCCACTTCACCTGCGATCAGGTAATCTTTGTATTAGAGAATCACGGCAGTGAAGCAGCGTAAGAGTCGGTTACTGCTACTTTATCAGGCTCTCCCGACAGAAGATTGTGTGATCGCAAGCTACCGTCCGTTTGATACAGGGTGTCCAATTATTGTGGCTGGCTCGATACAGGCTTCATGCTTCAAATTTCTTGCGTAGTAACAGCGATACAAAATAAAGAAACACCTTAATCACAAATCGGCCACTATTGTCCAAACACTCTAATCCAAAATCAAAATTGGCCACTAATGCCCGAAATCACAAACCGGCCACTAAAATTAAAAATCGGCCACTACAGTCCAAAATCACAAATCGGCCACTACTGTCCAAAATCACAAAACAGCCACTAATGTCCAAAATCACAAATCGGCCACAAGTTACACCAATATCCCTTGAATCGTATCTAAAAACAACATGTCAAAACCTGCTGTCTAATGGCTGCATTTCTCGTTCTGTCCGCTTACAAGCCGGGTCGCTTCACAGCTCATTTGCCTATTAGCTCCGTTATTAATTTTCCCATAAGTTGCTTTATTGTTAAATACAATGACTTAAGAGTCCTCTTGTTCCAAAAAGCACCCCGCTGAGTGCACATCTGGCCTTGAGCGGGTATAATAACAATAGCGCGAGACAAATACTTTTTTCATTTTAGTAGGGTGTAGCCGAACAACCTGGTGACACCCCATCAGTAGCCCATTTGCTTCCAAATCAGAGAAGCCCCCACATTTTTAAACCCATGGCAAGTGATCCTGCTTCAAACATCTCCAGCTTTGGACCAATTTTTCACCATCCCCTTTAAATGGAGATGTCTCAATGAGGTATTTGGTGGGAGCGCGGAAAACAGCAGCACAGTAGTCGACGGCGTGAGAGGGGATGAAAACTCGGCTGAAGTTTCATGCTTGAAAAAAATAGCGCTTACTGTTATAAGTTACAATTGATAGGTTTCTTTAGTTTGATTTAGACTGTTGAACTCAGTGATTTTTTAAACGCTCTGATCGGAGTTGCAAGAAACTGGCTGGGGATGGAATTCACTAGCACTGTTTCAACCTTTGCAGACGAATTTGACAACGGGAAGAAAATAAACGTTATAAGCCGATGCAATGGAACGCGAAAGACAAATTAGGAGAGTTTGCCTTGAATCTCTTATGCTTGTTACTAGTCGTCTACGTTCGCTTGCGCCTGAGGAGAAGGCACGTAACGCACATCGTTATGGCGACAACTTGTTGAGAGCCGTCACGCTGAGCCGTTGTTGAGAGCTCTCATGCTGAGGCTGGGGAAAGGAGGTCATGAGATCATACCTTATAAGATATTTTAATGTACTGCACACGAAGTCCTGATATTAAAGCAAGCAAATAACAGCCAAAAATAAATCGTACAAAAATAGGATTTATTCACCCCTTTCACGCATGGAGAAGAAATACGAAATCTACGAAGATTTAAAGAGCATGAAAAAGATGACGTATTTACCAATACCTTTTCACACAACGTCTACCTAATAAGTGATTGAAATCTATCGCTACGGTGTTATCCGATTGTTTTCTAACCAGTGACCATAAATCACGTGTTGTCATTGTTAAACTATCTGCGTCCTTATATTAAAACGATGATTCACTTTGTTGTACCCAAGTCAATTTACAAAAGAATTTTATAACGTACATACATTTTTTTTCTGATCGCACGCTTCTATTTACACTTTTTCACTAAGTTTGATTTATGTGAATATCTCCTAAATGAAAAAAAAGTATTTGTCATAGCCATATCTGCAGAGAAAAAAAATCGTGATCAGTAAAGGAAAATTGGACACAACTGTCTGATAATGAATAATACAAAGTTTATATTTGCCCATAAACATAATCACGGACACTACCCCTTCTCGATGAGATTTTTGACCGAAAAACCAGAATGTTTGGTTGAAATTTTTCTCATTGCCTTCAAATAGCCTTACCACTTGTAACAAAAATTAAAGGTATTATCCCCACCCACCCTTCCCCTAAATAATTGCCCATTGACGTCACTTCCGCATGTTTCATTTTAAATATCAAGAGAGGGGGGAGAGGGGGGCACTTCAGCTCTAAAAACGTAAAACCCACTCCGCCTTACCTATCAGAAATAAATAACGTCTTGGGTAGCACCTTCTGGACTCTGGTCTTTTTGTTCTCGTTCCTTGTCCTCCTCGTCAATAATAAATGGACGGGTCTGGCGCTGAGCGCGCGGAGACGATAGTTGCTGTACTTGTTCCCTGAGGTTATGCTTGAGCCTGCCTTGTTGATGGTCAGCTTTGATCTGCAACGGAGGTGACGTATTGCCACCTTGTTCTTTTACAGGTCTAAAGCGCGCACTCTTAACTCCACTAAAGAGGACAAGAAAAAAATAGCTTAGCATTAACACAAGAGCCTCATGCCACATAAAAATATCTTAATTTTCTCTTAAGTGGCATATGGGGAGCTCGCAGTTTCCTGCGTAGGACGATATGCTACAAGCCTGGATCACATTTAAGTTATTAGAGGTCATTTCATTTTAGTAATTTAAAATTAGAAGTGCATTATATTGCACAAGTAACGATGCTTCGACGATAACAGCAACGTCATCCTTATCCTTGGTGGGAATCACGGAATGTAACGAATCATTCCGCTAATAATTATTATCACAATTGAATGAGCCAAGTAAAAGTTGAGTACTAGAAGCGGGTTAATCCAGCTTACCCGTCGATGTCTGTAGCGGCGTCAGGCTGTTGAAAAAGTTAAAGTAAAGATCATTAAAATAGCTCTATACATTCAGATAGACCAAAGGTAAAGGTCGATAATTTTTTTTGTGTAAATGATATCGTGAAACCAAAGCATTTCCTTTCAACTACAAAAATAAATTACAAAATCACCTCTTGCCCGGGCAGCGGCGAGGGTGTAGGAGTTTGACTTGGAGATGAGGACGGCGAATCAGAAGCTAAATCACCTGAAAAGATGGTGAGAATATATAATAATTACGATAAATGGATAAAAAAGAAATCAACCACTCAAACTTCATTTCTTGTCTTGTGTTTATAAATAACTAACTTGCTACCGGGTTTGTCCTGGTAAGGGACAGAGTCTAGAGTCTACTCCGCACCCGTTATTTATAATGTTATTCATGGCTCCTCCACCAAACCCTCTCCCTTTTAAGAAATATAGAGTTTGTTGGTGCTGCTAAATGTATGCCACATGAAGCCCGTCATACCTGTGCTTCCACTCTGTTCCTTGTCCTCCTTTCCGCTGCTCTTGCTCAAGAACGACCACCCTCCACCTCCCCCGCTTGACCGCCGCTTGTGTTTCATCTTTGGACTAGCTCCACCAGCTGGACTGACCGCACCCGGCAACTGCCTGGATGGGAAACCCATCCCAGGTCTCTCAGTCCTCATAGAGCTCGCTCGATTGATGTTGTCTTTGTTGAGATTATCGGGTTTGAGTTTGCTATCGAAGCCACTAAAAGTCTCGGCCCTCTTGGGTCCAATTCCAGGTACAAATAAGGACGAGGAGCTCCCTTGAGTATCACTTTGAGCCTCTTCAGATGAAGGATCCTCACTGGATAATGTAGATTGCACCTGTTGCATAGTGATCATCAGGCACTCCCTGAAAACAAAATGAGATCAGCATGTTAGACGTAAAAGTTAACCAACCCACTAGAAAGGAGTTCTGACATCAATAAAACTGTTTCCCTAACAAAGCCAATAAATGAATGTGCATAATGATGTACGGGAAAAATTACGCGCTTCTGATTTGCTGAAAACGATTGCATTCTCACGTAACACGAGTGATATGAAATAACACGATTTCGAGCGCAATTTGGTGTTAACGAGCACTACGGGCTCGTGCAATTTTGTTGCACCCTAACATTAGCTTTTATATTCTCAACAATGACTTCTTCACAATTCCTACGATACTGACAAGGAGAATTTGTATGACAATCAGGAGAAAAATCAGTCAGTCACTCTTAGGGGTTTTCGGGTTAAAAAACGGGGTAAATCCACTTACTTCGTCTTTGCCAGTTCTTTGCTTTTATCGGCATCCACTTTAGACTGAAAAGAGGAGAACACGCGCCAATAAAGAAACAGCATTAAAAAAGATAAACAATACACAAGACCTTGAGCTTATCATGGCCCTTCTCTAGTTTTGCGTTCTTTACAGTACTTACCTTTTCTTTTTCCATAGCCTCTATTTGACTGACGAGTTCCTGAAAAAGGAAAAATATCATAAGGCTATGAAAACAATTCGCAAGCGGACATGTGTCGATGTCGATCTTTTCTGGAAATCCAATTATATGAAACAACGGATAGTCAATCCCATTGCAGCTAAAAAGTTGTGTTGTCTGAGCACATCCATAAGCGTTTAGACGTGTTTATGAGTTACGTGTGCTAATGTGCTTGCGTGCGAATCTGCATTCAGAACTAGCGAACCATTTCGACGTGGTCAGGCGAGCAAGAGTAAGCGTCCGGGCTCTTGAGCGTAACTAGCCCACGAAAGGTCTGAGGCCTTGAGCAATGTGAACGGGAAGAGGTCTTCAAGGGTCTGGTACTGATAATTATTAGTGCCAGACCCCTAGCAAACCTCTCCTTGACTCGCTTCAAATATTCCCGCGAGCAGAGAAACGCGCGGCCATCAGTGCTGATAATAAGGACTTGCTCGCAAGCTACACTCGCTTTCGCCTCGCGCTTTGCCTCCGCTTGCCTAAATAAAAAACAATTAGCACCTGTTTTGCTGGGAGTATCAGACACTGACCTGCATCTCAGCTAAATGTTTTCCTCTATCCGCGTCCTCAAGGTCCTTGTTGTGTACTTGATCTACAAAACGAATACCACATGTCAACATGTAGAAAGCAAAGAAAGGACAGGAAAAAAAAGGATTCATGTGCAAAGGCTGTTCATTTGAAGGAAATTATTACACTGAAAGCGATGAAGAAAGAGGAATACTAACCAATAAGTACACTGGCTCTACGTAATATAATCTTCCTTCGTTCGCCTGCAGCTGTGGTGATGAGACTAGAGTCATCAAGATCTACAGGAAGTAAAAAAAAGGTTTCATTGAAAATCACCCACGTTTCCTATTAAATTCACTCAGTTGGTAAACTGAAAACAAAACTATTTGCTTATACACACTGAAGTTTAGTGAAGTAAATCGGGTAAGCAAGCTTAACTACTTCTGTCAGACTCTCTGGTATGCTTGGCACAGCCGGCAAACGAGAATTGAATGTAAACCCCGATTGGCATAAATCAGTTTCAATATAAAAATCTGTCACTTACTTTCATCTCCTGGGGCGTTGGCCACAGCATCGCGAATTATCTCCATCCAACTGAAAACAATCAGGAGAGGTTATACGCGAACATATAAACCCTGCACTCATGCAAGACATCGCCAGATGGAGGAAACAGCGACAGAAAATGACGGTATCACAAAAACAATGGTGCTAATGCAAAAGCTCAGCTAAGCAATACCTGATTTTCGTTCATTTCTCTGTTTGTTTGATTTTCCCCATACCATTGCTTTTTTTCCTCAATTTAGCGGATATCAAACAATCTCTTTAGTTAACTAAAGGACTTGATGTGGTCAAACCCGCACACAAGCAACAGTACATAGTGAAAACATTACCCAAACACAAAGAACCTCTTATAAAGAAGGTTTAACCCTTTAACCCCTAAGAGTGACTAACATCTAATTTCTCCTCACAAAATCACCTCTGAATCACACATTAAGGTCGTGAGAATAGAGGAAATGATCATCAACTAAAGAAGGTCTTGATTATCAAAAAAATTATTCTTGTCTGCACGTTAGGAAATGTACAGAGAACAGAATGGATAATATGCATACTGATGTAGGGGCGTAAGGTTTTAAAACGACGGTGCAAAAGATCGCAGCTTTTCTTTACATCGCTGTTGTTATGTGGCTGATGTTACCTAGTCCGGGCCTAACCATCAGAAACGATAAAAAAAGAAAATTATTTGCACAGTTTCGAGACATCATCTCGTAAACAGGTGACAAGAATTGACACACTTTTCATCCGTATGTATCATTTATGCGACCACAAATTCTCTTAAACTATTTTCAAGAAAAAGTGAAAGTTTGGCACTCACCGTTTCTTTTCGGCAGCCGATTCGCACACTATTTCGTACATCTCTGGTATTTGACTGCTGGGGCTCACAAGAAAGATGGCTTTTCTATCAGTTGCGACCTCCCGCACAATGAGCTTTTTAAGCCTCACAACTGGGGCCTTAACAAAAGAATAAAAACGATGTTGAGAAAATGGTTTCATAATTTTCAACACCAATAATATGATGGATCGATAACTAAAACACTTTATCGTAAGCTCAGAGCTACCTTTATTCTTCGCCTGAGGTGGCTCTGAACCTTCAGAGCAAACGTTGAAAATCACATGCTAATTAGGGGTCACCAGGCTTGTCTTTGAGTAACAGGCACATAAAGCTAAATTAAAGGTGTTTCAAAGAGACTTAGGGACTACTGTGGCAACCTAATATGTTGAAACCGTAGCAAAACTTATTGAGAGAAATATTTCGGCATTTTATGATAACATTTTCACGGAAACAAAACAAAAACATGAGAAGGAAATCGATCCGTTACATAAGTAAACACGCTCCTAACCTTCTGATCTAATGACAGCAAACTGTATTTCTGATCCTTCTCCTGGAGGAAAACCAACATGTCTTCCATGACAAGGACTCGAGTTTCTGCAAGGTCAAGTGAACTAACAATCAAACATAACGTTTGGAAACACCAAAAGAACGAGGTTGACAACGATTAGTAGAACTTTTAGTAAAGAAACAGTGTGCGTAAATAGCCCTAGCCTGCAGTGCAGGCGTCTTATTAGGGCAAGTTAACGTTAAGAGGCTCGCGACCGCTTATTCGACTGGCCATGTTTGATTTAGAGTTAGAATGGACGGTGGGGGGAGGGGGGAGGGGGCGCGGAAAAGCGAAAAGACCATTGCCCCATCCTCCCTCCTCTCCTTCTTTTATGACCGTCGCTCACCCCCTTGGTACAAATATCTTTCTCTCCCCAGCTTTCTACTACGGTAAAAATCAAAGACGGCGGTTATAATTTTCTCCTAGATAATACTAAGCACTCGCCCGCCAAAATTACGTCTGCTCTGCAGATTAAAATAGCCCACTGTAACTTGAGCAGAAAAACGCAAAAACAGTCATAAGTCCACCATGAATTTAAGCAAAATTGGTTAAGCGGACCAATTATTATCGAGCAGTTTTATCATTTTACGATTAGGAGACTTCGCTACCCTCGATAAAAGTTACTATTCACGAAAGGTGAAATGAAGGTTCCTGAGTATATAGTAATTCACTTAAAACTTTCCATAAAAGCCCTCTTTCTAGTTGTGATATCTATGCAATTGTGCAAAAGAATGCCATTAACCCTTTCACTCCCAAGATCTCATCAGTAATTCTCCTTACTGTCTGCCATACAATTCTTGTGATGTTAGTTCAGAGAATTTGGTATTGGATCTACTAATAAACCCATAATTGATATTTTTCTTTATTCGCACAAACTACCTGCTAGGTATTGTATTGATATTGTAAGGAGAAATTCTGTCTTGGTCACTTGTGGGAGTGAAAGAGTTAATCGAGTACAATGTCCATAGAATGGGTAAGCACTTTACCATTCAGTTTGTTCTTGGCTGTTTTCCACAATAACACACCATCGTGCACCAGTTTGCTTGTGTTTGCTGCGAAGTCGATGTTCTACAAAATACGTTTTCAACATAGCGAAAACAAAAGTTTGCAAGTAAACATAAAAAAGGAGAAATCTTCGGTTTAATTGCTCTGAAATTTTCATCTGGTGGTGATTCGTCACAAAGGGAAACTGGTGGACATTTTTATCTAGATGGTGGAAAAGAAAAATGGATGATTATCCAATTATTTATTTCAAATTAAGCATTTTGGAGAGAATCGACACCATTTTTACCTTAACTTTTCCATTCTTGAAGTTAACAGTTACTTTCAAATCCAGCTTCAATTTCATTTCTTGAAGTAACTACAATAGAGAATGATTCTACATTTAAATATTGTTACCGTACTTCAGTATTACACGCCACTGTCATATCAGTAACATTAAACTTTTAATTTTTTTAGTTTTGGAGCTCGTCGAGTCGAAAGGCACAACTTCGAATGACAGGTGGAGCAGACCTTCTCACAACTCTTCTTATCAGGAGAGTCACATTTTACAAGCCCGCCCTACTAACACACGCTGTTTCAAAGAGTGTGCGCAGGCTTCACAAAGTGCCCTCCCTTGGTGTTCTCGGCTCGGTTAAACCTGAACCCTATTGTGAGAGGTGACGTCACCGAAAGAGACTTGCACACAACAAACCATACCGCGCGTGATTAAAAGAAGCAAGAGAGAATGCCTGGAGATAAGATTGGGTAAGCGTATGTTACACAGTGCATTGATCACATACCTTCTGTTTTTCGTAATCCTTTATCGTCTGATCGACACTTTGTAATATCATCTAAACGCAATAACAAACAAATCAAATTGTAACTAAACTACGACCGGGCGCTCGTTTTGATAGATTAAATAGTTCTTATATCTTCACACATGTTTCGAATAACATCGAAGCGAATTATGAGGCGGCCTTACCTTAATAAGAGTGATGGAGTTCTTGAGCGAGCTAAAATCCGGTTTGGACTCTAAAGAAAAAAAAAACCAGTAACAAAATTGATAACATTAAATTGAAATGGATGATAGCCTAGACAGGACTCTAAATGGACATAAAAGAACCCTCTTTGCAAATTGTCTATCAGTCGGATGCAAAACCAAGACCAGAAATTAGAAAATTTAGAAAAAAACCATTCAAGAAACAAAAATTTACCCCACATATCAGACTCTCCTTCACAGCCGTTCTTAGTCTTTGTCACACAATACAAGTGATAGGTTGTTGCGTGACAAAGCCAAACAACGGCTGCGGAGGAGACTGCGAAGAAAACTGCGCACATCACGAACTTGTACGAAATAATGAAAAGGGTAATTAAACTGGGTCATGTTGGATATATACGACGAAATATAATGTACTCCGCGGAATAATTTCACCATTTGAAACGTAAGAGTTTATACAGCATCCAATTTTTAATTACAGTAACACCCCTAAATCAAACATTAAGGTCTTGAGAATTTGAAAAAGGATCAGTAACCAAAGAAGCTATTGATTGTTAAACAAATTCTCTTTTCCAGAACCTTAAGACCTGAATAAGGAACAGAGTGGAGATTATACATAATGATGTTAGGGTGTAAAGGTAATAACATACCCTTAGTAGTTTTCACGATAGCTTCGATGAGCATAGGATATTTGGTAAGCCTCTGAGTGACAAGCGTGATACATTCTGGGATTGACAGCCGTCGACAGTACTTGTTTGCGTTGCACTTCTGCTCAAAATACAAAAAAATAGTAGGTCCGCGATGCAGGCACGTGTGGCTTGGGAATTATACTCATGACACTAATTAGTCAAAAGAAACGCATTTTAAAAATAGATGAAGGTAGTAATAACTCAGTTTTGTAATTCAGTGAACATTACACCTTGAATAGACAAGTATACTAGGTAACTGGGCCATAATATTGGAGATTAGAGTGTAAACTGATAATCGTTACTAATTTTGATGAAGACGGTCAACAGTTACCTTTCAAAGGGAACTGTTTACCGTCTGCCCTATGTCCACCTTATTAGTAATAAAGTGGAAATAGCACAGTCTTAAACCGAGTACTGAAAAACCAAAACTAACGTAATCACAACGTCCAATCAAAACGATGATTCACTTCCTTATTTGCCAATGAGAATTCAAAGTAAAACCAGCTTAACAGCGAAAAGCGCAGGAAGACGCGGATAACCAAATCGCGATCGGTTTCCTTTTTGTTTCTGATTGGTTGAGTGGATCGCCCGAGTTTCTGGCCAATCACAGGGCAAATTAAAACAAAAGCCAAGTAATCTCGCATTACTTTCGACACTCACTTGAAAATTGCTCCAGAGGATGATGAATGACATTTTGAAGCATTCTCTAGAAATGCGTATTTTAACAAGTTCTACTACAATTCCAACGTACTTTACACTAACTCGTTAAGCTACTGATACATACCTTGATAAAAACCGCAAACTTTTTATCCGTTCTTAGTAATTTCTGAATAAAAAAGAAAATCGCAACTTCTCTTATCAAAAAGCAGACGTTTTCTTCCGTACTAAACGAAAATTGAACATGTTAGTTGTTACACGAGAAGGCACGGCATCATATCGGTATTTTTACCTTATAAAGCTCAACAGCCTCCATGTGATTACTGCAAAACTCGCCGTACGCACTCTTCATTTTTTCACCGTTTTCTCCACTAAACTGTTATGCAACGAGAAGACTGCAATTAATACATATTCCTCGGGTACATTTTGCATTTTTCCCCCTGTTTTCTTACCTGTTCTTCCAAGATATCTCCAATACTGTTAACTATAGTATCTTCGTCTTCACTTGCCCTCAGTCGATTTAAAAAGTCGCCTATGTGAATAGCAATGACACAAATCAAGATTGATTAAAACAATCGACCAAAAACGCCTTCAAACGTATCCTCGCTTTTGAGTTGAACAGTATTTGTTTAAATTGCAGTAACTCACCATTTATCTGAAGCAAGTCATCGAGTCTCGGTAATATCTGATAAGCAGTCTCTTGCGACAGATAATCTAACATTCCCTTATAAAATATCTGCAAACAAGAAAAAATATATAAAAAAAACACATTTAAAAACTTCAGCTTTTGATTTCATTAAGTAGCAGAGAGGTGCAATACAAATGATTTTTAAGAATAGTAGGAATAGAAAAGGATTGCAAAAGATCGAGTCAGAAAGTTAAAAGTTAACACGTTCAGGTGATAGAATAGTTTTCAGTTGAGCAACGAAAATGATCCCGACTTGCTTTGGTCCTGCTTTGAGATTGGTCCAGAATACTCGCGCAAACCTCTCAACCAATCAAATGCAAAACCTAAACCAATCCCGACTGGGTCATCCGCGTTTTCCCGCGCTTCAAACAGGTTGCCCGTGTTTACTTTGAGTTCCCATTTGTTAATGATGATGTTACCGTATGCTCTGATTGGTAGTTGTGATTACATTTACTTTAGTTTTGGTTTTCCGACACCTGGTTGTAAACTGCTCTATAATATGAAAAATTTGCCCGTCAGAGCGATTTATCGGTTCTTTAGTTCTTACCTTCTGCATAATTTTTAGAGTCCTCACATGATGGACTTCAGTTTGTATTAATTCTAAAAGAAACCAAAAATAATACAAGGTAAATTACTGTAAAACAAGTCCGCCACACATCACCCCCAGAGTTTCACTTTGCCCAGGAAACAACAACTTTTAAAGATACATCTACCTTGCGAGCAAGCTTTCATTATTATCGCTTCGACAGGAGAGTTTCTTCGCCTGCGGGAAAGTATGAAGCATGAGCAACGCGAGCCGGCGAGGTCTACAAGGGGTCTGGTACTGATATTAGCGCCAGACCCCTGGCAAACCTCTACCGCGACTCGTCTCGAATCTTCCCGCGGGCAGAGAAACGCACGTCCTGCAACCTAAACAAAAGGGTTCTGCTCGCAGGCCAAGAAACATCCGTCTCACCATGAATCACATCTTGTCTCTTAATATCTTTTGCTGTCATCCTTTTGAGAATCTGAAGACATGAACGAAATGGAAACATCGTAAGGCGACTGTTTACAAGCTCTCTAGTTTGCACTGTCGAGTTCCAACTTAAGATAACATAGTACTTAGCAGGCTAGTCTAAGGAGTTTGATGTTGTCAATATACAACAATCTTCCTAGTTCTTGTCAATTAAATGACTGACAGTTTATTAAATTTGAAGGGGGGGTTTATGTAGCGATCACTTCCGGGAACTAGGGCAAAGTCTGGTTTCGCTCTAACGAAACGTCAGCTCTAAAAACTAGTGGCTAATTCACATTATAAACTTATATAAAAAAACCAAACTTTGTAAAACCAAACTATCTTTTTCATATAATGACTGACTGTCACAGATATCTTGCGCGGAATGCGATAGAGAATATTCTGTTGCCGGATGTATCTCACTTGCCGAGATCTCAGACGATACCCGGATCACAACAGGTGACTGTTTTCAAATTATCGCAAGAGATTGCAGCTAGGAGCGATCGAACAATTACAGTAAAACAGAAACAAGAGGTACTCGATAACTTCACCTTCTTGTCGATGCTAACGCTCCAAGCTTCTGGTTCAGGTTTAATGTCAAGATCAGGATCGCCTGGATGCTGAATAAACAAAATTCAGGCTCAAATGAGTAAGTTGGCGATCAGTTACGAGTAGAAAGAAACCACACATGTAAACATTCAAGAATGTTTGGTGATACAACTTTCATTTCTATTCACTGATATTTTGAAAGAAGACTACAATAGCACGATGTCTCGAAATATCTAAAGAGCTAATGAAAGCTTACCTCATCGTCCATTTCTATAATGTAGAACAAAAAGAAAGTGTAAAACGTTAGATGGTAATAACATAGACTTAGATTTTAATAACAGAAGCATCAGATAACAGCGGAAATAATTCACGAAAACTAGATGAGTGCAGTGAAAGGTGCAGCTATAAAGCTTTGACGCCACACAGAAAGAAAACTCTCTAGAATTTTCTATCTATCTACTTTATCCTACTGTGATTCTTTGTTGCCATTCAATGACAGCCATGGGGGGTGGGGATTCCACAGTTTAGCCATAATTCAAACCCCTGCTTTCTGACAAACGAACAAACGACTGATTGACTCAATGACTAACTGAATCACTGACTGATTCACTCAATCATTCACTCTCTAGGGGATTGAATGACTCGTTGACTCATTGACTCAATCACTGATTGACTTAGCCTGGCGTCCTCACTGGCTGACTGACTGAATGACTGGGTAATTCAGTGTTATCGACTGAGTTGATAACGTAAATTAGCCACCATAAAGAGTTTTAAAGGTTAACGTTTCGAGCGTTAGCCCTTCACCTTCGAAACGCTCGAAACGTGAACTCTATAGGTGGCCAATTTACATTATCAACTCAGTTAATACCACTAAAATAGTCTGTTATACTCTCCCATCGACGCAGCACAACAGTTTCTTTAGAAACTTACCCACTTTTTTCATTTGACTGAATGACTGACTGATTGACTCATTAATTGACTCACTGTTGACTTACTGCCTGACTGACTCACTGACTGAGACACTTATTGACTTACTGCCTGACTGACTCACTGACTGAGACACTGATTGACTTACTGCTTGACCGACTCATTGACTGACTCACTGTTGACTTACTCCCTGATTGACTCATTGACTGTCACTGATTGACTTACTGCCTGACTGCCTGACTGAGTCACTGATTGACTTACTACCTGACTGAGTCACTGATTGACTTACTGCCTAACTGACTCATTGACTAACTCATAGTTGACTTACTACCTGACTGACTCATTGACTGACTCACTGTTGACTTACTGCCTGACTGACTCATTGACTGACTCACTGATTGACTCAATGATTGATTTACTGCCCGACTGACTCATTGACTGACTCACTGTTGACTTACTACCTGACTGACTCATTGACTGACTCACTGATTGACTCAATGATTGATTTACTGCCCGACTGACTCATTGACTGACTCACTGTTGACTTACTGCCTGACTAACTCATTGACTGACTCACTGATTGACTCAACGATTGATTTACTGCCCGACTGACTCATTGACTGACTTACTGTTGACTTACTGCCTGACTAACTTATTGACTGACTCACTGATTGACTTACTGCTTGACTGCCTCATTGACTGACTCACTGATTGACTCATCCTGACTCACTCACTTACTCACTGACAACAAACTGAACAACTTTCTCACTGACTGATTGTACACTTACCCCCTTCATCATAATCTTCGTCATCTCCAGACGCATCCGGTGACACACTCGAACTAAGAAAGTAAAAAGCAGAACGTCAAAAGTCTGACCAGGCTGCAATTTGTATATTAAAGTGGTACTAAGATTTCCTTCTATTAAAGCTTTGACTTCCCTTGAAGAACACAACTCTGCCCCATCGAATCAAAGGTTCACCACAATGTGTTACTTAAGAAGAAGCCCGCTAGAAAAAAAAACTCACTTGGGTTTATCTTTCTCTTTTCCCTTGTCTTTGTCTTTGTTTTCATCATCCACTGTGAAGCTCTTACTTTAAAAAGAACGAAACAAAAAAAGTTGCCGAAGCAATTTACTGACACAGCGATTAAAGTTACACATAACGTAATTACCACGACACAATACCACTTCAGGGTGTACCTTCGAAATGGAAGAGGAGAAGTTGGTTTGGTCTGCATGCTGGATCTGGAAGACACGCCGCCTCGACCACCCCGTGTTAATAATCCAGGGTTAGGTAATACCGGAACCTGAAACGAGAGGCAAGTCACATGAAGTCAACATTATTCAACAGATATCAAAGGTCAACATAATTTACTAAAAACTCACAAGTCATCGTGCAAGTCGCACGTAAATACCATGGAGCCAATTAAAAAAAAGCATGAATATCGTCTTATTTTTTAAGGCGAGGAGGCCGTTTCACCTTGGGGGAGGGTACAGCTACACGTAGGCTATAGATAACTTTTTCCGGAAAAGGGGCCGTAAGGCAAAACTCAAACACGAGAGCCTGCGCGCAGACTCAACAGACGGCGATAAGAGGTCTTATGAGCAGGAGTAGACCGCCGGTAACTGGCTATAATTGAAACCACTGCCGACTGACTAGAAAAAGACCAGAGAGCTTTCTTAACGAAGAGGAATAATACTACACCATAGTCTCTGACTTCAATAAGCTCGATAGGTACCCAGTACATCACCTGAGTCAGATAGAAACCAACGGGTGAAGCAGCAGCTTTGTCCGGCATTACATACCTGTTCTCCAGACTTGGACAACTTGCTTGGAATTCCCGACGCTCTTCTTCCCAACGCAGTTTTGAGTTGTTCTTTAGCATCCCCAGACTCCCTCTTACCGTCTTCGCTGTCTTTACTCCGAGAAGCTATTTAAAACACACTAAAACTGTTAAAAAATTACATCAAGAAATCTCGCTTCTTTGTTTACCTCAGACAAAACTATCCTCAAATAGAAAAAAAAATAGAAAAAACCTGAAAGGGCAACGAATACCAGCTAGAGAACGAGAAAGGTTTACCCTTTAACTCCCAAGATCTAATTGTAAATTCTTCCCTCTAGTTCCTAAACATTTCCTTGTAAATTGGTTGCGAAAATTTAGAATAACATCAAGTAAACAACTACTTTGCTGGATAATTCGTGAATGTTAAAGGGGAGAAGTTATATGAAGTTATATATGTAAATCACTCCTACGAGTTAAAACTTTAAAACTTCAGGGTGAAGTTGCAACGGATGCACAAACTAAACACAAGAAATGAATGCGCCAATTTGGTCTATAGTCCGTATCTTAACATGTCTTAAGCACAGAACTCCTTTCTCCCTTTATTGCTGCCAGAAATTTTGTTGCGTAGTCTCCATTCATATACATCTGCCAAATAACAACTGTATTCAATACAATTAAATTAATTATCGTTGACATGAGTATCAAACTTACAGAAGCTTTTTTCTTTTCTAAGGCTGCTTCTGTTGCTCCCTTTCTGAATCTTTGGAAGTTCTCGTTTTATCTGCTGAAATGGATTAAAAAAAAACCATCAGGCGCTGCTCTGGGGCATTGGTAACCGAGAAGTACTACAAAACCAATGAGCATAAACAGAAAACAGTACTAAATTTTGTACCTTAGTTGAGGACTTGCTTCCAAACAGCATGCTAAAGCGTCTGATACCCTTTCCAGGTTCCTGCTTTTCCTGTAATGAAAAGAGTGGTGAAATTCAGTACAAGATAATTTATAACGGCCAAGGAGTGCTGAAATCATCATCTGACCACTTAAGCTAAAATTGGGGGAAAACGAAGTTTCCTTAAAGAATCCTACGCAATATGAATACAAAGAATCATTTCTTACTTATTTCAAACCCAAAAGCATTGAAACGTACACTATATGTTGAAAATACATTGAAAAGTCTCAAGGAGCAATGGGAGTTTAAAGTTAAGAAAAGCTGATTTCAAGAAGCGCAGAAAATTCGAGCGCCTAAGTAAGCGAGTAATAGCTCATGAGTAATATCTCATGTAATCCCGGAAGACTTTCGACACTACATTAAAAATTGTTTTCGACTTCAGAACAAAATCTAGAACAATCGAATTATGATATCATACTAAGACGTCACGCAAGGCAGCGCTAAAAGCAAACAGAAATGAATAGTGGTCATTCAACCTACAATCTATGCTATTGACCTCCAATGAGCGTAAAGGAAGTTACATGAGTGGGCCATTTGCATGGATTATCGTGACAAGTCTAGCACTCGAGTCAGAGTTTCAGATGATTTCACATTTTAAAACAATTGACTCGAACGCATGACAAAGAAAACATCTGATCCATTCGTATGGATTCCAAACTTCACCGCTGAGCCACAGGGGACTCTTGACGAGCTACAGTGCCACTATTGTGTATGGCAGCATTACCCGCGTTTGACACGCGAGTACAGAATTCCCACGCATTTCACGCACGTAAACTTCATAAATCCCCTATTAACTCCATATGTGACACGCCAAAATTAATACGCTGAGCACTGTATCAGTTTCTGGAAATGTGATGAAATACTGTTTGTGTTACACATCTAATGCTTGTTCACTAAGAATGCCTTCCAAATACCTATGAATTTACCATAATCAGTGCAGATATTTCGCAATATTACATGAACCAGGAAATAAAAGAAAGTTTTTTCTACCTTTTCCGCTTCTTCTGAATCATCCGCACTTAATTCTGGACCACTGCAATGGGAGCAACATAACATCACTTATAGGATTAACACAGTAGGTTGCAGAGAGGTAAACTACACATTTCTCGTTTTTTTAACATTAACATATACACAAAACGTGAAATTACGAAACTAAATTGGTTTTTAGTTTCGAGTTTGCCAACCTCAAGGGGGTCGAAACATTTATATGTTCCTTTTTTAATGCAAATTATTACAAATGCACATTTTTTAAATGTAAATTATTGAATTAAGTTTTCCAGGGAGTTCACGACTTGTAAACGAGCGAAGGAAAGATTGCCGAATCCAATAACGACAGCGATGTGAAAGCTGGGTTAACAGAAAAGAGGACTTCGATAACTCGAATATGTATGACTGTAAATGGTTTAAAGTAAGTTATCAACTGAAACCCACCGATATGTTCAGATATCATATTTCAACCAAGCGTTGCTTCCACAGATTAGTCGTAATAGAATATTCCAGCATGCGCATTATGAAACCAAAGCAAACATTTCACTGAATAATCTATAAACCACTCACTTTACGCCGAGAAATTCTTCCAGTGACAATCTGTTACTAGCTTTCTCTTGAGCTTCCCTACAAAAAAAAATTGTCATACAATATAAATAAACTAAACTTCTTTATCTTGTCTTACAAGAACCTTTTTTTCGTCGTTAAGAATTCTTAACACCACAGTATTACCGAAGATTCGCATTTGTGGAAAATCGTTTATATTTTTTTTTTTTTTACCATAATTCGCTGCTAAAATTCCTTAAGAATGTATCAGCCTTAAAAGCCACCCTTCCTGTTAGCTGTCTGAAAAAAATATTCTTGTTGTAATTTTCATTTAATGGCCAGTCAGAAAACAAGAAACTCATTGTATGACAGTGAGTGCCCTATTCAAGTATTCAGTCACACTCCAAAAATCCTTTAAGTCTCCAAAGTAAAATATCAATTGTTAGAAAAATTTTTGAGGATCTCTATATCTATTAACAATCCCATTTTGTCCAACTAATCAGGTGAAAAAAAACCAACCTGTTACATTCAAAAAACACTACAAATTCTGGTTTAACGGTTTAGAACTCATGTTATTTAAAGTAAGGTTTTTTTTCTCAAAAAAAAAAAAGGGAAAGAAAAAATTCATAGAAACCTACGCGTCTGTTTAGTTGTAGATATACTTTTAGGATTGTTAAAGTACACACGATAAACTATCATCTTGATAGTTTTTGCGATTTTCCACTGATCAAACAAAGAGCAAAAGTAGTAACCGAGTCTCACTTCAGGCCATATTCCAATGGGAATCCCTTTTAAGCTATTAAATACGTTTACACTCAACGCATCTAGTCTTCCGGAGTGTTTTGATGGAGACCAAATAGAAGCTGTATTTAATGTTCAAGTGAGCACACGACACATGATTGGCTGTTTCAGGATTCTCCTTAGATCTGCGACCGAGGGAGTGAACTAAAAATAATTCAGGAATAAGGCCATAAGGATCCAGTCTCTTAGCTCATGCCCTCTTTAGTTAGCATTTAATTCAACACAGTACTCGGTGTTGTCTCTCTCTTTAAACATTACCTTATCGTAGCTAGAGCATGCAAGGAATTCCACTTCTTTGGTGTTTTAGCGGTTAAACGCAGGTGTCGTCTTTTTTGACTGAACAAGAGAATGGTGGCAAGGCAATGCAAGACATGTTATATGATTTATCCTAAAGTTTTAACATTTCTCTTAAAATTTAGCAAAGTAAGTATAGAAGGAAATTATAGATAGAGCGTCTTTTTCAGTTTAAAATATTTCATGTTGTTCTTTAAGGTTAAAACCTTCAAGCTTTTTCTGAACCGTTTTAAAAAATTAACTGCTTAATGTAACATTCAAATCAACGATTGAATAGTGATAAGCTAAGTTGTTTAAAAGTTTCGTTCAAAGATGAACCTAATATCAATTTCAAACAATGAAAAGAGTTACAAAATTAATTTATAGGTGCATGAAAATGGAAACAACCAAAATATTGCGAGATTTTTAACGGTTAGAACTTTGGATGGCGAGATAAAAAAAAAAGTTATAATATACAGAAGGTTATTATTTTTAATGCTGTCGTTTAAGATCACAGGTCAAAGTTAAAGATTTAACATATTTCATATCAGTATCGGTTCGCTTACGTTTAACCTGACCTTCTTTTTATCAGTTAATACGAAGAGAGATAGCAGAACTCACTCATCATTCAAGAAGTCCATCAAAGACATCTGTGTCTCAACCTTGGAAAGACTTCTCTTCTGAATCTCGGGGCTAAATTGGGATCTACAGACAAAAATGTTTTGTTTAAGTGACAGAAAGAGGTTGTTGTGTCTCAGAGGCATATACGCCTAATAATGCATGAAGAGCCCCCCCTCCCACCCCTGGATGGGACGCGATACTCGCCAGTACCCATTTATGTTCCCGGGCAGAGAGGGGTACTATGAGCGTAAAGTGTCTCGCCTTCATTTTAAGACCTTACTAGAGGTTGGGACGGGACCTCTCAATCCAGACTCAAGTGTATAATACAGACTGGTGTACGTAATATAAATAAAAGAGTCAAAAACAGTCCAGGGGAGAAAACTAAAAGCAGAAAAATTTCAAATAAAGGTTCTTTGCTATAAACACACTTTTTAAAAAAAAATTGGTTTTAATAGAAAAGGTAAAATCACTTTTGACGAAGGAAAATCATTTCATATTTTACTTACCCAAGCTTTTTGTCCTCTATAGGATTTCCTAACAGTAAAAAATTAACTTACATTAAAAAAATATGTCAAAGACCTTGTTTAAATCACACTTGAACTATGAATTATCTTCTTTTACCCCGAAGAACAATCTATTATTTCGATATTCAGCTTTAACCTGTAAACCTCAGCCTGAGGCCCTGGGAACTAAACTAAAGGATTAGTAAGGATTAATCCCCAATGCCTTGTAGGGACGTCTACGGTCAGGGCTGTGATATAGAGGAGACTGGGGGCCACAAATCGCTAACTTTTATCTTTGAGCAACCCATAAAACTTTAAGTCATAATTCTCAAGCTTTATGAGACAGTGCCCTGGATATCCAAGACATTGGTCACTAGCCACCCAACGATTCTTTAAAGAGCACAGCTTTCATTGACCAGATAGACAACAAATTTTGTAATAATAAAAGCAGGGTATTCTTAGGAAAATAATGGGTATGAGTTTCTAAAAAAGCTGTGGTGCTGCATTGTTGGAGTAATACATTGTGTTCTATCAACTGAGTTGATAAATGTAAATTTGCCACCTTAAGAGTTTCTGAAGAAGGGAACGAAACGTCAGCTTCAGAAACTCTTTACGGCGGGGGCGTTGCCAGGATTTTTCAAAGGGGGGGGGGGTCCACACTGTGTCAAACAGACGGTACTACCGGACTGTCATGTCAACCTCCATGCCATGTTTGTATTGAAAAAAGGCTTACAAAGGGGGAAGGGGGTCACAGGCATCCCAGGACTCTCTCTAGCTACACCCTTGTACGGTGGTCAATTCACGCTATCAATTCAGTTGATAAAACCAAATTATTCTTAGGAAAGGTCACCTTCTCCCTTATCTCATGGTGCCACGCCTACAGTGTATGTGTGTACCTTCTTTACATTAAGATCTTGTCATTACTTACCATCTTCTCCAAGTTTAAGATCAGCCAAACAACTGTATGAATATGATTTTGTATGGAGATTACTTTTGTTTGGAGCAAGAAGACCGTTGTCCTTATGATTCACATTGACATCAACATCTGTTAGCGAAGTTATCGACACATTGCTCGAAGCTTTACCCAAGTTTTGTTTATCATCACTGGCCTTCTTTATAGAATCTAAAATATCTGCAAGTTTGTTCCCCTCTTCCTTGGGACTGTCAAGATTCAATGATACAGGTCTTTTGTTTTTGAGAGCATGTATCCTGCTCCGTGGTTTGTCATTTTCAACTTTTTCTTCGCAGTCAGCTTCTTTAGTTAAATCATCAAGGCTTGAGCTAACCCTCTTATTCAGTTCAGGCCTCTCTTCGTGTTTCCCCCAGCTATGCGCCCGTCGTACATCACTTTTACAATCCACAGAAAGAAGTTTATCGTCTGCACTATTAGAGGTATCCTCTTGTCTCTGAGTAGTTTCTCTTGTTCTATCTGGAGAAGTTCTAAGATTAATACCATGAGGGCTTGCTTTACGATCCTTTTGATCAACAGTACCATTCACAATTGATTTCTCCTCCTTAGATTTCATTCCTAAAACCATGAAAGGACACACGCATTTACAACATGTGGTTAAGTTATCTGAGATTACAATAAAAAGGAGAAATTAATGGTAAGAATGTGATAGAAGTAATGAAAACCGCATAGTGGTAATTACAAAAGAATTGAAATTTTCAGCACTCATCTGTTGGTATTTATCAAACTGTTCCTTTACCTGCAATAACTTGGGCTTGTTGTAGGTCCTGTGCACTTAATGATGGGCAGGACAAGCGACGTAAATTCTTTCCCTGCATACCACCTCTTCCAGCCTAGAATGTGACAAATGTGATATTTAATAGCATGATAAAAACCACTCTTAGGAGAACACCTAACGACTAACTTTGTTAAAACTAAACTAAAATGAATTCTTTTCTGTGGTTTTTGGTTTGAGGCACCTCTGATAGGGGGAAATGGAAAAAGAGTCCTGTGTTCTGAATGAATGTTCTAGTGGGTAAGATGGACTTACCAGGATAACCAACCAGCTTTGTGTCCGCAAAGGGAAATTATTTTGTGCCTTTTATCCTTTACTGACCAGGCTTACTTTGTCAAGTTTGCTGGATATTGTGTTTTTTATGGATCTCAATAAAGCCCAGATGGCCCGTGAAGATGCAATGTTCTCCTTTTCTGGAGAAAAATGGCCTGTACTACTTCTTTTTATGGGTAACAGGCTTGCTCTACCCATTTGAAAATTTCTTTTGTGTTTAAAATATGGGAGAAAACCAAAGATGTAAAAAAAGAACTTTTGACAATTTCTTCTCACTTTTAAACTTGTACATGTATCTCCTTTCAGTACTGTACCTCTCTAGAGCCTCTCTGTGAATTAACCATCCTGAGCTTCTGTATTTCTTCATTGATGTCTCTCAGTCTCTTGAGATTTTGTTCTGAAAGCAATGCACAAACAACATTAAAAAAAAATCATAACCTCAGTTTTGATAAATGTAACATAGAAATCTACAATCATTCAGTTTTTAAGTTTTCTTTTCTTACCTATTGTCCTTTTATGAACAGAAAAACAGCTGGAAACCAACTGCTCCTCACAACCCACCACACTACATTTCTCTTTGTACTATTCAACCCATTGACCCCTCATAGTGACTGACTACTAATTTCTCCTTACAATATGACCCCTGAATCACACATTTCAGTCACAAGAATATAGGAAATGATCACCACAAATTCTCCTTGTTAGCACATTGGAAAATCTATACAGAGCAGTAGGGAGAATATGAAAACTTATGTTAGGGCGTGTAGGTTAGTAACATACCTAACAGTTGCCTATTACCACCTCCACTGCTCCTTGCTGATGTCATACTGTTCAGCTGACCTGTGAACTTCTTTGGTGAAAGCTCCCTGTTGATTTGCTTTATTTCTTCATCACTGCTAGATGCATCTTCTAAAAAAATTATATATTTAAAAGGTCAGTTTTTAAATCAATGAAATATGAAAATCATAAGGAACCATTTTGTTTACAAGAGATCCTGGCAACATCAATTTGCTCGAAACCAAGATCAAGAAAGTAAAAGATGCTAGGATAATCAACAACACATCACAGCATGGAAAAAAGAAGTAAAGCAACAGCCAGACCTGTTGTGTCCTTATTTTTTCTTCGAACTGGCCATGAATGACGAAACTTTGGTACTCTTTTCTTCATCTAAAAGAGAAAAGTAGCAATAAACATAATATAAATTTCAATGGTTTATTTCCCTAAGATAATATTGTATTGACATGACTATTCAAAATTAATTTTTAACAGGATCTAAATTAATGAAGAGAGAGACATGAATTTAGTCATTGAACTATGCTAGGTAGAGCAGTTGATCTATACAGTGATTTCATCATTTTAATGTTCATACTTACTTCCTCTTCAACCAATGAATTTATGTTTTGGAGCATTTCAATATCTTTTTCTGTTAAGATAAATAATTTCAATAAATAAGTTTGAGATCAAAGCATAAAGAACCAAGGTCCCACTCACAAAGTTTGAGAAACACCATCCAGTTGTACAATGTGTACCTTTCCAACTGATGATTCTTTTAAGAAAATTAAACTGTTGAGTACCAATCTTCAGAAAGGTTTACATGTATTTGTACAAAAATTGCAGTTAGACATAATTAACATAATTAACATTATGCACTGTGACATCAGTATCTAAATTCTCCATACTCTTCTTTACACATTGCCTTTGGTACAGACCATGAGAATTCACTTAATAAACAAAGCCTCCAAGGTTGGTGATCATTTCCTTTATTCTCATGATCTTAATAAATGATTCAGCAGTTATATTGTAAGGAGAAATTACATGTAGATGCTGGTCACTCTCAGGGTTGAAAGTGTTAATACTCACCAAGGGAGTTCTGATGTTGAGTTTTATAACTGGATATTGTGGTGGTACCCAGCTCACTTTTTTTGACTTGTGGTTTAGACATGTCTTTTACAGTCCTCTTTTCACAATCACCTGGACCTCTGTGTGAGGGTAAAAAAAATTACTAAGAATTTCAAGTTTATCAGCCAGTCATGAAATTGGAAAAGTTATAGACTGCAGTGTTCCATCAGTAAACAATTTTTGGACCATTTTTACAACTCTTTGGCAAAACTTTTGGAATTCCAGACACAGAATGCCATTTCATTAATCATACAAACAAGCAATCATGTGGAAGAAATGGTAAAAAATTATATTTAGACATAACAACTTGCACAAAGGCACTAGATAAAGTTCTTACTGATAATGACTGGGGCATAGAAGGTTCTCACTACATTTTCGAGGCTACAAGTTTGCTGCTACAACAATTTTAATTTTACTCCCATTCAGGCTTGGTTACATAAGTCTAAGAAAAATGTCTATTGTGTCAAGAGGTCTTTCTGAGACACTGAGACACTGAGTTTCATGTTAACCTTGAAAACATGTCAGCAAGTAACTTCATTCCCTTCTCCCGAGCTATTTCTTCTGGTAATTTGCCTGACTTGTCCTGGATATGAAGAGCCTCCATTGATCCTGGCTGGTCAAGCAGATATGTTGCCAGTTGAGAAAATCCTAGACGTGCTGAAAGATGGAGTAATGTTTCCTGACCTGGGGATGAAGAAATAGATGGAAAATCATGTAAGTTATTGGTGCAACAACCAAAGAAAGAATACACATTTCCTTGAAGTCATTCAAGAAAATCACCTCTCCAGGAACAGATATAATTGTCTTCTAGAAGTCATCTTCATTTCTTATTTATTTAGTATAAAACAATTTGAACCTTTCATTCTGCAAATTTATAATTTTAAACATTATTCAGACAGCATACATGTAACCAACTTGGAATAGAAAGAAGCCCAACCTGAAGAAGTCTGCATGTTTCAAACAGAGTTAAATTTCTTGAGTGGTGGCATTTCTAATGATAATATTTTAACGTTATTGCTTTGCTTGCTAAAAATGTCAGAATCTTATTTAATCTTTTTTCAATTAGTCACACTGAAAACTTGACCCTGCTACATGAAAAGGCCTCAGTTTAATATTGAAACGGACTTCAAAAACTGTTTGCATGTATCTCTCAAACACCACTAGTACATTATACCTCGCTTCTAAACTTACTGTGAACTCAACACACCTCACATGCACGTCATGCAAAAATCACAAAAAACATAATTGATATGGTTTCTAGATAGAATAACCATTCAATTCTTATGAGTGACTAAGGCAGACTTTCTCCTTACAATATCAATACAACATCAAGCAGACAAGGGGTGAGAATAAAGAAAAATATCAATTATGGTATTCATAGTTGATCCAATACCAAATTCTCCAAAATAACATCAAATGAACCGTATGACAGACAGTGAAGAGAAATACTAATGAGATCTTGGGAGTGAAAGGGGTAATGACTTTGCCCTACAACTGGAAATATACTGACAGAAAATGGAAGGGAAAAGGTTAGCAATGGTGGAGCACTTAAAACAACTGTCCACAAAAAGTCACATACTCCGTTCCCTGGTTCCAACAATGCATGATAAAAACAATTTTCACATATATTTTGTTTACTCAGCCAATGGAATTACACACATTTAAAACACCACACTAAGTGACTTACCATTTTCATTCTGAAAGTTCTCTACTCCATTCTCTCCAAATAATGACCAAGTGGGTGACAAATCCAAGAATTCAAATGCATTTGTTATTCTGGAATCTAAGGTGTCTCTGTACTCCTTGGACACTGCATTTGATATCAAGGACAGCGATGATAAGCATTCAAACAGCTTGCTGTCTGATGCACTGTCTGCTAAAAGTTTTGCAATAATCTGCTCTGTTTCAAGCAGGTATAAAAACTTGTGCGATGAAAGAGGTCCGACTTTGCTTTCCTGGGCACAATAAACAGTAAGTGTAACTTTCTCTGCTTGGTCATGATCTAAGAGATATGAAGCAAAAGGCATAATAAAAGTACATTAATATGTAGAGTAAAAGAAAATGACTTTTGTAAGGTAAAGGAAATTTAAAAAGAATTCTCTACATCAATCTCTCTCTTCAATATTTGTGGTTTGTTGTATACACAATGAATAAAAACTGGGAGAGGCAACAGGTTCAACACAACTGACTTTTTTCAAATTATAGGAACATGCATGACTACAGCCATTACAATAATACTAGTGCATCACTCCAATTCATTACTTTCTACACACTCATTATGTGTCATGTTTAGTCCCTCAATATCATCTATTGATATGTAACTTGTAGTGATTGTGGGGAAGATTATTAAACAAAACTTGTGATTTTACTGGCTACCCTACTGGGCAAAATGGGTCTATCTTGCCTCCTTGGGATTGCCTGCTTTGATCCCACACAAGGGAAAAATTGCACGGGGTTAACTTACAAAATTTGTCATTTTTGGACAATGTCAGTAATGGAGTCACTAAAAGCAGCAAAAGACATACAAAACAAATAAAACATAAACAAAGATGTACCATTACAGTCGCCTTCTCTCTAACAGTTCCATACATTATTCAGCAAAAAGGTAATGAGAATATTCAAACTTATCAGGTCGAAGCTGCTATCTTGATCTAGCACCAAGTTCTCATAACTGATTTACAAGGAAATGAGTAACAAGTGGAGAGGAGAATTAACAATCAGATCTTGGGAGTTAGAGGGTTAAATTTGCAAAGAACTTAACCAATATAACCATCAATAACCATCTTGATCTCAGCTTGGTCAATAAAGGATATGCACTAGGTAACAATAATGTGTCGAGAGAAGTAGTTCATGATGTACCTGGTACAATGGCACGAAGAGTGAATGTATTTATTTGCTGCGCTGTTGTTACATGCCGCTGTTTTTTTCCTTCAAATACCATATAAAAGTCTCCATTATCTGGCAGAGGAAATTCATCTGAAAATGTTATAAAAATCACCTCTCCACCCTGAAACAAGAAAAAAAACATTTAAGAAAAATGTAAAAAAATTAACAAATAGTACACAATGATAGGCTAATGCAGGAAATTGTTTTAAGAGACAAATTTGGCCAGAGCAGCACTCCAAGTTGCAACTGTTTTTGGTTACCATGGTAACTAGGAAAAAAAAAGGGCAACCAAATTTGTAACAGTACTTGCCAATTTGGCAACCTGTGGTAGGAAGTCATGAAGCAAGCCACAATGTTATTACAACTTAGCTTGTGTGCTTTGCAGTCAAAGCGAGATAAACATTTTCTAGTAAAAATACTACTCATGCTCTATCATGCCAATAAAAATTTAACCCTCTCTCTCCATAACTGCACAAGTATCTCACAGTGAGATGCCACACAAATCTCCAAAAATGAATGCCAGCCATACTTCTTGCCCTATAGGCAAGGAATGGGGTAAGCAGTTTAGTCTGTCAAGTGATATTTCACAAAGTTTCCTTTACTTCCACAGGCCATTACACAATTTCAGGTAGCCACATAGCAAGTCTGCAAACAGTTCAGCTTAGAACCCCATGAACTCAACAGAAGACTTAAAAAGGAATAGGTCTCTTAGGAGGAGAATGAAATTGTGACAATCTACACCTGTATACATACTGCTGTATAACTATCCTCTAAGCGCCTTATACTTTTTGTAGATTGTCAGCTTCTCTGTTACTGTAAGAGGTCTACTTCCTGACATGCTGAAAACTCTTGGGATTTTGTTGAAAAGGCAGACAATCTTTCCAATTTTATATTCTCAGAACTCTAACAAGCATTTCCATTCACTGCTTATAAAAAAAACCGCTAAGTAACTATAAAAAAGAATATATGACAAAAGGTGCAGTGTATTAAAATTTCTCATCAAGTTCATTGAGGTTAAAAGTTTCTTCAGTAACAAATACAAAGTTCTGTAAGCTGCTTGAGAAATTTTCAGAATGGATTATGATTATCCTTCCTTATTGAAATAGGGATTCTGGGCAGTAAAAATAAAATAAAAAGTCAACATAGGCATGCTTAAATTCCAGAGGAAATGAAATTCAGATTTGAGAAAAAACTTTACCTTGAGTGCTCATAAATCAACTGTTCAATACTGATTGTCTTCGAAAATCAAGGCAATTTAGATACAAAAAAAATGTTACAAAGAAAAGTTAAAAACTAATCAGTTTATGAAAGCAAATTTTAACAATTCAAACTATAATAACTGAAATACAGAAAAACAGGATGCGCCGATTTATTTAACTGTTAATCAAATATAAATAAAAAGTGTTTTGAGTTAGAAACAAGATGGCATGTATAACTATTGATAAGGAAAACTAAACAAAGGTAAATAATGACAGGACATAAATGAGACGAGATGGGCACGAACAAATTTGGAACTTAATTTTTCTTTCAAGTTGGCTGATATAAGAACCTAACAAACTGAAGGAGGGTCTGATGACTGCAACGATAAGAACCAAAACAACGACTGTTCAGCGATATACGCGCGCCAATGTTATTTACAAACCTCAACCAAACAAACTCCAAGTCGTTATTCAGACCAGGGATGTATAAAATATGCAAGAGATGACCGGATTTTCCGTTCAAAATGGTCTTAATTTTTATCTGAACAGACTTGCTACATGAATAATTGCCAAGATATCCTCAGAAAGATTCGATCGCGTGACGTGCATTCGGCCAGTATCCTCCGTGCTTTAGAAATCAGCAAAGTCAACTAAACGTCTAGCGATCGAATCTTCCAAGTTGTGTAAACAAATCCTTCGAACTTGGTGTGAGATTTGAAATTAACTTAGCCTACATTCTCTCGCGTCACAATCTACCCGGCGATTTATCAATTACCGGACTAATTTGACAACAGCAGAGACATAAACAAAATCTGAACAATTCATGTCATTAAATCGATGACCTAAATCAAGCGTTGTAAGCATGGATCAAGTAAATTCCATTGGCTCCAAATAAAAAATATTAGAAAGGAGCAGGCATGCTTACAAATCTCAGCGAAATCTGGATGTAACAGAATTTGTTTCCAAGCTTTGGAGTGACAAAACAGATCACATAAGAGGTTATACTTACACGGGTAGGCGAGCTCTGTGGTGTGAAGGCCATGCAACATGCCTCTGTTAAAAGGAAAGAATACTGTCAGTGGAATAGTTCATCGGGCTTCCAGAATGTAACCTTAAATTATCGCGATGGGACCTGGACCTTTGTGTACACTGAAGCCTTTCAAATGCAAATTTCGACCTTAGCTTAGGGAAAACATGACCAGAGCGTAGCGATTTCATTTTAAGAAATAATTATTTCATAACAAAACAAAGCAAGTCAGTAAATGTTATCGAGATGTATAAGGGAAAATAAATGTTATTTTAATCATCTTTAAACTGGCAAAACTAAGGCCTTCAAACTCCGAGTTACTCAGGACTTGTCTTCATTGACTTGTTTATTTGCAGTATGACTCGTCGATATATTTCACCCTAAAGATATTTTGAGATTTTAATTACAAATTAAGAATTCGTCCACTCATTTACAGACTTAAGACATGAAATGTCTTCCAAGTCCACGTAAAACATTCAAGAGGACGTAGTAAAGAATAGTTTGTGAGTTCTTGACAAAAAGTCGTTCGAATTAAATCGATCGCTTCCCGTGAAGTATTCAATTAGCAAAATTGTTGAACGATTTCCTTCACCATTTGATGGCAAATACATCATCCCGACGAAGCCTCAAATCACTTCTTCTATTTATCATAGCTACAGCTTATAAAAAAAGAGTTAATCATTAAATAATAAACATTGCGATTAAATATGAGCTAACGTTCACAGAAAAATGGAAACCTTCGTGTGAAATGAATAACTATTGTCTTACAATTTTATAGGAAACCAAGGTTGACCGAGCTGACCTTGCCATCAAATACATTTTGCGATCGGCCAAAAATTCTCGACTAGTTACCTGCTTGAACAGTTTGTTCTTACATCAATTCAAAAAGCAACATAGTTTTCCCGTAAATATGTGTTAAAAATTATCGAATTTTCCTCGTTAAGAGGGTTCAATTCAACAACACTGCATGTATTTTTAGCCGGATGACCCGCGATTGCGTCTCACAAAAGGAGAACAATTGCGCCTATAGTTATTTCGTTTTCCAATTTAGCGACATTGCCGATACATTACGTATTTGTGCGTTGCAAGTAATGTATATTGAAGGTAGATGGAGGTCTTTTCACTTGAGAGACTCGTCGATGAGTTCATTAATACCTAACAATCCGAGTTTTCTAAGCTACATCAAATTTAAGATGCTAACTTTAACGAATCCGTTAAAAGTTTGAAAAATTCTTAGATTCGAAACTACAGATTAGTCAGCATAATCACGTCTTACCTGTGATCTTGTCGGCGTCTTTAGACTTTGTAGAGTTCATTTTGGTTCGTTAATGACTATGTTTCAACGAGGAATTGTTCATCAACCGGTCAAATTAAAATTCGATGGTGGGGAGACGTATTTATCCACTAGCAAACCACGTTCCTCTTAACACAGTAACAACCATGATATAAATTAGATGGTCACAAAAGCACACACAAACGTAACGCCTCCTTGTCGGAAATCACAGCCAGCAATAGCCATGGTTGCCTAGTACCACTTTAGTACTTCAGTTTGTACTCGCCGCCATTTTCGTTTCGGCTGCATCCGCTAAATTTCACATTTACAAACTGCTCTATTGCATTCCACAAGAAGTTCAAACTTGAGGTAGTAGATGTTTCTCTCTCTTTTATGGTAAAATGATTTCACGTGGATGAAAGTTACTAGTCTTACAGATAAAACAAACCGATCCTTCTAAACAATCGTCCCAACATCCAAAGCCTCCAATAGAGGTTGGTGACGTCACATGACCATCTACCCATGCCCCCCACCACAGGAAAAGGGACTGTTTTGGCGCGTAGAAATATTTTAATTCCAGCTGACGGAAACGTTGTTATAGTCCACTAAAAATTGTACTTATTTCCCCTTCACTATCCACATTATCACAAAAGAGTCGAATCTAAACATCTTTTGAAAACGGATTTCCCTTGCAGCTAACCACAATTTCAGAGATCATGGTTCCTTTACGCGATATCACAAAAAAGATTAAACATTAATTTATTCCACTCGTCACCAAAAAGCTAGGTCAGAGAGGAATGATTTACAAAACCTTCATGTTTCCGTTTTAGTCATGCTTACTAACTCTATTATTTATGACTATTACTTAACCATAAACATGTCTTACTTTGTATTTTTTTATTTCTTTATTTGCGAGTCTACAATTTCAATGGGAAGTTTGAAATACGTGCAATGCTCTTATATTAGCTATGAAACAAATAACTTAATGATAATTAGCGAGTCAATTATAAACCACAAGATTCAAAAGCCATGAGACGGTATTTTGAATTATTATTATCGTCATGATTTATTCATGTTTTTGTTTTTTTTTTTTTTACAAGGAAACGGCTTTAAGGAAAAAGAGAACCATCATTTGTGATGGTTGACAAATACACTAGAGACAAAATTGACAAAAGGAGTCAAGTCTTTAGGAATGGCAAAGATTATTGAAGATTGCTATGAGCGATCTTGAAAAATCGTTGGTCGAATTTTCCTTAGCGCATGGTGTGACGTGGCTACTAAACTAATTAACAGCCATGGTATCTAAGCTGCTTAACTCCGAGTAAGCTTACCTAAGCCGTCTAGTTTTGCGTAAAACTTTAAATAATGATTTTGACTCTAACGATTCCTTTTATGAGTCTGGGTGAGTGCTATATCAGAGTTGATATTGATTTTATATTGGCGATGTTTGTTTGGTGCAAACGCAAAGAGTATGAAGCGTTAATAATTTAATAGGTATTTCCGCCTTAAAAAAGGCTCTGTGTTTCCCGTCTAGACTAGACATTACTCCGTTTAATTTAAGATATTTTGCTTAAGGAATTGTTTAGTTGAAGTATTTTTCCACGTCTGCACAAAGATTGGGAAAGACTGTTCGATAGAGAAGCTTGAATTCTACAGTGGGGGAAATATCAACGAAGGAATTTACAATGGATTTTTTGTGAAATCAGTAATTGATACCGGCATCAGTGACGTATAAACCAATATGAAATGTGGATGATTGACCGATTTAAGAGCCTTAATATTAGCTTTGCTTGTGTAAACACTCATTTGTTTGTGTTGGAATCCACAGATAACAAATTACTAACTCTTAGACACTTCCTTTCGTTCATTCATGCAATTCCACCTTTCGCCGAAAGATAGCTTCAGAGTTAAAACTGAAAGATTTTCATGATATCAATTCATTTTGAAAGTAAGAATTGATAGAGTCTATTTCAATAGTTCTTTTCTGAGTTGCGTGACCATAAAATATCAAAAGACCTTTTTAGTTTCGAAAGTTTACGTTAGATAAAAGAGCAAAGACTTTCAATCCTTCGCTGCCAAGATTTTATTTGCTTGAGTATTCTCGTTGCTGAATTTTATAAATTGCTAGTCCGGCACTTGAACAAATTTAGCTTTGTGACAATGTTTCCAATTTTAACCAACTGTGTTTGATATCCTCTGATATTGTAAAGAAAACTAAAATTTCCAAAAGTCTTAAAAGTGCAATGACAATGATAATCATTTTAATAATACATTACTTATTTGAAAATAAATAATGATGATAATAACAAAAATGATTATAGCAGAACAATGGATTATAAAAAATTTGTATTCTTTTAACAGAAACAGAAAAAGCAAAAAAATTATCAGTAAATAATCAAATAAGGGCTTAGCTTCAGGCTCGGCCGCCAGTCAAGAAGCTTGAATTCCTAAAACTGAGGTCAAAGTTGCGGTTTCCAAAGTGCATGCATCTATTGGGGTCATGGGTTCCTGATGTACAAAACTGATTAGAAATCTTTCTCAAACTGTTTCCGTCTTCCTTATTATGCGAATGCTTCCTCTCCAGAGAGAAAAACATTAAGCATAAGAGATAAGAACCAACTGTCCATCGGACACTATTCTCTCTTGAACAGGGTCTTCTGTGTGTAAATCTGATCGCGAATATGTGGATAAAAACTGTACTAAAGTAGAACACAATTTATAACCAATTGGTGCAGGGAGCGTAGTCGTTACAAAGTACATAACTTCAATCTTGTTGACGCGAGGCTCATTAAGAAGTTCAAAAAAATATCTGATTAACTCCTCATCAAAGCCTCAGGAAGTCCGTTTTTCGATAATCGTAATTAAAGAAGAGACAACATTCTCACTTTAATCTTGTAGGCTGCTTTACACAAATGCAGGAGGACGCGCTAAAGTGAAATGCGAGCGTGCGACAAAACGCACCTCTGAAAAAGGGGAGAGCGAAAAGGGTCATTCCTCACCCCCTCATGCGGTGTTCGCTGGTTTTGATAAACTAAAATACGGTATTGAAACCTTGTGGATCCCAAGCCGCTAATCCTTTACACCCTGACATGATCAGTATGCATACTCTCCATTCTGTTTTCTATACATTTCCTAAGGTGTTGACAAGGAGAATTTGTTTAACAATCAAGAGCTCTTTAGGTTAGTGATCATTTCCTATATTCTCTTGACCGTAATGTTTTATTCAGAGGTGATATTGTAAGGAGAAATTAGATGCTAGTCACTCTAAGGGGTCAAAGGATTAATAGGATCATGGAATAAATGCCCTGACACAGTTTGCGATATTGCAGGGATTTGATTTAGTAGAGGTTACACATATTAAGTTTATGATTATTTATAAGGTGCTAAAGTTTTTGCTCATGAAAGTAGTGTGGTCGAGACCTCTCGAAGGAGAGCATCATCATTTTAAGCGTTGTTAGCTTAAATTCCATAGTTTTCACTGTACGTTTAGTGCCAGTCCATCAGACCGCCTATTCGACCTCACTACTGGTGTAAACTGGGAAACATGGCGCTCCCTTGCAAGCCTGAAACAAAAATTTAGTTTGATTAATTATCAGTTGATCAGTAAAGAGTCAATTCTGAGGTCAGTTCAGCTCTAGAACCTCTAAGGAGCGCTTAGAGTTTTTCCTGTAGCAGTGATGCGTTCTGGATCATGGAAGGGGGGGGATTTTTGTGTTAACTCGTACAATCAATCCTTGATGAATTGAAATCTCAATGAATTAACGCTACACAAAGACTAAAAGGCTAGAAATTTCGGGTTCCTTCTAAACCGATTCAACATTGAATGAAATAAATTCCCGTTTTAAATAATGGTTTGAAAAAGTGATATTAAGAACACGGTACTGGAAGAATAGAGACAACGTTAATATGAGAAAAACCAAGATCTTTTGAATATATCTCTCAGTTCGTTTTTGTTTTAATGATTTTAATTTAAAATATACTTTTGTATTAGCTTTAGAAGGACGAGAAGATTTGTCAGGTTTGGAAAGAAAATTACCACGGAAATTCTCCAAGCCCTTTCCACTTATCAAAACAAAAAAAGGAGAGAGACGAGACATGGAAAAGAGAAGTACCAGAAAATAGTTAAAATGTTCAAATACTCTTGATATTGGGATTTTTTCACTCTTTTCTTTGGGAGTGAATTAGCTTATTAGTTTATACTCAATAATTTGTTGATTGCGTCCCGTAATCGGCACCCATGCCTGCTCGTGCGCGTTTGAAGTTTGTTAAAAGTCGTTAGAGTCGTCACCGATGCCATCCTGTAATAAGCTACTTCAGACTACGAATCTTGTTCAACAGTTGAGCGTCAAACGCTAATTGAAGGTAGGAGCCGAAAGGCATTGAAAATCTATTTTTCTCAAGATTTCTGTGCCAAACGAGTATCTGTTTTGGAGCCTGGAATTTTCAGAATCCTAAGTCGGAAAACGATAAGATTTCTACATCACCCTTAGCTTGTTCTGTTGATCATGGATGGATGGATTGATCAGAATGTGAACATTAGAAAGCGGAAAAAATGGCCATCAAGCATAATTGTTGATTACGAAAGATAACTGAGTTATTTCTGTAATCCTAAATCAAATTTTATCTCTTCTCGCACCCAACTAAATTTCACATCGCGCGATTGCGGAAGACGGCTGAAGACACGATTACAAATGGCAAAAATAAACTGATTGCACCGCGCGTAGAAACAACTTAACTGTGATAGAAATGCGTCAAGAACATTCTCAAGAAACTTTTGTCATCACGATGAAGATGTGATAATTTGGCAAAATAGAAAGAATTGAGGATAATTTACTGTGAAAATATTTATACAAGAGTGAAACCCATGATCGCCAACTCATTCTGGCATTTTGTCAGGCACAAAGAACTCGACTTTGTATGCATGCATAGTAACCACGGCGGAAAATGTGGTATTTGTATTAGCTAATGAATTTTAGATGAAAATTCTAATAGAATTTCCGCAAAGTTTTCTGTCTCAGAAATGCAGGCTTTTATTTCATCATGTCACAGATAAAGGATAAAGTAAGTATTTCATGATCACACAACAGGGAAACGTGTTTCACTAATCGTCTTTATTTTTATAAGAATTTCCTGTTTTTCGTCATTAAAAGCAAATCAAAATAGCATCAAGGATTTTGGTTCGTCATACGAATGTCTAATTTCCATTTCGTACGTGTTTTAAAAACTTTCTTATCTTCGTACGTGCAGTGCACATTAACTTGTCTAAAGAAATTGTCGCTAAATATAGTTGAACCAATCCGTGCAAATTTCTACCTTGTTTCAAGTGCAGTGGTGAAAAAATCAATTGTCTCCCGTAACCAGCGCTATTTCACTCTGTAACAGATACTTGAATCCTGGTTGACCTGAAGGAATATCACAGAATTATGCAAAAACGTCGAAAATACGGATAGTATCGAGAACTGGAGTTTCTTTAACAAGAACTGTTGGCCGCTGGTAGATTAACTTAGCTTAGCTAAATTACCATGCTACCGACATAGCGCGAATAAGTTAGTGGGGAGCTGTTCGAGGAGGTATGATAAAATTGTAAATTTGCTATTTATTACAACAGATTCTGAGAGGTCAATATGAAAAGATCTTTCGTTACCGTGCAATTCTACCAATCACGATGCTTGCCTGCTGGGAGAATAGAGAGCGAGGGAAATTCAATAATTCAGATTAGCAGACGAACGGACGCAAGCTGCATCACAAAGAGTAGAGAGTTAGAGGCCTTCGCTACGGGACAATTGCATGTGAGGTAAATCTAATTATTACTGGCCCCAGAATATTAAGGTTATCTTGTCATGTGAATTTTCGAGGGCAGAGTTTTTCAAGGGTAAAGCTGAAGAATGAAACGGGAAATTTTTGCCTGAAGCAAATTCTAGGGGATCTGACAGTTAAACATTTTTGGCGCGCTAACTTTATCCGCGATATCGAATCGTTTATAGTCAAAAAAAACCTTTGGTCGAATGGTTTTTATCTAAAGTCTGATTACAACGTCTTTTCTAAATTTGAAAACTGCATGGAAAATGAATTATATTTATCTCTGGTCCTGTAATCAAAGCAAACAACCGTGAATGCATTGTTATTCTTTAGATTTCACGGTCAATGAGTTTCGTTATTACCCTCACTTGAATGTGGGTTTTGGACTGTTAGCTATCTGGGCGGCTAGCAACTCCTGAAGAGCCAAACTTACTCCAGTCTTGGCTGTTTCACCTCCAAGTTATATTCCTAGGAAGCGATTTTTCCAGCGTCTTCCTCCGAAGAATCATGACAAACAAAGGCATCGCATAAATTCAAAACACTCGGAAGATAATGATGTTGCTATTTATGTCTTTATTCGGCCACCTTTGGGGCTTATCACAAAAGCAAATTATAATACTTATTGCACGTTTGGAACAGAAGATATGACACCAAAGTCACTATGGCTCTTACCACAAACCGCAGCAAACGCGGCAATTATTTTCATTTGTTCAATGGAAAAAAGTTAATTTAAAGCAATTAATAAATCTCTCTAATCTTTCATATTGTCAATAGAACGTTTGTAATAACGATGTTAACAAACTTTCGTGACAATTATTTGGCCTGAAAAACCAACACAATTTTAAAATATCTGGCTCGCGAGGCAAAGGAGAGTTAATTAATAGCAATACGACTTTTCATGAATTTCAAGCCTTTTTCCATTTTATCAAACGATTTTGGCTGCCCGTAGAATACTTCAGCCTTTCAGACGCGCGAGTGCCTCTCTATGAAATGCGACAAATGTCTGAAAAATTAAAAATGTCTTTGGAGAAAACGAAACGCGACTTATCACTTAAGTCGAGACTAAACTGTTTTTTTAGTCAGATTACACGTTTCTTTTCGTCCAACGAAGATAAATAATCAATATTTTCATTTGGATTAAGCTCATGTCTACTTGGAGGACAACTCGTGCATGTAAAGGAGTGAATTCACTTGTAGTACGAGAAAACGTTCTGATTAGTTTATCCTCAATTAAGAAATCGAGCAATTACATTGTTCTTGCAAGTCTGGAAAGTCTACCACGCCTTGTTCATGCCCCCATTGTCTGGAAATGTCTACCGCACGCTATTGATGTCATAATCCTCCTAACCAGAAATTTTGAGTTTCGCAAGTTCTTAGGTTGGCAAGTTTGGTTTAAAATTCTTTTTGTTTGTTTGTTTGGTTTTTTTTTTTACCTTTTATCGATAAATAATACGAAATCCCTGATTGTTGTTTTTCATTTTAAGGATGTTTCGCAAAATATTCCAGTGTCTATTACTAGTTTTGCTGGCCCACTTGGAAGCGGGTGAAATCCGAGGACTGTCGCCGTATTTCTTCAAACGTGCACCGAAAAATCTCAAGGAAAAAGTATTTCACTGGTCTTCAGTTTATCAAGATGATGCATGGGTAAGAACTTTAGACGGAATCCGGTCAATTCGCCACCACTGAGTTATCAATAGACTGTTGTTGGGTTAGGGAAGGGGTACTGATATTGATCCGAGTGATTTTCGCCGATGTTTATGAAATCGTATGAAAAGTACATCAAAGGCTAAGAAGTAGTGGTACATTGCGAAAGTTTAAAACAAATTGTTCGATAACTTTTTTTCTGAGGAATCACCTTAAGCACAAGTAATGTCGACGTGACCTTTAACACGATCGAGTTTCGTTTTTATGAACACAATTCGTAATCAAATCTAATGAAACTTGTATCATATGAAAGCCTAGATCTTGAAGTTTATTCATTTTTTTGGTTTGATGATGCGAAGTTAAGAGTGCGCGCAAACACAGCGAAATTTTGTAGAAAGCGGCTTGGAGTCCTTTAGGAGTTGCTGCACACGGATCAAACTTTGAATTTATTAGAACAATAAATCCTATATCAGCGATGTACCCTCCGACGGCCGCATTCGTTTGATTATTCGATCGATATCTTTGCAGAACGAAGTATTATCGTCTTTCTCTAGATTTCTAAAAACTTTTTCAGACTTTTTGATCAAGGAGCACACCCCTATAAGTATTTCCCGAAACGCCGAACGAAATTTTGGCTGTTAAATTTCTCTAATTCTGTGGGGGCGATCGATGAGTTAACAAGTGCTTAAATTGACCGAAAGGCGCTTCGAATTCACTTCAAAATTCTTTCTTTCGAGGTTTATTAACTTTACTGTCTTATATAAACTGTGTCTTGCAAAGCCCACAAATCGAGAAGTAATCATCACTGATTCCAGACACCAAGAAACAGATGGTGTTAGGTGTTTGGAACCTATGGTGAAGCACGAAGCCCAAGTCTTTGACATGTCTTCTAAGAAATTATGCAATGACATGTTTTCTCAAGTCAAACAATGATGAATTGTGCAGTGTTACATTTTTGCCCTTCACTGAAGGAAAGTGTTTACATCTTACATGTTTACATCTTGGTTTTCACTTTATGTAAGTATTATCCGGTTTCATCTGGTTTCCTCGCACGCAGACTGATCAATCTCCGTGATATCAAAATACTTTATTTAATTAAACGGTTAAGTTCCATAATTGAGACGCTACGCATATAGTTTTAGTTTCTTTCGCTGTATTTGTTCGCGCTTCTAATTTCGCAATATCCTACTGCAATTTGGCTTTCATTTGATGTAGTGTTATGAAGTTTCATAAGAAAGGCTAAACATAATGCTTTAGTGAAATCGCCACCGGTGGCGATTTGACTCTCAGTGGTGGTGAATTGACCATAACCTATTCAAACAGATACCATTAACTTTCTACGTCCTTAAGTTTTAGGGTAGACAAAAAACGGAAGGTGAGAATTGGAGGTGAAAGCGGTTCATTTGACCTTCGAGATTCGTGATTTGTGATTCGTGCTTTCTTTTTGCCCAATTACTCATGATTTTCTAACAATTTTTTTTTCACATCTTGTAATTTATGTGATTCCATAGTTATTAACACGAAAATTTACAACTCTTTCTTAATCAACCGCTATGACTCATGACTTATGATTCCACTTCCAGCCCCGAGTAAGGACACAAAAAGGTAGAACAAAGATGACTAGAGATTGAAAAGATTAACATATTTTCCAGCCTAAAAAAATTAGGAACAGTTCGATTACTCAAGACACACAAATGTTTAACAAATATTTTGGATAAAACTAAAGTAAATTACAAAATGTTGAGAGAAATGCGCGCGCCGTGATATTACCACGCACTTTATCCATAGTAGGGGTTTTAGTTTTGTTGAAGAGACGTGCGGGAAAAAAAATGCGTGCTCTGCTTTTAGGCTTGCCTAAATCTATTATATTATTATTATTTCCATAAAGCGCGCGCATTACGTCACACGAGTGCACTGTTGAGAGATAATGCACGCAGCCTACGTCATCGATACAAGCGCGCGCAATTCACGATACATTTTATTAAAGAAATAAGAATAAAACTTGTTCCTCGAGCATTGTTGAGTTATATAAGCACTTGGGAATTTTTAAGTACACTCGAGAAGCACAAACCGAAGGCGAGTGCTTCTTCGCACTTCTCGAGTGTTCTTAAAAATTCCCTGGTGCTTATATAACTCAACAATGCACTCGGCGCGTTTTTCATGTCTTTCTTACTATCTCTCTGTCGGGCACTACGGCGCATTTTGCGGAATAAAATGCTCGCTCGCGTGCGTGATCGTTTAGCCTTGTTTTTTCTTTTTTTTTGTAGTTTTTTTCAGATCTTATTTTCTCCATGACATCTAAAGTGATGATAATAGTGATAAATTTTTTTTTTTTTATGGGCATAAATATGGTTTGGATCTTTCTTTGAGCTTAATTTTACCCCTGCCCAAAATGTATTTATACCCGCGAAGATTAACACTATTGAACAGTTTACAAAGGGAAAACATTAAATCTGATGAACATCAAGATGATATTCGTTCTGACAATGTTACTAACATTACCTTTTCTTTTCATTTAACTCCCACAGTGTTCTGAGGTTTGTGATACGAAAATCTGTCGCATAATGGAGGAGAAAGGAAGATTTGACCGACGTTATCGTGACTGTGATTGTGGACTGCATTGTCACTGTCTGTACGCTGATTTCGACGCGTATCGTAAGATACACGTCTATAAATGTATGCCAGCATTCTGAATCATGAAAATTTTGCAGTGTAAATGTTATTTGTCATTCTGTTCGGCGTTTTACACGTTCTGTTGCTGTCTCTGTGTGTAAAAACACAATTACTAGAGCGCGTTTCCCACGAGAAATGTTAGCTAAGTTTCAACTGCACAAGAAAGAGCTTTCGAGTGGTATCATTGTCAGTCATTCTATAGACATCAACAGAACTCGATTGTCGTTTGTTCCTCAGCTAAGTATTTCTAACTGTAATTTTTTTCAATGCTAATTTACCAGTTTTTCAAATTTCGATTTCATTAGCCCGTGAGCAGACCCCCATTATTAGAGCTGCCGGATGCACGTTTCTCCTCCCGCGGGAAGAATGGAGACGAGTTGGAGATGGGTTTACTGGGGGTCTGACACTAATAATGAGTACTGGACCCTTTTACAGACCTCTCGCGGGCTCGTGTTCCCTAAGGCTTTCTACTTTCCCGTGGGCGAAGAAACACTGGTGTTTAACCCTTTAATCCCTGAGAGTGACCAGCATCTAATTTCTCCTTTCAATATCACCCATGAATCAAACATTAAGGTCATGAGAATAAAGAAAATGATAATCAACTGAAGAACCTCTTGATTGTTAAACAAATTCTCCTTGCCAGCACATTAAGGAATATATAGAGGCCAGTGTGGAGAATATGCATACTGATGTTAGGGTGTAAAGGGTTGAGCGCCATAAATTCATGTAGGAATAGGTTTAGTCGATGAAAACCAATACGTTGGTGTATAGCTGAAGTTCACTTTTAACTTTGTAATATCTAGTTAGGAAAATAAAAATCTGGGAATATTTTTGGGACATCTTTTTTGTTTTTCAATCGTACGGAGCTGAGCATGCGCAGAAAACCGATCATACAAAATCAAAATCGTCTTCAGGGCCTCTCGGTTTTCGACGGGTGAGGGAAGGAAGCAAATGAGGTCAGAAATTATCCATTTTTCTCAAGCCGGAACCACCTTGGGGTACAGTCTCTATGTACAATTTGGAAATTCTTTTAGAATGGTATTGTTTTAAAGTTCAGACGCTTTACTGGTCCACGTTATGCGACCAAACGCCTAGAAATTCCTATAACGAGAGAGATGATAATTTTTTGGTTTGATCAGGAAACAAAGAGGCTATTTTCGTCATGTTACGAGAGTAGGGCAAGGAAGATAAATTGAGTCCCGTAAGGAATTGAACATCAAACGTTCAGATGTTCACACAGGAAGAAAACGAAAGGCTGATTTTTTTTCCTTTTTGTTTTTTTTCGTAGAATTGTCGCTAAATTTTGTGACGTAGGGCTCATGGTCTGATACTTATTCTTCCAAAGATAGTCGGACTTAACGTTGGCAAAACTAGGAGAACAACCGCTGCTTGAAAACTTTTTTCATTCGGTTTGCTTCACTCCTTGTTAGTAACAAGAGAGAAAGAATGTATAGCAAGGTAAGGAAAATAAAATGTGGTTCCCTCCAGCTCGTAACAAGACGATAACGTTCCTGATTCCCTTTCAGTTGATATATCCTACATAGCATTTGTTTTTGCATTGTTTTAAATTGTGTCATTTTGCGACAACAGAACACTGGAACCAGTGATAAACTGAAAAAATTATGATAAAAGATGATGAATAGACCATTCTACACTAACGTTGGGTGACATTATATTGGGCGAACATAATGGCATTACAAGTACTCAGCAGGTGTGGTTAAGAGTGACGTCAATCGTGGCAACTGTGCAACAAAAAAAGAAACCCACAAAGTTATATTGATCGCCACTCCTAAAATGTTTCGGAACAAAGAGGGTTAATTTTGGGTGGTTAAGCTCCTCATAGGTTTACAGGGACTTTTTTGACGAATGATCCTCAACCTGAGATTGTAATTAAATCTAAATGACTCCGCGCTTAGTTAAGGAAGGTAACGCTGGCTTGTATACGCGTAGAAGATATCGATAGTTTGCTCGGTAACTTTCAAGTCCTTAAAGACTACGCTGTTCAGAAGCTGTTCAAAAGCTTGACCTCTTTTTGGCCAAGTTAATTAACCACAGTGCTCAGGTATGAATTATTTTATCGTTTCGAAGAATTCATTCTCTGATCTTGCACATAAAAGCTCAGAGCGCAATCGCTAGTTAGCTGTCATTTTTCTTCTTCTTCAAAGGGCCTTAGTAGTCTTTCTTTGCTTATGGATTATGTCGTAAAGTAATAGAAATACTGAGCTAGGTAAGCTCAGGCTACCACACATTTGACTTATCCTTCCTACTGATTTTATGCCGACCACCTCTTAAATTCACCGAAAAAATGATCAATACCCAGTCAATAAGCTATCTATAAATACCGTACACAAATTATTCGTAGGGTATAAGCCTAAACATCACTTTTAAAAACATCAAACAAGACTTGTATGGTATAATCTGGGTAGATGAGACGTAGAGAAAGTTGGCAATGAAGATGGTTCAAATAGTTTTTCCTGTTTTCTCAGTCTCATATTACGTTGTCCACTATCTTTAAGTTGATATTTTGATGTCGGCACTGAGTAGTGCCATTTTAGGGATGATGCCCTTGATGATGCACGTAATGTTTTACAGGAATAAAGAAAATGATTAATATCACAACATCGTAACAAATGATCTCATTTTTCGGCAATTTTCGTCTCAGGTTTCAAATAAGCCTAAAAATAAAATAAAAAAAATGGCCAAAACTAGGTGTGTAGCCACAAGAATTGAATTCTTCCGCGATTTTTTTCTAAATTCTTTGTTGTCTGATTATTCTAGTTATTTCATCACGTTTAGTTTGCTTTTATTGCTGTTGTTCAAAGTATTCTTAGTTTTTGTTGTCGGCGTCGCGTTACGTAGTCGTTTATTGTTAGTTACGTAAGTTCATTTGCTGTATTCTCTTCTTGTTCAAATTAGTATAAAAGTTAGCATTCCTGTCTTGCACATTAGCGTTTTGTGTTTTTCCTGAGTTGTCGCACAGATTTTGTAAGTATTCTATTTTTTCTTGTGTATTTTCGCTAATTTCTATCGCATTTGTACGTTTTGTTTGTTTTTTGATTTTATTTGGTCTCTCGAGTTCGTATTTAGTAATTCGGCATTTGTCATAAATGTTTGTTTTAGTGAATCGCTGGTAATAAAGTACGCATTTAAAACTGTACGTGAATGTGACTACAAGATGATACCTTTTGACTTAGATTGTACTCGTTGCAAGTATGCAATTTGGCGTTCATTCTCTGACTCTCTCTCCTCAAATGTGGACATCAACCCCTCAACCCCAAAGAGTGATTGACTACTAATTTCTTCTTACACTGTCACCCTTGAATCAAATGTAAAGGTCATGAGAATGTAGGAGATAATAGCCAATCGAAGAAACTCCTGATTGTCAAACAAATTCTCTTTATCAGTAACATGAAATGTAAAGAAGAAAGTACGGAGAATATGAATATTGATATTGGGCAGTTGAGGGTTATTGTTTTCCGTCACAATCGCAGCTATTTGGACAAGTAGTGACACGTTACAACATACCCACACATCATATGTTTTATGTTGCGACTTTTGCACAATGTCTTTGCAGTTCTGTTAAATTGAAGATCAACAAGAAATGTATATTGAGGGTAGATTGAGGGTAGATTTGGTAAATGAATAATAGGTTGTTCATAATTTTGATAACTTTGTCTCCTACACAATATCGTGTATAAAGTACGTGTGATGAAATCAACTGTAACGATCAGAAACAGTGAAACAAGTGCATGGCTTTACAAGAAGTTTCTCTCACTAAGACTAGTTGTACTCAACGTATCAATGAATACATCGATTTTACATGTTAATAAACTCTTAGCAGTATTGGAAGCCAGATTTATAGGCGAAACGTGTAGCATGAGAGATCCTTAGGTTGGCAAGTTTTGATTTAAAGCCTCGCAGAATGGCTTGAAATGACTGACAAACATCGAAAGCGAACCAACCAATTCGAATTTTTAGTCAGTCGTTGGCAACATTAACATACCAATTTGCAGAAACCAAGATATTTTAAATTTAAATTTGGCCCATCGAAAAAAGGAAAACTCACTCTGCTGAGCGGCCCGCTCAATGAACCAATCACGGCGCGTGTGGCACTGGGAGATATAATGTCCACAATTGGAAGGGGGGAGGGAAAGGGAGGGGAGGGGAACGGGGGAGGGGAGAGGCTAGAAAAGATTTTGTTTTCACGTAGAGGCAATTAATTGTAACAAAAAATTATAAAACAGTTCTTATTGCTATTGGCTCAGACAAAACACAATTACGAAAACAAATTGAGCCTGTTAGCCAAAACGATCATGCCCTTTCGTAGAACAGGTAAGTCTTTTTATTTGTTAGGAATGAAATATTAACAGGTCATGACGATAGAAATCACTGTACGTGCGCGTGTATTAGCGGCAAAAAAACTCGTAATAACAGAATCAAAATAATACCGATTTCACACAAAGAAAACCTATTGAAGTTCTAGTAGAAAATTACACAAACGAAATTAAAAATCTCTTTTATGATCAGTGCAAGTAACTGTAATGACGTCACAAATGTACTTTTTTAGGTAAAGTTGAAGATCATTCTTGTGAAATACATTTCGAAGCCAAGGTTACACTCATCTACTAGGTTATTTCGGCCATAAAAGTAGCTATTTCTTTGGTTAGTGTTTTGTTTGTCCGAAAAGGAAATGATTCAGCCATGACTCTCTGGTAATAATTGTCGATTTTCCAAGTTATTTCATAGCTACAAAAAAATACAAGTTTCGACCTTGAGTATTTTTGTTTTCTCATATTACAGTATTAATTAACTACTTGAGCAACGTATTAGTCGGTGCATTTCAAAGAAACTTGAAATTGGTTGTATAACCTGGATTTTCCTTTCATTTTTCAAAACAGGCAAGTACATCTAGCTTGGTGGATTTCTTCTCTATGCTTCCTGATGGGAAATTGATTTCAAAGATCCAGATTTGTATACCTCATAACTAATCAACAATATTTTAATCCTGAACAGGTACGAATATCCAACTATGGTTTGTGCATGGAAGTGGTTCCTGGTGATGTTTTTGATTCTTTCACTGCAAATCTCGTTGAGTTTTAGTTGGCGGAGGAGAAGAACGAGTCTTCCGGCGGTGAGTAACAAAGATGAATCACGTTTACCTTAATTTTTGTAATAAATTGAAACCAACCACGAAAGTATTGTCAGATTATCTTTAAAAACCACTTAAGACAAAATTTAAAATTTTAACGTAGGAGATCAAGCGTGAGAGACACCTCCAGGGCCGTTTTCCCAGGTCACTGATTTAATAAGCAGATCTCCCTGTTGTTGCTGTTTATTATTAGCTCTGCATGGCGTACTGTTCTTCGTTTCCACCCAAATTTCTCTGGAAGTGTGTTTCACTTGTTTGATGTTTCACAGTTGATTGCTTTTCATCCGATTTTGAATCAAACGTAGCTGTGCTAAACATACGCAAAGCGCACTACAACATATCGTGTTTCACAACACAGTGTAAATGATCATATCATAAGATATTTTTTAAACTACTTTCATTTATCGACCGGCTGTATATCATAAGCTGGTTGTAGCCTCTTAAATAGGAGGGGAAAAAATGGGATACGAATTGGATTGCTTTTCTCGATGGAGTCTAACAAATTTTTCTAATTGGGAGAAGAAACAACCATATTATCACGTTTTTTCATGATTAAACTAAATTGGAAGAAGGCGAGAAAAGTGACACTTCTTCTGACTGGAATTTGGTCTAAAATTCCAGAAAACAATGATGACGCTTGCCGTTATATCATAACATGCAAAAACGATGAAAAATGCAGCTAAGAACCAGACTGTGGTTCTTTTTTAAAAAAGAGAGTTTGTGTCCTTTTTGAATTAAGATTCGAAAACAAGCTAAGAACTGTCTGTCTTCACTTCTTTTTAAGCCTGAAAAAGGAACAACATTGGATGTATAAGATTTTATTCGTACCGTCATCTTTAAGGAAATGTTTGGTTAAACTTCTTTGTTGATGAGTGATGATTCTGCGTCATAAAGAAACGTCAAAAAGATATACTCGGTTAAAAGGGTCTGCGTAGAGAACATGAGATCGAGGCCTACAGAGGCTTGCGTGGGTGGTGTATTGGGCGAGGGGAGGCGAGGAGGTTGGGGAGGAGGAACATATTCTAGGTGATCTCTCCAAGATCCAAAAGTAATTTTGTATTATTTTGTTCCATGAGATTGAAAGAGTTTAATTTCACTTTGAGAATGTTATGGGTTTTTCAATGAATCAATCTGACAGAGTGTGTCGATAGGGTGATGGCTTTTACTGCTCACGGTCAGAATTTCGACCATTTTACGGCTAGCGGTTCATTTCTTTCCGTTGCGATTAGAAGAAAAATTTTCACAGCTAACTTTTTTTTCAAAACTAACGATTAAAATTTGTCAATGTTTACAGCTAACGACTAATTTTTTTTGCCACTTTTCGGCTGAAGGTCAATCCCATCCAGACCCTCCTGACACCGTTGTTCTGCTGTTAAATTTTAGTGTCGCTGCCACAAGAAGTATCAGCCCAGATGTAAATTGATATTTAAAAGTAACAGTGGTAAGAAATACTCAGTGGACGACAAAAAGTGTTCAAGTCTGTGTCGACACTGCCCTTATAGTATCAGGTGCAAACACGACAATACACGCGGAGCCTGGGAAACATGGACATGTCAGAAATAGCGCTTTAGTATTAGACTTGTACCCTCAGGGGGTGGGAAAGGAATTTTTTTTCTACTTCAGACTGCTTTATAGTTAGATTTATTAACTTTAAACTTCTATCGGGTGGTAGTGTAAATCTACTAATCGTTCAAAACTTATCAACAAGACACAGGCTCAAGTTATGTTTTTGCAGAATAATGTCTACTTATTTAACTCATTATCTATCAATGAGTAAATAGCGAGTAGCGCAGCCAATCAGAAAGCAACATTTTTGATAGTAGAAATAGATTTATGCTATACGGGAATATACTCCTCACAAAAGTGAAAACTCCTTTTCCTAACGATTTTAGGCAAAGAAAAGGGCAAGAAAAACTATCATTAACTATTTGTAATGTGGTATCTGTAGCCTGTTTCATCTAATCGTACTCAAACTGAAGATAAAATAAAGCCTGGCTAAAAACCTTGATGCTGAGCATCCCCGTAAAAAACTTTAATTTTTTAGGCATCCATCCCAAGACTGTTTTACTGTGGCTCCGTGGATGTGTTTCTGTCTCTATTTCTGAAAAAAATGCAGGTGCTTTTCATATACCTAACACAACGTATTGTTTCAGAAAATCAATTTAAAGGGAAATGTGTAAACCGGGCCTTTGTCATTTCGAGACGAAACACTTGACACCACAAGAGTTCCCTCCTTTTCGGCGATGTCCTTCAAGTAAATGAAAAAACATCAGCGCAAAAAGAAAAAAAAATTAATATTATTAATGTTAGCACCTCGGAATTTTAAGAGTGGTGCGGTTCACTTCCTGAGTTCCATGCCCAGCGCTAAAATCAATATTCTTGTTTTCTTGTTTTTTTTTTCTTTCTTGGATGGACCGCTCATAGTCTAGAATCACTTATTTTATACAATATTTCAGGAGGGCAAAAGTTTGCGGTACACCTATGACAACTTGGTTAGTCAGAGCTACAGCTTTTACAATGAATCGGTCAAACCACTGTATCAAAATACTACACGTTAACTTGGTGTATTTAAGTAAGGTTAGCGGTTCATTCTCTCTTGGTGTATCTTAATAAAAAGCAGACAGGTGGTCGGTCAACACGTAATATTTTTTATCGGTCTGTTCTACAAGAGCTAAGTGGTATGTAACAGCAAAACAATATGCTCTTAGGTGACAGTGGTGGCAACATTTGGTCTTAACTGCCACAGATTTGACGAGAAAGTGAGTAAGACAGTCTTAGAACATAATAAAACCAAAAAACCAACCGTGTACTCGTGATAAAAAAAGAAAAACATGTCGGGTGTCTTGAAGGAGTAAGTGAATACCGCTCGAAAAGCCGCGAATTGTTTATTTTTAAAATGGCAAAATGAAATGTGGTATCTCAGATGTTATGGAAAACGCATTATCGCGTAAGTTCCCCGATGATTTCAATGAGAGCACCAATTTATCCGGTCACCGCGATTAGCACAGTCGATTCAAAACGAACGTCGACGATGTTCGATCGATTCTGATTACCGGTAATTTTACTTGCAGTTATTAAAAGCTGAATTTCGCTCAACGGCTTTGAAAAATTGTTTGGCTATTTTCAATAAATTTCTTCCAACGACTCCAGCATTGTATTTGAATGGTTAAAATACGAAGAAAAGCAATACAAATTAAATCTTCCCTAATCAAACAATACTTGTCACTTTTACTATTAGTCGGCGAAAAACATAATTTGTTCTCCTTTTTTGAAATAAATTCTCTTCTGAAACAAATAATCTCACACCTCAGACATTTTTCGTTTGTTAGCCTTGTTTGGCTGTAATTTGACTTCGTTAATTTACAGTTATTTTTTAATTTCTATCCGCATGGCAAGAATGCAGTTACATTTGTGAAAAAAGGTTTGCTGGTGAACTTCTATGTAAAATCTCGCTACCGTTTTCCTCCCCTTCAGAGTCACTTTCTTCGGCTAAAGTTTGAAGCTTGGCAAACAGTTTGTCTGAGTTAACAGAGATGGATGGTCTCGAAGGTGTAGAGCTAGAATCAGTAGAAGCCAAAGTGTTTTTCGATTCGCTCTTTTCTTTGTTTACATTCAGTGAGGGCACTTTCGTTATCTTACTCATCACGTTCATCGAGCCTCTTCTGACTCTCGGCGACAGAGGCATTGATTGAGAAAGCCTTCTACCATTATTTGGGCCAAACGATTGGGATCCTCGCCGTTGTAACGGTTTACTCGGGCTGCCAGTTGTTGACACCGTTGCCAGGGAAGCCCTTCTTAGAACGGTGTTTGTATTGAGAGCTAGTTTGCCTGCTTTGCTGATACTAAAGCGTCGACCGACGGATTGAAAAGAAATAGGCGATACCGGGGCATGAGGTAGCTCGCAAATATCATCATCATCTTGACTAGTACCGTCGTTAATGCTGCAAACTGATTCTGTGGTCACAATAACAGGTCTGGGCTTAACTCCGATTCGAAAAGCGCCGGAGACGTGTTCTTCGTATACGCGGAAGAGATCTCGAAGGTTTTCCCTGTGAGTTCTCTCACTTGGTTGACTTAATAGGTGCCCTGGTGCGGTGTTCGGTCTCTTATTATCTTTCTGTTTTGGTAAATGAACATCATCCTTTGATCCTCGGCTCTGAGAATCTAAAGACATTCGAGGCGGAAGCTGCATAACTCGGAAAAGCGGCGATTTGGATGCGGAGCGGAGACTTTCTTTCGTCCTTCCCCATTCCTCAGCAGTTTTAAATTCGATGTAATCGCGCGCTCCTTTGGAAGCTTTACCCTCTGAAACGAGAATTCGTGCGCAAAAGAAATTTCCTGACTTAGACGCGACAATCAAGGGGGTTTCTCCTCTTTTGTTCAACTTGTCGACGTTCATTTTAAATCGTTTTAATTTGTTTAGCAGAAGATTTAAGACCACGAAATTGCCTGACAACGCGGCATGATGGAGTGCTGTATTTCCGAGCTTATCTTGCGAATTGAGATCAAAATCACTTGCTTCCTCAAGCATAATCGAAACTAATTGCTCCAGTCCGAGTTTACACGCGTGCGACAGAGCGGTGAGTCCATCCTTGTCTTTCAAACCGACTTTCGCTCCTCTTTCAAGTAATACTCGGACATATTTGGCCGCTTTGCTCTCATCATCGAGAAAGCAAAGTTGCATTAGAGCCGTCCGCCTCATTTCAGAATCCTGCTGGTTAACATCAACCCCGATATCAAGTAGCAACTTCACTTGTGTGAATCGCTTCTGTCTGATCGCTGCATTCAGCGCCGCCATTTTAGCGGGTTACCGCGATAAAATTATAGCTATCGTTTAGAACTAGGTAAACACGAGAACCAAGTCGTATACATATAATTCCATCTCTTGTTTCAGCTCTATATGAGCAGGTGTGTTTTGCTTTAGCTTATTTTGCATTTTCTCTTCCGTTCACATATTTTACTCCTATTGTTTGCCTTGCTATTACGAACAATGTTTCCACTGCTGTTTCCATGCCAACGCCTAATTTTATCAAATGCTTTGGTCAAAGGTGATTTCCTCCAATTCTCTCTATTTAAACTTATCTTACAAGCGCGACAACAACCACACTACAATTATTTACCTACTTCGAATTGACCATGGAAAAAGGCTTCAATAAAATTGACTTTTCGGTTTAAATTGACGACTGGAAAAATGCAACGGTGAAATGGATATATTGTAACTTCTAGGATCGCGACGCGCTCGATTCAGCGAACGCGACTTAAACTTACCATTTTCTGCTCTCTAGTCTTAATGATCTTATCAAAACTAGGTAAATAGTTTTGGTTAAAAAAAAAATTCAGTATTCCTCTCATTCTAACTGAGAATATTTTTTTTCGACAAAAACCTATGGCTATTAGCAACTAGTATTTATCGATATAATCAAAACAAATTCAACACTTGTATCGTTAAACGAGTCGTGAAACAAAATATTTAAAATATTCCCATTTTCCTCGCTTAATAATCACATTTAGTGAATCCCAGGGCAAATTTCCTCTAGGTTTAAGTGCTACAAAGTGTATACACGCTCGATTCTGATTTTGCGGCAAACAAAACCGATTTTTTCAGCGAATGAAACTCACCAGTTAATAACTTTTAAAATTCGGCTTAGTTGCACATATTTCTCGCCTAGGCTTCGTTTCCTTCTGTATATTTATAAGTTTCGAGGTTTGTCATTTATCATCCTCGTGACTCTTCTCCATTTTCAACCATCCCATCCCAAAGTCATCTTATTTCCCTTAAATGAAAATGAGAAACAGACTAACTCTGAGATAAAATTTGACGAATGTGCTTCCGGCAACGAGCGCCAAAAAAATCGTTAAATTAATAGCAAGTTAAGTTTCATTTCGCACTTGTAATGTAGACAAAGTCATAAGTCTATTGGCCTAAAGCCACGGAGATTAACTCCAAATAGTTGCCTTTTCATAATGAGTTTGACGGTTATTGAAGTCGATAGAATAATCAACATTCGTGCGATTACACAAACCACAGTTTCTGACTATAAAGGCTGTTTCCCGAAGACGGGGAAATTGATTAATATATTTCGGTATCTCTGAACTTCTGCAACAAAGCTAATTCTTGTGAGTTCCAAATCCTTTTTTATACCGAGTGAATTGAAAACACCGCCATTTTAATTAAGAGAGGTGGAACATGAATTTGTATTAGGTTCAGTAAAATCACATAGCGTTGAGTTTGAAAAAGCAATGTTTCGTGGCACACTTCGATACTTTTTATCAATAAGACCGTAAGTGCGTGCATGGGCCATGTTTGAAAAGGATTCTAAAGCTTCCAATAAACTCTACGTGGTGTGGCATGGCAGTTTGTACCGCAACGCACCCACTTCCGAGTTACAAATTTACGTCTCAACGTGTGAAGACCTTCACACTTTTCTTCTATGTTTTGTCTTATTTTCATGCGCTAAGACTCGAAACGTAACGTGACGCAACTACATTTTAAGTGAGACAATAGATTTGTCAGTTGCATAAACATTAATTTACGCATCTAAAATGAATGAAAATTCCGTAGAATGTTCCTTGGAACTAAAGAACATCTCTGGGTTCGAGAAGCAGATATGATGGACATGTTTAACAAGGACACTGGGGCAACTTCTCTCTCATAGCGTGTCTGATTGACTTGGAAAGCTACCTGTAAGATATCCGCCCTTTATACAACTGGGCCCAGGTGGATAAGCATTTCGCATATGTAATTATGATAGGGTCGTGAAAGATCAAAAAAAATTGTTGACTTGAGTAAACTTGTTGCACTTTTCAAAGGAACCTTGGTCACCTGAAGCCTCTAATAAACAAGAGAAACGAGTGGTCAGAATTAGTTGAATCACTTGAGAGGTTAAGAATTTACAATTTCACCAATTAGAAAACGTATAATTTGCTGACGATGAAAGTATTAAGGTGTCCTGCCACCAGTTAAAGCCGGATTATTGGTGAATGAATTAGTTTCTCTGTAGCTTTGGTGATTGAAAACATGTACATTTTGAAGCAAACTATTTCATTTGCTAACAAGTAGATGACAACAGGGTTTACTTAGAAACTGTATCTTCTCTAAATTGAGGACATTAGGACTGGTAAAAACCTTTTAAACAGCCTTCATTAAAAATGCTTCTCATTAACAAAATTAACGTATACAATGATAAAGCCATTTTTTAAAATTTCACAAATGAGGATCATATAATCGTATCCTGACATTATACGATAGTCATGTCTACATACCGCTTTTTTTTCAGGAGTCCTCTTTGATTTTGTTAGGATATATGTCCGTTGTAACTGATATCATGATTATTTTCCTTTCATAAAACGGTAAATTTCAACCCTCTTCTCAGAGCAATTGTCAACTTTGGACTTAACTGCTATCTCAATGGCGACAGAAATCATGCAATTAATAATTGATCAATAGATTCGAGGCGAAGGTAGAAAAGACTAAAAGTCCTCTTATACAGTGACAGATGGATAGGCTGTGGATCAATAATGTTCTATTTTCAACTTAAAGTTATTTGAATTTTTGATACCGTAAATATACAGCAGAACATTGAATTATCTCGCCACCTGCGATTGGAATTTTACAGTCGACTAATGCCTTTTGATGAATTCCTTTTTTTTTCTTCGAGAAAATTAATATGAAACATTTAACACTCATAATTATTCTACGTTACTCTCCATGTGAGTCATGCAAATGATTGAAAGATATTCACGGCAGCCTTAGGGAACGATAAACCTTTCAATAAAGAGACGTTTTGGAACCAAGGGCACCTGAAAGGGCTCTGTAAGGAGTTTTAGGAAATATTCTGACATGTTTGGTATCACAGCAGGTGTCATACGCCTTTTATTTTCCTTTAATGAGTGGGACATGACTCAGTACCTTTTACTCATGGACCAATCAGAGCGCTTTGTTTGACGTAGTGGCTTAATTGGCTCAACATCGAAATTCAACTAATAAAACTGATGGATTAAAGTGTTTTTGGACACTTTTCAAACTTGAACGCAAACTGCCTGTCTCTCTTTCCATCTTAAAGAACCGCCAAGAAATGTGAAAGCCAGGTACGTATCGATGATAAGTGACATAACATTAACCTTCCTTTGCTTAAGTTACATTAAGCTTAGTTTCATGGCTTGTACCAAACAAGCTGAACTAAATGCTTTGTATATTTGAAGAATTACCTATAGCAGGCAAGTCATTCGTCAATAGCATGCGTACACACTCCGTCAAAAGACGTTTAAACAACTATAGAAAAATAACTTGTATTACGGTGAACAATTAAACTTCATGCTTCGTTTTTCAATTCAGTGGAGTCCGTGTTTTAAGCCTCCTGACTTAGGAAAAGGACTGAGAATCGTTTTAATCATCGGAGGGTTATTAAATTCAAGTCAAACTTAAGTATTTCACACATCAAGGGAAGACACGTAAAGTTCGAATCCTCAGTGGTTTCTAGAAACCGAAGGTTCGAAAACTTGGCAGTCTCCCGTGGTGTTTTCAACGAAACCAAGACATTTTGAACAAAAGCTCAAGTCTGAAACGCTTAATGCCCTCATCATCATGTCACTTTTGGCGAAAAAACTGTATGATTTATGCAAAAAATCACCCTTTTCTAAAATATGGCGACACAGTTTCCCCTACTGACATGAAGCGTTGTCTTTAACGCAAATAAAAAAAATAATTAATTCGTTAGCCGGGTTAGAAACATTTCAGTTTTGAGAATTAGGAACACAGCTTTCTAATGCACTTTCGATAAATTGGAAACGATAATATTTACATTTCAAAAACCAGGTGAGTTGTTCTTCTTAGTGAATAATCATGCAATCATTTTGGTCTTAGTGCATCCCTTCATTGTTTCACAGCTGCTCAGACATAAGATATAACCAATTTTGTAAAACTATCAGTAAAATTCGACCGTTATGGAAAATATATCACCTTCAATTGTTTGAATTCGCTTAATTCCATTCAAGTTGAGAATGTATGACACCGACAATTTATCAATGCCAATCTATATGAAACTTTTAGTACATACAAACTACAAACACATCATGCATATGAATATTCGCTTTGCGGACAAGAAAACTGAGTTGAAGCTGCTCTTTGTTGAGTTCGAAAAACAAACTATTTTATATGGAAATATTGAACCATGAATTTATGACAAATGTCAAATTTGTTAATTTAACCTGTAAATATAAAAAGTTTAGGATAAGTTAAAAATCCTTTCCAGAACTTCGCAAATCATACGTGGCGTTTCGAAACATCTAGAGGGCAAGTTTTTTTAATTGGTTCAAACCGCAAAGAAAATCCAAACTTGACGCTGTTTTGTTGAGTCATCGGCTCATCTTTGCGCTGGCCATCGGATGGCCAATCTTCCAGTAAACAAAAGAAATAATAAAATACAGTCCTTAAAACAAAAGAAGGGGTATCATATAGTCTCACTATTAATTCTCTGAAATAATAACGGATGTCTAGGTGAAAATTATTTAGATGAAAAGGACTAGACTAACAGGTAATCGCAAGGTAATCGCGAGAATTTCCACTGAAGTCATCGGCAAAATATATTCCGGCACTTTCCTCGCGGTAAAATTTGCTTCGTCTGGATGATAATGTGAATAATGTTAATATTTTGCTTCCCGTGATCAGCATGCACATCTGAGGTCAAATTGGCTCTGATTTTCCGGCACTTTCCATCCTTGTTGCGTTTTTTCATGAAAAATAAAATTAACAACAGTATGTCGCGTGTCGCGTGGATGATGATGTGAAACGTGAATCTA